CTGGGAAACCTTCCGCAAATTTTGTATCAGCTACAATCGATCGTTGAATTGTTTCCCGGCCATCAAGGGCGCTGCGGGGCCTCTGCTTGTGGCAGTTGCAAGCGCCACCACATAAGTGTGTAACCCTTTCCCTTAGTTTTGGCCTAAATGAATAATACTTGTCTGATGAAGGGATGCAAACATTCCCACAGTGCTGGCCACGAAGTTTGCGCGGCCCAATGGACAATGAACGTACGTACGCACCCTGTGCTGCAGTTTGCAATTTTGTCGCATCACAGAATTGCAACGCAATTATTTTTTCCCTCATTCTGTCCGCTGGGTTACGTTGGTACTGCTCCTCCCATTCGTAAATGGGGCCATTGATAGAAGATTCTATTCCTGACCAGGGAACGATGTCTGATGAGAGATTATGGACATTTTGGAATTTGCTGGCACGGAACGGAGATTTCTGTGGCTGGTTCTCGTCTTCCATGGATTGCAGCGTCTGTGCAATTACTCCAAATCTGACTGTCTTATGTTTTGCTGGGGCCCCTCTCCAAGTTAAGGAGATCGAAAACCCGCACATTGGCGCACGCAGGTGCGTTTGTCGCTCTATGATTTCTTTCCCATTTCTCATGAATTTTCCTGATAGTCCACGGTTTTAGCCATGCACAAAAGCGGTTCATTCCAACATTCACATGTGTCAGTCAGTATGGAGGCACGCGATTCCAAATTTTCGCTGTACACGTGCCACAAGTTGATGGCCGCCACCCTAACAAGGAACACTCTAGTCGGAAACCTACAGTTCGCGTCACTTGACACGTTCGTGCATTGCTTCTGATTCGTACTAGAGTTTTCACGTGGTGGCTCCTATTGTGCAGTTCATCTTCGCCTTTGAAGCGCTCGTCTGGATGTATTTGGCGCTGTGGCCAGAAGTCTCACTACTAGAGATTGCCCCGAGGATGCATCCAGGGCAGTCATGTGAGACGATGCCAAATGAAGTCAGCAATGGCACAAAGGGATTTGTCCAAAACAGGAATGCAGCACAATTTTGGCAGCTGCATCCGTTGTTGATAGAAAGGGAATATAATAAGACAGAAGTGGAGCAGCATTGCACATCTCAGGACACTGTCTAACATTTTTGGGGTTAATGTGAGGGCAAGCTGGAATGATGAAGCATGGCCTGAATGTCCAAAAATTCAATCATCAGGTTCAAGTTTTTTCAACACTTCACTAATACGGCACCCTCGGCAAAGACGGACTGCTCTCATGTACTTGTGCGTTAGGGGATTATGTTGAAGTCTCTTGCCAAGGGATTCAAATCACTGGGCCCAGTGACCACAGCCGGAACCACGGGGCTGAGCGGCTATGGAAAACTCAATGGTCGTTATCAGTTTGCTATAGCAGAAAGGTAGCTACCACGATTACTGATAATTTCACGTGTGGGAAGTTGAGTGAAAGGTCGATGCACATAGATCGAGCTGGTGTGAACCTTTGAGCCTTTGGATAAAATGTAGAAAAGAGGTCTTGCTCCATATGTCAAGCTGCATGCTATAATGTAAAGTGAAGCTCTACCGCCTGACGGCTGCTCGAAGGCATGATGCTTTGAAGACGTGATGCTTTACTTGGCAAATTGTGGGAAGTCCGGTGAGGTGTCCTAAAGGAGATGTTGCATTCAAGACATTGGACACCAATGTAGATCCTTGAAAACATGGACATCGGGAAACGTTCAAATGCACCCTCTGGTGTTGGGGGCGCCCCACTTCGTTTGCTGCCATCCGTGTCCAAGTCCCCAGCGTCGCCAGGCGCCGCCACTAGGGTGCTGTCCCAGAAGATGCACGCTTGAGCCGTTGGCGATGACGAAGCTGCGTGTTGCTTCCACGGCTTCACTTTCTGTGAACGGCCTGTGATGACCGGCTTCCCTTCAAAATCTATTTGATGGCTCTTGGGTCATCTAGCGGGTTAACCTTCACAAGATCATTGATCCCGCGGTACTTCTGCGGCTCACGTACATATTACATTATACATGTCCAATTATTTTGGGGCAATATGGCATCGCATGGAACATGCCATCCTCCGTTTGGGGTTCTCTGTGAAACCCTATGAAAGCAACGCGTTGTGCCAGCAAAATGATGTCCACACCACAGCAACAAACACGATTTCCATAAATGGAACATGGCAGTGAAATTGTGCTTATTTGGCATCTCGCCCAGGTAGCACCAGGATTCCAGTGTCTGCAAATCAGCAGCAATGGCAGCTACATAGTCATGAAGCCACACCCAGGATGGAGAACAGAGTAGATTCCTCGTTTGGCGCTTACGGCTCTCACGTGCAATGAGACACAGTCGTCCACAACAACTGCCTACAAAGAAAACTGCGTGACTCGGCTAAACTGGAGGCGAGCCCCCCTGAGTGACTTTCAAAATGCCAACATTCTCTTGGTGACCACTGGGATGTTGTTGCTGGAAACATACAAACAGTTGCAGAATGCGACACAATTCCCCATGGGTGGGTGCGCTGGCCCCTCCGTCTTTTCTGGACAGATAATAAAACCGTTTTTTGATACAAATGCATCGCCCTTGTGTGCATATCCCCGTCCATTAAGTAAAGACCGTGTTCCTTCAAAGCACGAACTGCCTCTCCGCGTACAGTTCCAACCATGCACAAAACTGCTGTTTGGGAACAGCGCCCACGCCACAACAACTCCCAATGCACTTGCCATCGCCACGGGTGCGCTCAAGTGCGGCGGCTGTGTCCACCACAACAGTTGGTTGGGTGTCGCAGTCGGCTCGGACCCCCTCCCGCCTACTCTATATTGTTCCTCGTTTCTGGTGGGGTTGGCAGCGCCTTGCCGGCACAGCGGGGCGCGTCGCGCGGTCAGGTGCAGCGCGCAGCCCTCTGCACCCACGCCCCCTGTCCCTGCCCGGGACAGTGAGGGTGGGTGCAGGGGCGCCCCGGTTGCCAGCAACGCCGCGGGGCACCGCTAGCATTGGCTGGCCACCCCGATTTGCGACGATTCGTCCCGCAGGGCGTCGGGCAGGTGCTCGTCCATCTGCGAGCACGTGTCGCGGTCGGCTGGCCGGCCCACGTGGGCCTCGAGCTGCCTCACGCGCAGGTGCAGGTCTTGGTTTTCCAGCTGCAGGTTGTTGATGATTTCCATGGCAATGGGAGGTATGCCGTCGGGCAACCCGCCGCCGCAGCGGGCGCTTTCTACGAGCAGATCGAACGGGCAAGGGTGGGGGCCAAACAGGCGGTTCAGGCTGTCGGGTTTTCCGCCGGGGGCTGCGTTTGGTACGCCACAGCGGCCGGGGTGCCGCCAGGCAGGGGCCGGCTTTGGCCCCAGGGATCGGCCGCCGAAGTTGTAGCTCAGGCCGGACGCCCCGCAGGAGTCTTCGTCTCTGCAGGCCGACCCGACGCCTCCGTTCACGGAGGGGGCCGGCCGGTCGTATCTCCAGCTCCCTGGGCAGCCGCGAAAGCACACAAGGTCAGCACACAAATAAAAGATTCGCTCCGTTCACACTCCGCGCAAATCGCGCCCCACACAGTTTGACAGCCAGCCGATCGCAGCCGGCAACGCGGCCATGGCCCACGCTCCCCTCCAGACACAAGCCCTCTGCCGTCGATCGACTCCCCGGAGGCAGCGTAACGGCGCCCAAAAGCGCCACGCACAAAATCCCCCCACCCCATCCCCACCCACCCCCCTATCCACCCACCATTTTTTCCCACCCCACCTGCGGTGTCCTTCAAATACTGCGGCTCGTGCAGGGGCGCCGGCGGGCACACGGGGTGCGACGTCGACCTCTGCCACCACCCGCTGCCCATCTCCGAATTCTGCCCCGTGCTCGCCACCAGGTTGTTCCTCCCGCTGTCTCGCTCCTTCCCGCCCGTCCGCCGCCGCCGCTGCCGTCTGCCGCCGCCGTTCCGCCCCCATGCCCGCCGGCCGGTGCGGCACTTGCGCCCGCTCCTCTTCCGGAACCCCTGCTGGCCGCGGAAACGGCGCGGGCGCGGGCGGGGAGGCATGCCCCCTCCGCCGCTGCGCGGCCGGCGGCCCCAGGGAGGCCCCCGATGCAGATCCTGGTTCGGCGGCCCGAGGGCCTGGGGCCCAGGGCCGGGGGTGTTCATGCCGGGCGCCTGTGCGGTGAGCTGCTGGTTACTGCGCCAAAGCCGGGCTCCAAAGCCCTCTGTAGGGAAAAGGGCGGGGGAAGTGGGAAAGGGGGGCAAGCGAGTGACTGCACTCGCCGTGCGCGGTGCCAGCAGAGGGTGCGCGCCCGTCGCCGTCGGTGAAGAGGGTTGCCTAAGGGTTGGTCGCCCGCCGCCGCGCTGCCCTGTTGACTCGGTCGACAATGGGGCCATGGCCGCCGGCGGCGATTTTATGGGGCTGTGCCGCACCCCTGGGGTGAGGCGATACGCGGTGGCGGGACACAGCACGGATTCGGAAAATTTGGCGGGAGGACCCGCGCGCCGCCGTGCGCGGTGCCAGCAGAGGGTGCGCGCCCGTTCGGTGAAGAGGGTTGCCTAAGGGTTGGTCGCCCGCCGCCGCGCTGCCCTGTTGACTCGGTCGACAATGGGGCCATGGCCGCCGGCGGCGATTTTATGGGGCTGTGCCGCACCCCTGGGGTGAGGCGATACGCGGTGGCGGGACACAGCACGGATTCGGAAAATTTGGCGGGAGGACGTTGCGCTGACGCGTAGCTGTCAAATCTATCATCAAACAGATTCCCCCGCTGGACCCCAAGGCACTAATGGCCTCTGTGCCTAGTCAACCAACCTCAGTGACACCCCAGAAACAGTTCCCCCCAAAAAGCCCCAAAGCGCCCAAAGAAGGCTGGGTTCCAGTGTCGGACAGGTCGCCACGTGCATTGCAGTGCTTAAGAGAGTGCAGCGACAGCGCCGCTGTTGAAGCGCCCATGGCTGTCCCTCCGGGCCTCTGGCCCTGCCTGTTGGCCGTCGGGCTGAGCGCCCTCTCCCTGGCCGCCGTTTCGCGAGCGTCCAGTCTCGTGGAGATCCCGGTGGAGCACTCGCTGGGGGACGGACGTTTCGTGGCTGCTGGCGTGCTGATAGGCGAGATCTCCCGCCAGGTGTGCCTCAGCCCACACCTTGCCGCAGTCGTGGGCATCGGCGCATGCCCGCGGCTGCGCTGCCTGAGAGCGCTGCGGGCGACAGCCCGGCCATTGGCATGACATAGTTAGTTGGACCGTTGTTTGTTTCGATTCTGTTCGCATCGACTGGGCAGATAGAACAGTCAGTGCGTCCGCGATGTGGTGATGGGGGCGATGAGGGGCCGGAGACGCTGCCCGCCTGCTGGTGGGGTGGATTGCTCGGGGTTGACCCACGGTCGCCTTTCTAACAAAAGGAGGACACACAGTGACCACCCCCCCGGGTGATCAAGAGTTGTCTGCCACATCGCGTTGTGCGCCAGTTGACGGGGGATTGCAGGGAGTCGACAGTGCCTTGGGGAGCTGTGAACGCAGAGAAAGGGAACGTGCGACCGCTCAGAATGCCCAATGGGTGCGTGGACTGCCGGCCAAAGGTGGATCTGGCTCACGGTTTGCTGCCTATGGCGAGGAAGCGAACCCCAGTCCAGGAAAACCAGGGCAGGGAAGTGGTAAAGCTGAAGTGTGCTCTTTCTCCAGGGAGGGATTATGGGCCCGCTGAGATTCGCACGCAATAAACTCAGCAAACAAGAAGTGAAACAGATCCAGGTGCTTTTGGAGGAGGACAGGTGAGGTTCTGTTGGCTGAAATTGCACAAATACACAAATACATGCTGTTCGTGCTTTCCTCCGGTCGACAGTATGCTCTGCAGCTGCTTTGGGATCTGTCACTGTGGTTTGCTCAATGAAGACAGAAAGGCATACTGTACAGATTTGTGGCCGGCCACCACGAGGGCACTGGAATGCTCGCAGCCCAATTTTTATCTTGCCATGTCAGCCTGGCAGCAGATGTTGACTCACGGCATGCTTCTTCATTTCCCATTTGGGCGATGTTACCTGCAGAAACTATCGCATTCGGCTGCCTGGCGACCCCATCAACAAAGGAAGCGCATATGTGATGGCAAGCCTGCGAACCCGCTGCCTTGCACAATCTGGTTTTGAGGAGTCTCTGCATCTTGAACTCACAGAGGACAACCGTATTGTTGGCCTGGACTACCAGCCGGCGAACGGACGATGTGATCCATTAGATGGCATGGACTCGACCGTGGGGGTCACACCTGCATTCAGTGAAGAAACCACAGTGCTGTACCGATATCCATCGAAAGAGCCAACACTGTCAATGGATGATATTGCAACAGCAATTGAAGAAGGTGACTATACGATGGGTAGATGGCGTGGTTGGGAATCATTGTGGCAGTACACTTCAGCGTAAACTCATGTGGCTCAAGCATTGTCACATTGGCTGCTGCAGTCAACCCCAACCTACAAACTTTTTTGTCATCCATAAGCCAGTTTATTGCCCACCCACACAGTTTTGGTGGTCAGTGTTCTGATCTTGAGCACATGGGGCACTTGGTTTGGGAGCTGCTGTGCTTGTGTGTCCTGCTATGATCCATGATTGCAGATTTGCAGCCAGATTAGAGCCGTAGGAGAAGTCTCATTGTGAGAAACATTTTTATCTGTTTGCTGGTCGCCCCTCAACATTTCATGCATGTCAACTTTAGTGATGGCACCTCTAGCAGTGTATGCAGTGGCATAGGAAGTCTGTTGGACTTGGTACGATGCACTTTTTTTTTTGTACATTGGACATGAAGAAGCATAAGGACACCAGTTTGTTTGCTGGCTTTGATGTTCTTGAGTTTTTCATTGTGTCAAATCACAAGCATCTGCCGCCATGAATTGTAAACTGAGAACAAAGGGATGTGTCTATGGACAAACCCAGAGGTACTGATATGCTACAGGGACTATTCAGTCATGCTGGAAGTATTTGTGGCCAGTTGAGTACCTAGAAGTGTACACGCTTTTCAGATGCTCCTGGGATATGAGCTGCAAATTGGACGATCTGCCTATATCCGCATTGACACACCGTATCCTGTCATTGATGCCTGCAGTCTTGCTTGGATGGGAATTCCGCTTGGCACAGCACAGGCTGTTTGCGCCATCTTGACAACAACCCTTGATCCAGGATGGGTGTGTCGATTGTGTGCCAGCATTCCTTCTTGTCAAAATACAATATCTGGCACAGGCAGGGACACAGTGACTAGGTGTTAAGACTTTGGGGACTACCAGCTGTAACTGCTGCTTGCTGTGTTGCTCCCTTGTGCAGAGGGCGATCTTTCAGCTGGTGTGGACAAGCCACCTGGTGTTGCAGGCAGACGGAAGGGAAAGAAAGAGAAGACATGGGTGGAAAAGAACTGGATGTTCCTATTGGCAGGCGGTGTCATAGTAAGTGGGCAGGTGGATAGGTGCAAGCACTCATGCCAAACTGTCAAGGTTACAGTAATCGCCTCCTGTCACTGCCCTGGCCACCTGAAGCTGGTGACATTTCATAGACACCCACAGCGGGAATGGCCCATTGTGTGCCAGGATGTAGGGTGCAAGAAGATGATGTTGATGGCACAAGAATATCCTGCAGTGATGGAATAATGTTTGTTGGATGCTGCTGCTTCTTGGTGTTTTTCTGTTGCCTCGTGTCTCTTGTTGGTGGCTCCCTAGCTCTAATGCGCCTTCATGAAGTCCAAACTCTGTTATCATCAGCACAAATTAATCAATCTAACCCTTGTCGCCCTTGAGTGGATTTGCTGCTGTCAGCAAGACAAATGTTCTTGCTGGCAGTAGCACTGAAATCGTGGCCTTGCGGACTGCAGCATCCTTTGTGGACCTTTGTGTTGTCTGTAAAGGCCGAGGTCATTGGCGAATTTGTGGGAATGCTGTCGCCAGTGCGGTGAAATCGAGCGAGGTCCTAATTTCGCAGCAAACTGTTCATGGTTAATGGTAGCGCATCTCTTACTATACGTTTGTGCAACACATGGCTCATGAGAACCTAGTGCTAATGCTCTGTCGCTGCATTTACTTTGTTGTGTTTTCAGCGTTGCCTTTGCTTCCTCTCTGACACGCTTGATTGCTTCCTTCAGCTGATGCAAGTCCTGGGCAGCGTTGCCGGAGCAGAAGGACCAGGAGGGGAGGGAGGGGCAGCAGCAGGGCAAAGAGGGCCTGGGAGGAGACGATGAACATTTCAGTGATATTTAGTGTAATATCTTCCGAACGGTTGACTACATTTCCAGTGGTGCCAGCCGTTATGGCTCTTCTGTAGCCACTTTTTGCAGTCAGTTCTCTGCACCCAGAACAGAATCATGGAGTGCTGCATATGTCACCATGGGTTCGTGCCAAAGCCATGGAATAATAGGGCGGCCATCAGATTCGTTGCGTGTTCATTGCTAATGAGTGCTACGAACAAATGGAGAAACTAAACAGGTAGCATCGAGTCTGTCCTCGCACAGCCACAAATACGCACTGCTGCTGACACCATAAGCAGCTTGCCACATGGATTGAACTCCAAGGCCATTTTGGCGACAGCGAGGCTACGAGATGGGATTGTTAATGGTTACTGCAAAGTGTGCAAAGTGTGCAAAGTGAACTCGAGGACATGTTTGCAGACAGTGGCTACCGAAAACTACCAACCTTCTGCGGTTGCAGATCTCCACTGCAAGCTCTAGGCGTGGTCAGCAGGACAGTAGGACAGTTTCAGCACGGTGGCAGCGGTGTTCACATTCAGTGGTAGGAGGCTCAGAACCAACATCTCCCTTCAATACGCTCTCCAGAATGACAACAATGATTTAATTCGTTGCTGCTTGATGTTGATGGATGCTGAGCATCCTACAAAACATCGCACAGCTTTCCTCCATCGCTTCTTAACCAGGTTGCGCCCGTCCTTCTGAACAACGCGAAATCAGGACAGCAGAAACAGGGCTCGGAAGTGGCAGTCGAGCCACAGGCAATGCCATCCTTGGGCCCACAAGTTGGGGACTTGCTATGGGGGGCCCCCGGTGGTCCAACATTCGTGCTGGGCATTCTCTTCTGGATATAACGCTGCTATGACATTCCCAACGAATGGCGCAGATTGTTGATCTCGCAGCAGCCAGAAATGTAGTCGCGTGTGCCGTTAGATTTGCTGTAGCGAATCTTCCACAGTTGCTGCAGGGGGATGCAAAAGCAATGTGTATGTAGCATATGTCACTGGCCAGTGTTGAAAAAGGCAATCAGAGCAGAGCGACCGTGGAATATCGTGTTGTCTTCCTCGGGCAAGAGCAGGAGCCAAGGCCATTGGCTCATAGGTTGTATAGAAGGGACATCAGTCGTGCCCAGGGCTCTCTACTACTCAATCAGATCTGCTGGATCGTGGGTGACAATACACAAGGAAGGCCACAGGAGCACTGGAGCTGAAACAGAGTTGACAAGAGCAGGGCTCTTGCACGCAATCACATTCGGCGCTAGGTGCGCCCTGTTGCGCATGATTGGAGATGCACTGTCCCGTGCACATGACCGCTGTGGGTATTGCGTAATCCTCCTTGATTGGATGTGTCAAAGACAGGGCAAAAATGCCCTTTCGCGTACCAGGGGACGTCGGACGCCATTCGCAAATACAGAGGTCCCAACGTGCCCTTGTTTATTTGCCAGCCTCCTTTGCGGGCTTTGCAGGCAACGTGCTCATTGATTGTTCTTGGGGTTGATGACCAAACATCCCGTTTGAACAAGCACTGGGCAATAAGCACGTGGGTGGAACTGCTTGTCAACACAATGTATGACCTTCTGCTACCGTGTGCAGCGTATTTCTGAAAGCATGCTAAACTATGACCATTTGACCTATTGTATCGGGGCTAACGGACGTGTTGTTCACTCGTGAAGATCTAAACCACAGTTGGCAGCTGTGGGCGGGAAACTTGTACGCATTCACTGTCTCATGCGTGTACAAAAATAGTGCATTTGGCTGCTCAGCCGTGCTTGTTGTGCTTGCTGGATAGGGTCGAAGCAAGTTCATATTAGATTTGCGTCGCAAACAGGCAGTTTGGATCCATTGTTGACAGAACCATTCGTTGGGATCTGTGCAGAGCAACCTCGAATGGCTGGTCGATCGAAATGCTGCAGCGCGGTGCGTTGCACACCTCATCGGTGGACATTTTGCGCTGATGCGAGGCATGGTGCTGGTTCCTTTCTGTTAGGTAATACGATTGTCCTACTGTACAACAAGCGCGTCCACCTCCACTAGGCAGGGGCGTGGCTGAAGCAGTGGATGCAATATTTACCATTGCCCTTGAGGGGCAGAGGTGTTTCACTATGACCAGGGTGCAAGGCCACCACATATTTCCTGTCTGTGGTCCATTGACCTAAGTGTTTGTACAAGTACTGGACGGGAGCCGGGCCTGACGAGTACAGTCCCAGTTTCAAGGGATTTGTTTGAAGTATGAAACGCATGCTGCTCTAGAATGCAGTTGCGTATCAAATGAAAGGCTCTTCCTTGGGGCACATGAGCGCAGCTCATTGTAGCCAAGTCTTTCTTGTTGCTAGAATTTTAGAGGGCTTTCCTTTCGCTCATTTACAGTTGTCCTTTTGCTCGATTGCGGGAGGCGCGCCAAAATGCGCAATCACCAATTTGACTGGATCAAACATTCCTTGCGAAAATCCAGACTCTGGGACTTGTACGCCAGGAGTAAAGCCAATGCTCAGCCAAAGAAACGCCCGTCTGACCAACGGACGTCTAAGTACTATATGATTTGCGGCTTAAGTTCACATCCCTGCTAACTGTTCTGTGGCACCTACTGCCCATTGTTCCTTGTCGTGTTAGCAAGCACAGGGAGCCCTTGTTTCCCGGAGCACCAATCACGGATCGTTGCGGACCGGCAACGACCTGTGGTGCGCAGCAGGGTATGTTTTTGTGCATCAGGTCAAGCAGCGTTGGCGATGATCGTGCTATGCAAAGTACAGAGGTTGTGCGAAACACCAACATGCCCTTCGTGAACGCGTGGCAGTGGTCTATGGCTGGCGTTCCAAGATGCTGTGCAAGTCTTCATCACGGCTGAATCCACGAAGACTTCGATATGTTCAGTGCCCTGCCCTGGGCCGCACATAACTATTGCCAAGGGACTGGCCGAGGACGGGGGCAGTTGTTGCATTGCACAATTCACAAGCATTCTCTACGAAAGCAGCCAGGGAAAGGTGCCCAGCTTTTCTGAAATTCGAACTTCAGTATCCCGGTGGTGCCAAATACCACGCTGTCATACGTATGACGGCATGGTCGATAAAGCAAAATGGCCGACGTATGTCTGCATAACACCACAATATATGCACTATATGCTGGCGTATTACATACACCACATACAGGCAAAACTCGATTCCATTGCAACATCGACTGTGCACAGGCCCAGGCACGATTTTGCGGTCCCCTCAAGCGCGTCCCGTGATGGGCATGCCAATATTCAGATCTGAATACCATTCTCACCAGTGAAGGGCACTGGCTCCAGCGGTGCGGCCCTCTGCCCCCATAGTGGCCGCTGTGTTCGCGAAACGCCACAGCCTTGGTCATACTGGGACGCTCCATTCGGTACTGAATGGCCCACAGCAATTCTGGGGCTTGGAAATGTATCTCAATGCTGAGTTTCCTTACAATGCCCATTGTCACTGCGGTACCTGCTTCTGGCAACGCAAAAGATTATTACCTTCCCCTGTGGGAGAATGTGTGCGAGACATTCTCTTTGGTGAATAGTTCCTTGGTGAAGAGGGGAGCCGACAGGGTCTCGCACACGCCACATCGTACACATATGGTTGGAATTCGTTTTGCGCTAGCATCTTCTTGGCCACCGGTTCGTCGCACGGACGGACAGACTGGCGCAAGCCCAAGGTCAGTAGTAATGGGATATTTAAATCCATTGCGAAGCGCAATGCATCGGAATGGAATATGATGGGCATCATGTTCGAGGTCTGCTTTGGATGAATGCAATAACTTACTTGTAGATCTGCAAACGCCACAGTTAACGTCAAGGCGATTGTCTAAATTGACTTTACGGCAGCCAACAATATGCCCAATGGCTTATTGGCACTGGGCATTCAGCCATCTGGCAAACAATTTTCAGTCTCGTACGATGTAGTAGATAATGCAACAATACATTTAAGTACAGTCATCCCACCATCCAGGCCCCCGAAACGCCCCGTGTTTGACTCTTCACAGGTAGGGGCTGTTGCGGGAACCCACTGTGCTCCCAAGCCGAGCTTGGGATTGAGACTCGCTCCCCCTTGAATTCATGCCAGAGTTCGTAACTGCGCATTATGCACAGCGTCACCGCGTGCACAACAGACCCCAAAATGTCACCGCGCCGATGTCGCACGATATTTCTGCACAACATTGGCACCTGGCAGCATCCAGCATCGCACAGCATGTTGGTGTCATTGTTGTGCGTTTGGGTAATATTGTTGTGCAGCAGCTCGCTTGACAACGTTTCATGATGACGGACCCGGAAAGCCATTGCCCACCTCGGACCCCTGTTGTGCCATTGTGACGCCATCGCGTTCCCCATTCCCTGTACGAACGCACACCACCGGGAACATTGACAGGACCCAGCGATGCTGGCATCGCCATGGCCATCACCTCAGGACCCATATATTCCGACGCACCCACCCCGCCATTGCAGACGGAAAAAGGAGGGGAGGAGCGCCGGTCGGCGGCGGCAATAGCCGGCGGGGCGAGAAGGGCGCCGGTGGAGTCCGGCGGCGAGGCCGGGGGGCGGGCCCGGCTCCCTGCGGCCTCGTCGGCTCGCCTCGAAATCGGGGCGCAACGAAATCGGCAACCATGCGGGTATGAAACGGCGCTCTCGGTGACGCTTAGCCTTCGACTGAATAGCGAACCTCTCTGTCGGCCCTGGACGGTGTGAGCGGCGCACCCCACGCACGCGGGTGCCAAGCGGCGCACTGGCAGGGCGCCGCCCGCCGCGGGCGCAGCGGAGACGCCTGGCACCGCCAGCGGAATCGGTGCCTGAGCGCCGGTCCCATGCGGATGAGGGCGCGGCTGCCGGGCCCGTCGCATCATGGGTGCGATCGTTTGTAATCCGCCTTCGTGGGGCATCCCCATGAGGATGCGCAGGGGGAGCCCGGCTCGAGGTGGTGCTGGCTTTTGGCTCACGCTGTGGCGTGCGGCCACGCGGCAGCGCATTCGGCCAATGAGCCGCCCGTGGCTGGCCAACAGTCACGGTCACGCGCGATGTCGGATGCATGAATGTATAGGGGGTGGTTGCGGTCATGGGTGGTGGTGGCGTGCCGAATGGGCCACCGTCTCTGTTCTCAAATCAATCCGCGCACCTGTGTGGCAGCTCTTGGTATGGTCTCGGCACGGGTTGCTCACAGTATGCTCCACTTTGGCCGGCGGTTTGTCGACCTGTACCAATGCCCCATGTTGGCGGGCAGTTCAAGAATCGGTGGTGCATTTGGTGCCGTGGTACCTCGCAGGCCGTAGGGCTGAGTTCAGCAGTCAGAATATAAGCTTCTTCGCAGTTTGAAAAACCCCGTCTGGTCCCTGCGAAGATGCGTCTTCGCCTGCGGAAACACGTGGAACGGATTCTGCCTCTTTTGGAACACTTTACTATCATTATTTGATAATGCAGGCTTGGTTTTTACGCCGTAAAAACTGATCGTATTTACGTTTTTCGCGTAAAAACAGTTTTTGCGTTTTTACGCGTAAAAATGCGTAAAAATACGTAAATACAACGTAAAAACTGCCCAGTGTACATAAGGACAGTACATGCAGACTTGCGGGGTCCGGAGACTGGCAGCCAGACGCCCTGGAAGGGGCATAAAACGAGTCTTTGTTAAACACCATCATCGCCCTTGCCAAGGGCAAGTTGGACATTGTGTTGCCGGTGCTGTAGATGGCGAATGACTGATCATTGTAAGCAACTTTCCTCGTGTAACCTGGGTGTCCCAGGGAGCCGTAAAAACGTAAAAATAGCCGCAAAAATAGGACCTTTTGCAAATTTACGTTTTTACGCTAAAAAACGTAAAAGTAAAAACGTAAAGGTAAACGTAAAAACCAAGCCTGTGATAATGTATGAGTGCAGACGCATCGAACACTTTCCGAACGGGCGATGGCCTGTTTGAGTCTGTATTTAAGTACAGGCTCAAACAGTCGCAAATTTGCGACTAATCCCTGTTGAATATATCAACAACTTGTGCAAATACAGATACCTGGAACGTAACGTAGTCGATCATAACTTGGCATGCTCAGAATAATCCTCCACATGTCTGGATGTTGTCACCTGTGAGGATCCAAACATGGCTTTTCGTTGCTTCAGACTTGCAAATGATTGTCTCTGTGGCATGAGTGTACAGGCGTATCATCGTGCAACATATTGTAGATTCTTGTCGAAGCTACGCAGTGAATAAATTGCACTCTGGCCTGAAGGTACCAGCCAATGCTGGGGCAAGCTACCTTGTCATCCTCGCACATCCTGAAACCATGTGCAACTGTGCATAAGATGCATGCATAGTATAAATCTTTCCAACGGACAAATTTGGTACACCCGAATCAGCAGCTGCTTTTTGTGGTATGATGAGTGTCGCGTACAATCGCCCCTGACAGGTTAATGTCCGACTGCAGGGGACGGGCAAGGAGACAGCTAGGGAAAAGAGATACCTGAGGCCACGTGCCTTGAACGGCGCTGCATTCGTATCGAAAAAGAACAGCGGAGTGCAAAGGCAGTGTTTTCGCCACAAGGAGCCTTCAATAAACCCCTTCATCTCGCTGCTGATTATTAACTTGTGCACAGCTATCGGCAGCTTTGCCGTCCACCGCATCTGGGGAAACGTGTCGGGGTCCATTTGGGTGGATGCTGCCTTCTTGTTTTGGTTATCGGCAGTGTCATTCTCGCATTTTTGGGCGGAAGGATTGAAGAGGTTCTGTCAGGTGCGACTGCGAGCAGGGCACGTTAGATTATTCAACAATTTCCGTCCACTTGTGTGGCTGTCCTTGTTACAGAAATATTTCAATTCAATGGCAGAAGGTTTTCTCTGCTTCATAATTCCAATTGTGTTCAAATTATGGACAAAAACAAAAACAAGATCACAGATCGATAGCAGATCGTTTTATCCTGACTGCGTTGCTTGTGTAATATTTTTCTTACGTGATGGCACTGCATTTACCTGAAAGAGTTGTTAGTTGGTTAAAGTAGAAGTGTCCCTGTTTCTGTACAGAAGTGCGAGGTTCGCATAAGGGCACCCACTACACAACAAACTGCCCGGGGCCCCGTCCACTTTGTGGCAAAGAAATAGCAGTGTGTGGATCCGCCTCTGATGTGTCCATTCGATCCAAACTGATTGAAATGCCCCCAACCAATCGCTGCTCAGTGGCGAAGTACTTCGCAATGCACCACTGCATATAATTTCGTGCTGGACTGCTTCACTATGTCACACTTGCTGCATGAGCTCAAATTTGGACCGTGAATTGCTGTGCCAGAAGGTCCCCCCTGGCAATGCTAGTGGCGCACTTGCAGCGGGTTCACCAACACCATCGGCATTCAGGCACCCAGCATTTTAATATGGGCGTTTCTGCATCGCTGCCCTGACTCTGGCTAATATTTCACTCACAGAGGAACGAGCGGGATGCAGATGAGCTGGCCGACCGTGATTCCCTGTTCTGTACCATAGCTGGTATCAGGATCCACCACAAGGTCGAGGGCTGGCAAGGGCGCACCGCCCGGACCATGCACTTGTACCATGGCTTCGGCACTAGTCTGTGGACGTGGGAGGACGTCCAAGCGAAGTTGGCAAGGCAGTGCCGGGCGGTGGTGAGTGCCCATGACATGCCAGGCTTTGGGATATCAGACAGGTGGGTGGATGTCGTCGATGATACCAATATCCATTTTGTGTTGTAAGGACACAATGGTAAAAGTTGACTCCATGAGTGGAAAATGATAGAAAGAGTTGAAAGTTATGTGAATTAAATGACAGCGTATTAATTTTGCTTGTGCTGTTTACGCTTCTATGTTGCCTTACAATGTGCCTAGCTAAAATTGCGATGTGTGGAAACCGTTCACGCTCTTTGTGGCCATGTCCTTGAATTTGCCAGCGTTTTGCAAACATAGTTTTATGAAATGTGGGTCGAAAGGTCGGCAATACTGACTCAGTACGAAGGAGCTGTATTCCAATCTCTTTGGCATAACACCGAATATATTACAGCGGTGCATATCCGTCATGTCTGGTAAATTTAGCTGGCTCAATCGTTTTTTTTTGGTGCGTGCCTCATGAATGCCAGGTGCTGCTTGCAAGCCCTTAGTTCTACCAATAACACTCGCAAGTCCCCTTCTTGTCTGCGTGCTTCATCACCTTTGTTCTTTCGTGATCCTGGGCGTATGCACATTCCACTGTGGCGTAAAATATGCTGAATTACGGTATTATGCAATAAGTCGATTGGCTGCACGGTACCCTGTTGCCAGCAGATTAGGTGTCTTCTGAGCATGCCCCTGGCCGCACTGACGATGGCACAGACTATAGCTGACTATAGCTATGTCCATGGTTCCATCTGTATGTCTCTGTGGATCTGCGATTGATTGTCAAACCGTTCTTTACAGGCCTGATTTTTACGCCCGTAAAACCTGATCGTATTTACGTGTATACGCGTAAAATGCGTAAAAATACGTAAATACGACGTAAAAACTACCCGGTGTACATAAGGACAGTACATACAGACTAATGGAGTCCGGAGAGTGGCAGCCAGACGCCCTGCAAGGGGCAGAAAACGAGTTTTTGTTAAATGCCATTGTCACCCTTGCCAAGGGCGACGTTGACATTGTGTTACGGGTGCTGGAGATGGCGGAGGACTGATCATTGTACGCAACTATCATCGTGTAATCTGGGTGTCCCAGAGAGCCGTATAGACATAGAAATAGCCGTAAAAATAGGCCCTTTTGCAAATTTTCGTTTTTACGAAGAAAAATGTAAAAGCAAAAACGTTAACGTAAAATCCAAGCCTGGCTCTTGATAATTCAACCGCCCTAAGCACGCGCTCTACACATAGAATGGTGGCCATATTGGCTGATGATAGTGCAAGCACAGCCCGGCCGAAAATGTTACTCACATGCCAGCTGCTGCACAGCATGAAAAGGGAATGTTGCTGTCTTGTCTGGCACCGTCGAAGTTGCCCCATATTAACTGAGCATCGACTCTCTGCATTCCAACTGTGTTGGATGACTGAAATCATGCATCATTGCCGCACCATGTGTTGAACTGGGATCGTGCAGCAGAATCGTGCAGCAGCGCCAGCGTTGTTTGCGAGATACTCTCTGCCAGATCAGCTGCCATTCAGTGCCTCATTCCCAGGGAATTCCACTGCCTAAATACAACGCTTGTCGCAGGCCCCAGGCTGTTGCAGCCTACTCGCTTGGCTTCAACGGGAGGATCGGAAGAGTCCTAATGGATTCCATGCTGTCAGGCGGGCTCTCTTGTGCACAGGCGGATGGCAAAGTGCCGAATGTGGCTTTAAAGCCTTCGGCTGGAGTCGCATCTCCCATCGTGCCAGGTACAGGCAAAAACCTGGCAACAACTGCAGATCGCGGCCTGAGACGCTCAGGCTCAAACCCCATTCTTGCATACTACTATGCCACCCAGCCCTCGTCTCAATTGGGGAGGCTCCATTCATGGGAAGATGACCAGCAAGATGGCAGGCAGAGGTTTCTCGTGGGCCACTCAATGGGGTGTAGCTGTGCAGCACTGGAGGCGCTTGCAGACCCCGGCGGAGTGGACGCCCTGATCTTGGTCTCCCCGGCTATACTGGCAGTGGGTTTCCCTGGATTTGGCTGGGCAGGAAACGGTGTCGAAGCCCATACTGTCGATGCCAAAGTCTCAGCAATGGGTGATAAGGGCCTCAGGGAGGGAGCAGAGTCTGGGAGCGGTGATGGGCAGCCTCGGGCTGTGCGGAAAGGAAGTCTACAGCACGGCAGCTGGCAGCACAATTGCTTTGTGAATCCTGCCCTGCGCATTGTGGGCAGGTTTATGCGAGTGGGTTTGTCTCTGCTGTTTCTCTACGCCAGCGCATGGGCAGTTGTGTTCCACACGTGGATCCACGGAACCGTGCGATTTGGAACACGCAGCCCAAGCTTCTGGAACTGGGCACTGCGTTTCACATTCCACGACAAGAGTTGCATCACGAGGAGGAAGGTTTGGTCCTACAGGTAAGCCTGGACAGAAACAATGCAGGCACCCCCACTGCAATGTAGCCCACCCATGTTTGTTGTCAGAAATATCTCGTGAGTGCCCTGGTGCTGCGTGATGCCATAACCACCTTGTCGACGTGCATCACAGCGCAAATTTGAGTGAATGATATGTTGGCTGTGCGGCGATAATTGACAAAGAGACGTTAATTCGCTGCTTCAGAATAGGCACCTGCCCACCTGTTATTGCGCAGCCCCAAGTGCATCAGGCTCACTTTAAATTGTGGCCATGTCCCAGGCGATCCATGTACATGAAGGGAACGGAAAACGGCATCATTCCCTTCAGCCTCTCCTGGCTGTCCATGCACGGCACAGGCGCTTGCGGAGACATTGTTGACGCCCTGGCGGATCCAGTGCCAAGCACTCTGTGCCAGCGACTGTCTAGAATGGTCCGCAAGACGGGCTTGAGGGTGCTCGTCGTACAGGGGGACAAGGATCCTTCCCATGGGAATGGAAGGAGGCTGGCTGCCGCCATCCCTGGCGCCCGGCTCATCGAGTACTCGGGGTGCGGACACAACCCTCACGAGGAGCGCCACGAGCGGTTCGTTCAGGACGTCGCCAATTTTGTGAACGGTCTTGCCTGATTGGGGAGCGTGATGGGCGTGTGGTGGGCAGGGGGCGAGCCGGACGGGTCCTCGATAAAGTTATCGAATAACATATCATTGCTTTCTCGCTGGGCAGCTTCTGGGAGCCGTAGAATGGAATTTGGCGGCGCAGAGGCGGCTTGAAGCACCAGTGACGCATTCTGTTGACGTTCTTGTCCGTATGCCAAAGATGCAGCCCAACAGCCGGTGCACGTCGAGAAGCTCGTGCTTTCTGGTCGAATGCTCGCACCGTGTGGCTTAGCAAATGCGATTGTGTGACTTTGCCTTGAAGGATGCTGTGATGTAAGGAAGTCAAAGTAGACCGCATGTGAATATCCCAAGCTGTGTCGATGGCACGAGTGCTACTGGAATATCACTGTGCCACTGAAACCCCGCCGCGAGTTGTCTGCACATTGGCTGGGTCCCTTGGCCTTCTGCCGGTGCCAGGGCGACATCGAAGCTTGAAGACCTCAGACACATGCGCACATCAGCAGGTGCATGTTGCCCTGTTTGAATCTCCATTGATTCCGGCGCGACATCGCGGCAACGTATTGCTCAGTGTGCATAATCTGTTGCGCCTCTCCTGTGCCGCAAAAAGTGCATACCATGCCGACACAAAACACAGAAGTCGTGTCGGAGACAACGCGGGGGTGCCTCTGAACCTCAGTACCTCCTCGCCTCGATATGCAATATTGCTGGACTGATCGCCTCCCTGGCGATGGTCAGCAGTCCCTTCAGTCACGGATCCGCCAGACACCTATACCAGATTGCGTTTGTCAAGGAGAACGGGCCCATGCTAACGAGCCCATTGTAGGACACCGCCACGCGGGAATTGCTGTTGGGAGAGTGAGAGCGTTGCCGTCAGCAAGCCATCCCAGGTTACTGCCCTTAAGTACGTCCCTGCCCACGTTGAAGCGACAGAAAGTCTCGCCCAACAATCGCCACAGCGCCCGTGCATCGGCGCCGGACACGACTCGCCCATCGTCACACTGAGGGACAACCGCATCAAGCTGGCGGGTCCCATCAAGCCCAGGAATGTAATGTACGCGCGGGGGTGGGAACCTACGGTTGTGCGCGGCCCGGGGACTGAAGAGCGGTCTCCGTCCATCGCGGACGGCGGAGGCACGCCATGGCGGGGCTGGCGCGCGGCAGCGTGGCGCGCGAGCTGCTGTCGAGCCTGGCGCCGCAGTCGACCCTACAGATGGATTACCAGTGGGCAAAGGAGGAGGGGATCCTGGCCATGGACAACGGCACGGGCGTCGAGAACTTCACCTGCGACCCGCACACCGAGATGTTCTGCATACAGAATCGGATATCCGACGATCAGATTATAAACTCGTGAGTGTGGCGCCGGGCCGGGGAGGCGTGTGAGAGGAGGGGCGGTGGGGCATTGGCCAGGGGTAGGGGGGCAGGGATCTTGCCGACTCAACCGGGGGCGCGGCGAAGGGGATGAGCTGTCCGGCGAGCATGCCTGTCCGCCGGCTTGGCGCCGAGCTGCGGCCTGGGCGTCAATCGCGGCGGCCTTGGCGGAGCGGGCTGGGGCTGCGGGGCCGTGGCTGGGCGGCGACGGGCTCAGGGCACGAGCCGCGGAAGAAGCTGCGCGTGCCACGGCTGGAATGACCTCCCCGCGACGCTTGCCGCGACGTCCGGCGCATTGGGTGCGCGGGGCGGCGCCGGGTACGGGACGTTTGCCGGACGACGCGTGTGAGGGCCGGGAGCCTGTGCGGCGGCTTGGGAGCCGGCCGAGGGGAGTGCCCGTGGGGGAAGGCAACCGCAGGGGCGGAACGTTGAATCTAGGCGTACCGCAGCAGTGTGTTGTGGTGGGGGCGTACTGTGGGGCCGTACTGCCAGAGATTGCCGTATTTTCTCCGGATGTTATGATTCGTCATTTCGCATAAACCCGCGAATTCATCCCCGCAGGCAAGGAGGCGGGGGCACTCGTGTGTGGGTGACAAAGGGCCGTAAATGCGCGAAAATGCGCTGAATTGCCCATTTCCATGATGTTCTCACTGGTGCTCTCATTCCATGAAGGACTTGTGGACCTTCCTCTACATTTACTCCAAATGGACACCGCAGATTCGAAAACGAGATTGGGACACACACAATACTAAGGGAGACATAAGCCAATGAAATTGGAAAATGTTTCTTGCCGCTTGTTTGCGTTGTCGAACACAATCGGCCATCAACCCACAAACATGGCCCACAAAGATTAGAGAAATCCCCTTTCCCAGAGGCCATATGTTCAAGGTGTACTCGCCTGGGGCCAACCTTGAAATGTGCGCAGAGAAATTTCTGCGTCATGGATGATTAAAACAGAATCTCCTCGAATGTGGATTGCGTGTATGTGGTGAATTGGTTTCCAAGATGGTTCGAAAAGCTGGTGTTGGAGAATTGGCTGAATTCAGTTGTTTCAATTCGAAAGACAAAATAGGACCCTGGCACCTTGCAGGCGCTTACAGGCTTTGCGGAATTGGCACGATTTGGCTGCTTGAGCTCACTGCTTTTGATACAGTTCTGTGCAGACCCAGCCGCACAATCTCCATGGCTGCCTATCCGAGCATCATTTTCTGTATCATTGTGTGGACTTGGCGGGGATAGCTTGTTCCTCGGCCTTACATAGCAGATCAGCCTGGTTCCTTTGCAGCTCAGTAATCCATTCGTCTGCTTCCATTTGAGAATGGTCTCAGAAAATGGTACTGCTATCATTCAGTTGCTTGTGCAGCGTGACATCACATGACTGCCCTTGTCACTCCAGAAGCGCCAGTCACGTGTGGTACCATGGTTTCTGTCACCGTGGGTTTCCTTACTCGATGTGGGTGGTTGGTCCATACCAGCTGATGCACCCTTCGTTGCTTCCTGGTTGGATTCTTCTTCAGTGCATGTTGTCGCAGTTATGCACTCTCTGGCCTGTGAAACTGATGCAACCTTGTTTTTCTGCTCAGGATGCGACTCAACGCCATTCTGGGGTTGCTCTGCCTGATCTTATTCGACGTTCTGTATTCCAAGCTGATCTTTTACAGAATACGAACGGTGAGTGGCTCTGAGAGCCAGGGCACATATGGGTCCTATCGTTGTCTGGCAGTTTGGGCGGCTGTTTGGTACATCGCAGGGTGAGTGGGCAGTGGTGGCTGGGGGGATGGCACACCAGTTGGAGCACTACTGGTGCAGATAGAAGCCAGTGCGCTTACCTTCGATTCCCTTTTGTGAATCCGAAGTCTTGTCCATTCCAGCCTGCCATTTTCCCACTTTCGTGCTTGCCTCGTGTTTGTTGAGTTGGAAATGGCAGCTGTGGAGTTCTGTTCACCACCAAGTGCTCGGCATCTGCAGATCCTTCCAAGAGTCACAGTGAAGCCACCGCCACTTCCGATTTCAGGCTGGTGGCAGTTCTGGTGAGTGCAAGCAACCACCAACCTGATGTTCATCTGCACAGTATGACATGCTCATGACATGCTTTGTCTTTCTCATTTACTGTGTGGCTTGGAACAGAGCAACAGAGGCAACAGCATGGAGTTCCTTGCTTCCCAGTGGTGCTTGCTCAGTTTGTGCATGTTTGTGGCTCCAGGCGTTGGCTGGGCCACTGCATTATGACTTCAGATAGGGATGTACTGGCCAGCTCAGGAATGGACGCCCTGGTAGGTGCTCTGAAGTGTGCTGCCTTGTGACTGTGGTCAAGTGGGAAATGGTTGTTGGTGACAATTTGCTGTTTTCGTTTGTGATATTTGCAAATAAGTTTGTGGCAACAAATCATGGAGTTGGCTGTTGGATGTGGTTGGGCCCTGCACTGTGTAATGTTAGTCTCTCTGAGCATTACGCCTGCATGCATTGAAGGATGTGTGGGTTGTGCAGATGCTGGTCAAGGCGATGACTTTCGGCATGCAGCTCTTTCTCCCATTGTCAGTTGTTGCAGCCCTAATATGTGAGTAGGCATGTTCTTTCTGTTACAAAAGTAACTTTCCAATTTTTTCATCAGTGGTTGAAGGGCATTGATGCACTGGACACTAGATTATCAGATTGGTACTATGGGTTATTCCCCTAATGGGGGAGGTGAGTTGCAACAAGGTCACGACTGTGCCCAGGGGGCCACTTCTTAGTTATGTGCATTTTGGGAACAACTTGCTGGGCATGCCTTGGGTCATGCAGTCTGGGGAGTGAGCAATGAAACATAAGGAGACAGATGGGCATGTACAATGGCAATGACGTGTGCCACCCTAGGAAATTTTCCTCAGCCTCAATTCTTTAGTGTCGGGTGTGTCTAGTTGTCTGTTGCTGTCAAGATTGCCAGCCGACAAGCATGTGTTATGGCCTGTGGTCTGCTATTTTCGCATCTTTCAACTTGGAGGTACTGGTACAGGTGGAATGTGCGTTATTCCCCTTTTTAATCTGCTGCCATGTGTTTTTGTAGGCTTCTGTGGCTGTTGTTCAGGTGCCATTTGCCTCTTCAGTTTATGAAGTGGTTTGTGCTGCTTTGTTGAATGGTATGTGCTTCTTGTTTCAGTGATTCCTATCCACAAGGAGGGGAACATGCTGCAAAGCAATATCCCGAAGGGGAAGCAGGGACTCTTTGGCCATTTTGCCCAGCTCACAGCAAGCAACTTGGAGCAGGGCGCCAGAATCTTCTGGTGGGTGGCTTGGATGGGCAACTGGCTTTGGGGCTATTCCTCTGCAAAGCAATGAGGGGACTAAGTCCCAAGTTCTGCTGGAGAGCTGAGCCTTCACTCTTAGATTGATGCTTTCTCTTTGGCAGTGCTGTGTTACGGAATCGCTCCTATTGCAGCAGTCGGTTTTCTGTCCCAGCTGAACCAGATTCTTGGTGCGGTATCCTATTATATGGTGCCATCCACATCAAATGCCTGGATTCACCCTTGGAAGTCCAAGGGTGAACACACTGTCAGCAATGTTGTCCAAAAGCTGAATGCGTTTTTGAGTTATTCCAGTTTGTGTTGCCTGACATTGGGCGGCTGACTGTCTGGCAGCATTGAAAGTGCTGGAGCGTTTTGCCAAGCTCCAATGTGACTACGTGACTTGAGCAGACTGTATGGCATGCTTCACGTGGCCTAATAGGCGCTAGAGCAGTGACTTGACCAAATCCTATGAATGCAGCAAATTCATTCATTTCACACAAGCAATACTGTATGCCCTTTTCAGGCCTGTTGTACCCTTGCTAAGGACTCATCCTGAGAGCGATGTGTGTCCCTCCAGGGTGCACTTTGCCTGTGTCTATCTCTTCATTGGCTATGCAATGATGCTGCTCTTCTACCACCACAAGGTACTACTGCTTTTGGGAGCATGCACGTCTTTGTTTTGGTTCTGATGGAATCATGAAGAAACGAGTGGAGGGTATAAAGTTTGTGGCTGGTGGCATCGGCTGCCCATCGCTACCAAATTTGGCCCAAGGGGCATTACTTTGATGTGTTCAATAAATGTAGGCCCAAAGAATGCGCATTTCAGAGAAGCAGCTATGAGGGCTTGTGTTGTTGCCAGATGAGGGGTTGTCACCGTGCATTTTTGTCTTTTGCTCATCTTGTTGCGCACTGTTGTTTACCATCCACATCACATGCACAGACAAGTTGTTGTGGCCTGTGCACAGAGATATGTCCATCTCCGTCACCACTATTTGACAGCTGGTGAGTCTGATGCACTGCTGCAGTACAGATTCGTTTTTCGAACTCTTTGCATTTGCATTATCAACATTAACGATCGTATCAATAGGCAAATTTGTCGTTTTGGTTGGAAGGTTACTTTTATATTGTAGACACTTAAACAATGGGGGTATGGGTTTTTATGGAGTCGGCTGTGTCTGTCTGTTTCCACAGTTGCTGACTTTATCACTTCAGCCCTCATACGGGCATCATCATGCGATGAATCACACTTGTTCCTTGCTTCCCCTTGCAAAGTCGATGCGGGCAATAGACCTGAATTTAATGTGAGAGAACTGGGGTGGCACAAGGACGATTGCAGTTGATGAGAAGGGGTGTTACACAGTTTGCCTATTTGCGGTGCAGTATGTAGGCAGCAATAATCAGCACTGTGGCTGTGCTAGCAACTATACAAATTGCACCATTGTTTGCTTGATGATTGTTGCCTGCATGGAGGGAGTGATAGTTGGTCAGTTGTTAGTTGGTGGTTGTTTCTGTGAATTCCTATGACGAACATTGACAAGTCGTATGCAGCCAGCAATAGCCAGTAAACAGCCTTGTATGCACATACATTGTATTGTCCCAGGATCCTCTCTTGAATTCTGCAGTCCATAAGAAAGTTGGCAGTCTTTAAACAGCCAGTGATTGTTGGCCATGCCAGCAGTGCATTCCCAGTTTGCATACATAGTATCGATCATATCCATATGCCCCAAGAAATTGGGTGAAATGGACGTGCTGTGCAGAGCCATGCAATATCTCCCAGTTTTATTCCACCGCAAGGGCTGATGGTCTATGATGTGGTGTCCATGCTGATCCACTTGGTGCATCAGGTCTGATGAAAGTCTTGATCAGGAATGTGGTGCCCTTTGCGTGACATAATCTTTGTTTTGTTGAATCAACAAGTTCTTCTGCATTCAGGCGATGACCTAAACCTCTGGCGCGACCAATATCAGTCTCATACTGACAATGAGATCACCATCAAGCCTTCAAAAAGCAAGTTTGTGAGGTTTCTGCAAATGGCCAGCGGGATCCGTGGGTCTGACCTCGACAGACGGCTGTCGACTGAGCCCAGAGGCATACTCGCCACAGCGGCATCGATGAAAGTGAAAGAAACAGCAAACTTGATGAAGCAGCAGAAACAGAGGAGGTAAGGCAGAGTTGAATATCTGATGGGGCCAGGCCGCACATTGCTGTTTGGGGCATTGAACAGCTGATGGCAGCTGCTGAAGGCTGTTGCTGACTGACTTGCTGTATCTTCTGCTTTCTGAACACTGCTGGTGCACGTTGTTCAAATGTACCCATGTTTATGTCCTGCAAGGTAGGATTTGGGACTTTGCTGTCAATTTGTGTTGATGTTTGGGGGAATCACATGGTGGGTGATCTGTTTTGTTGTCAACAGAGGCACATGCTCTGTCTGCATGTGCCACTATCTGCCGTATTTGAGGGCCATATGACATCTAGACAAGACAAGTTAGAGGGACAGGTGTTGAGTTCATGCTTTCAGTTGGGAAGTGAAATGATAGGGTACCACTATAGTTGTTGTGTGCTGTGCTAGAGCATGTGAAGCTAGCACTTAAGTGTGGCTTTGTGTAGCAGATCTGGCTTATCCTTGCTGAAGCCATTTGTTCAGCCAAGATTGCTGTGCCTGTGTAGTTCCTCGCAAACAAAGAAAATTTGGCAAACAAACCTGCTGCCTCACAAGTATAAATGCTGACCTGAAGTCAGCCATGTTGTCTGCCCAGTGGCAATGTAGTCATCTTTGAGCATGTGCTAAAGTGGATCGACTCATAAACCACATATTGCACCTGCGGAGATCTGGGTGAAGTTATGTATGTCTGGCTTTGCATACATAGGCGGAACCTGCAATTGAATGTGGGAACAAGCAGTGATGGAGGCAGTTCGCCAGCAGCAAACATTGACAGCGCTCACGAGGCTTCAGGATGCCCTACACCCTGTCTGGAATCCCATGCCTTGAGCCTGGTCCATGAGGAGGCAGAGATCGGTGTTGCAGCTGAGACTGGCAGCACCATGGTGAACATGGATAGAGGTCCTGAGGGAGGCGATGCCTCCAAAGAAGACAATACCAGAAGTCATCTGAACAGCTGTGGTAAGGCCACAGAAATGAAGTCTGTCTTGGTTACGAGATCCAATTTGCTAAAATGTACGCTTGCATCTGTGGTGCAATGTGCAGTGCTGTCCTCAATCCTGAGAGTGTTGCCCCCAATCGTTTGTAGTCGTTCAAAGAAGCCTGGTGCTGTTGGGCATTGCTGTAAGAGCACCTATTGCCTTTTTAGGGCCTGTGCTTCATACTCTGCTTTGCAGTGCTGCATAACGCTGCTCTTTGCATCTAACAGACAACAGCTGATCTGCAGATATTCGATGCCTCCACGTTGGTCAACTTTGTGACAAGGTTTCCCCGCAGTGCCACAAATGTGCTGAAGACGAAGAGTGCTGTTTGGTGGCGTCTGCAGCACATCAGCATCTTGTCAAAGGAAGATTGTCAAGCTTTTGTTTTTATGCTTTGGGCTGTTATCAACCCAGCCTGATGTGGATGTTCTGATTTGTGTTCTATGCTGTTGTAAAGGAGTACCAAAGGTGTACAAATGGTGGCAAGTCGGACGGCACGGAGGAAGGGCCCAAGAGGGCAGCTCTCGGGGCCTTTTGTCATCGCAGCCATCCATTCGTTTCCTGAAGACAGTGAATACCAACACAGAAGATGGGCTTCCCATTGCTGTCAATGCTCAGCAGTACACTGTGCTGCTGACAGATGTGCCAAACCTGTCGAAAGCTGCTAAGAGGTCATCAAAAGTTCATTGTTTCATTGCATAGTGTACATTGCTGATCTGGGTTTGTTTATTGCAAAAGCAGAGGCCATGGACGGCAAGTGGGTTTAGTGCAAAGATTGTTCACATCTTTTTGTATTCCTTTGACATAGCTTGTACGTTTTTGTGCATGTGGTACCTTATGTCCCATTTGCTGAATTTTCCTTCCTGCTCAACAACTGAAATAGAAGAAATGGAAGCTGATGCAATAATGCATGAAACTGAAATGCATGGTGAACAAATTTTCATGCCGTGGATTTCCTCATCAATGCTTTGAGTATGCAAAGAAACATAGTATGCAAGCATCTGTGGTCGAGCACTACGAAAATTCACCACACTGTGGACACAGCGGCCTTTGCAAGGGCATGTAAGGCGTCTTCTCTCAAACATGCTGTATGGTTTACAAGTTCACCCAATACCACCTACTGATAGAGTTGTGTTGCCCTGTTCCTTCTTGAAACTCGTGTGTCATTCTAGCTTATTTTTGTGACAAAAATAGATGAGCTTGTTCTGTGTCAAGTGCGCTTTTGTGGGCTATTTGGGGGCAGGGGTTGTCTTGGCAAACTCTTGGTGCAGAGGATTTCAATTTATGGCTGCCAATATATTGTGGAGTCCGTGGCAACTACTTGTTCTGCAGATTCTTTGCGGACTGAGGTGAGCATATACTGCCATATGGTCCTGGTACTCAGAATATGTGTTGCACTCTATAGGAAGTTGCAACCTACCACACAGCTTGGCCGAGCGCTCCGCTGGGTCCATGTTCACTTCTTTGGAGGGCTTTTGCACAACGAACTTTGTGAACCGGATATGGAGGGCTTGTTGAGCTCAGAGAATGTGTCTGGCAATGCATCACTTGATGATGAGAACCTGCCTTTCGAGGATGACAGTGCTGAAGTCACAGAGGGAAGATCGACCCTGTTTTCAGCAAATGGATCCAAGAAACGAAAGTCTGGTCCACCATCCCTGTCCAAGAACCTGCTGAAGAAGGGTTGGGCAAAAGTAGCCTCCAAGGTAGCCATACGTCCATGTCCGGAACCTGGCATACCTGAATCTGTTTTTTCAACTCATTTTCCGTTTCCGTGAAAGTGTTGCAATCCTGAACACAATCTGTTACAATTGCCCCTGTGCACTTTACGAACAAGGACTGGCCAAGCGCTTCGATTTCCTGTGACATAAAATTGTGGCAAGAGTGATAACATCAGATTTCGAGTTGTTTTTGTCTCCCATGGAAGGCCAGCACCTCCAAAGTGAATGCATTAACATGCTCTGTACACTTTCAGGTCAAGAATCGGGAGATATTCCACCTTGAGAAGACAGTAATCGCCAACAGCTTTCAGGAGCTGTTCCCTGATGACTTTGTTGGGGTCCTCCCTGTGTTTGTGCACAAGCCCGTGGATGACCTTTTGATTCAGTGGGATGAGCTCAGCAGGCAGCTGGAGATCATCCAGGGCCGAGCTGAAAGGAAAGGGAAAACAATCTTGATCAGAGAGAGGTGTGTGTATTGATTTTGTTGGATTCTGTTTGTCTGCCAGCACAGGACAAGGCAGCCCTAACATCTTGTGAGCTGTGGCGGGCATTTGTGCATTCAAACACTTGTTTGTTCATCATTTGTCCATGCCCCAACACCATACTCATGTGTACCACATACAAGTGATGTCCTGATGCGAAAATTGTATTGGAAGGTTGGTTCATGGCAGGAATATGCTAATGCAAGTGCTATGGGAGCGGGGTGAGCACAGTGATACAAGTGTTATGCTCCGTGACCGTTGGTCCAGTGGCTTGCCAGCCATGGTGGTGCAGATCAGCAGTCATACCAGTAACCACAGAAGTGGGGGTGCATGTCTGGCGATGATGGTCGCTCTGTGACCAAGTCAGCATAGGCAAAGTGCTTGAAGCCGCTGTGCACAGCTCAAAATAGCACAGAAATCTTTGGTGCACTGTGGTAGACACAGTGTATCCAAGCTGGTTGTCAATACAGGAGTTCCTGTGGTGACTACGTGCTTATGCACGCCACTGATTGCTTCTCAATCGTATTGGCTCTTTGCAGCCTGTACCCATCCCTGTGCCTCTTGTCAACTGTAGAATTCTTGAGCATTGTTTTCTGCACTTCAGAATGACCTGAATTTAGCAACTCTAGAGCTTTGTTGTTGTTGTGGGCCTGTCAGGAAATGGTGGAGCTGGCTGTGTCTTGGACTATGTGGGGTCAGCAGGGCAGAAGATGCAACAAAGTACTATACCAGAAAGGTGTGGAGCTCTGAAGTGCGTGCAGGGCATGGTGTCAAAATACATTTGTTACAGAATGACCCTTCCGCTGCTAAGGGGATTGTGTGCAGAGTTCCTTGAAGAATGCTGTCAATACATTGTTTCATTTCACTTTGAAGAAACCCAAAACATCTGAGAAGAAACAAGTTCAAACGGCCCACAGGGTTGTACCTTGTATCACTGCTGCAGATGTAGTCCAGGGAATGAATTATTGACCTCCGTTGTGCTTGCGCACATGCGATACTTGGCACCAGTGATGCAGAGGAGACTGTGGTGGTGGTCTGAGGGTCTCATATCCAAGTCCTGGCATTCTCCTGACTAGTACAATACTTGTATTGGTTTACTTATATTTCAGGCTGTGGATTAAGATTGACATTTGTGTGCCCCTTTGAATACGTTTACAGTGTGTCTGTAGTGGCACAAAAAGGCTGCAAGATAGCTCCAGTCTCGTGCTGCAGGTTTTGAAGGAATGTTGTTTGTTCAATAGATAGCAATCATGGAGGCAAAGATAGACAGAGAGAGGAAGAAGGTGCTCAGAAGCAAGCCCTCCTCTTCCTGGCTTGTGTTCTTCAGGTGTGTTGGCCTTGGGAAACTGTGCCCATCAGAGGGCAGAGGAGCTGAGTAGTGTCTACAAATGTGGGCATAAGACGTGTTTGAATTTCCAGAAAACATCATACAATGGCACATCTACCAGAAGAATGTGGGTAGGAGCGTCATGTGTGCAAAACTTGACAATCAGCCCTGATTATTTCCATGAGCCGGTTGAAGAACTGTCTTCTGACCATCTGTATGGAAGCTGAGCTGTGGTAGTGCTGTTCCTGGCCAAAACTGAGTACAGTTGTGGTGTTGATGACAGCGGCCGATGAATCGTCACATCCAGCTTGCAACTTTTCTGGGTGGACGTCAATTATTTAATGCCATAGACTGAGAGCGACAAAGCATTGACCTTGCAGCTTCAAGGGGGTGATGGGCACAATTCTTTGTGAGTACCTCGTTGTTGATTGGTTGATTGGGCTCCTGGTGTGTGGGCAGGACGCAGCGTGCTGCCACAATTGCCACGCAGACCCTCCTGCATTCAGACACTGGGCATAAGTTCCGTGCGCGCCCCGCACCTGGACCTGATGAGATGAACTGGCAGGGCCTTTGGAAAACATGGGTGGAAAAGGACATCCGCCGCGTGCTGGTGTTTCCATTTGTCCTGGCTTTCATCCTACTGCCCATTGGTATATTTGCTGGCAGCTTGTCCATGTTCAACTCCTATCTGTGCCAAACAGGCAAAGACGGTTCACTCCCACATGACCAGTGGTACTGTCGACATGACACTGGGCTGGGAACATATCTGTCTGGATGGCTGCCACCGGTGCTTGTGGCCTTTTGGCAGACGACTGTCCTTCCACTGGGTTTCTACTACCTCCTGCAGGTTAGTGTGTTTTGAAACCACTTTGGCAAAACCCAGTTGGCCATGCACTCCTGGTGGCTACTAGGCCACCAGGGACAAGTCCAAGGCCAAGGGCACCTGACTCCGTGTTGGCAGCCTTATGTGCCTGAACGAACACCAGGGCCCAGCCCACTCAGAATTTTCCACAATGGCCAATGGCTGGGGCATGTTGTCTTTGAGGTTTTTTGCATCGAGCCTGGAGCAAGAAGTATGTGTGCATTCTGTTCACCAGGTGCAAGGCTCATGCATCTCATTGAGCGAGTTGGATCGCAAGATCGCTGGCCTGTTTTTTCACTGGGATGTGTGGAACATCTTCATGGGTGGCATGCTCGGAGGCACTGTCCTTCAGGAGCTGGGGAAAGCTGCCAAAAATACAGGGGACATTCCTATTATGATCGGAACTGCGATGCCTCTGTCATCAAATTTCTTCATCAACTACATTGTCATGAGGGCATTCTTTTTGATGCCATACCAGCTGCTCTTCCCGCATCCCAACTGGTGGAATTTCCTGATGAAGTAAGTACAGTCACTGCTGTGTTGCCACGAGCTGTCCAAACCTTGAGCCACAGTTGTCGCCGACGTTTAGATGCTCATGTTGAGAATTCAGATGCTGCTGGCGATTTGGGGCTGCCATGAAAGTGGCAGTTGCTCTTTACACCGTACCTCTTTGGCCTCCTGAAAGCTTGCTAGCCACCCCTGGTGGTCTTCAGTCAAGATGCGCAATCACCCACTGGGCAGTCCAAGTGGGCTGTTTTCGCAGTGCAATTTCGTTTATGCATAGGGACAATGCATAGGGACTGACCAGATAGAATTGAAGCCATGAGCAAAAGGAGGAACAATTACCCTCAAGGGTGCACCCAACATGAAGTTTGAAATATATTAGGCAACTTGCAGTATGTTGATGACCATTACTAAGATATATATAAATATTTCGTTTTCCAGCCTCATTACAAACTTGGCCTTTTTTCTTGAATGCTTTTACGTTTCCTTACACGCTCTGCACTTTTCTTATGTCACTGTTGCTCATCCGTCTGTCATAGTTATGTCGGCACAACTTGTTCTTATGGTACTGAGAAAGATGCCTTGTGTTGTGACTGAAGGCTTGGTGGCCACTGTGGATGCGCCCCTACCGAACGAGAGCGCACTGAGCTACTTGAGCCCACGAGCATTCGCTTTGGGCGTGAGTTTGGAGTAGTGATGTTGACGTTCTTGATCGCCTTGGCCTATTCGGTGATCGCCCCCATCATCCTGCCGTTCGCCCTTCTGTTCTTCATGCTGGCTTGGCTGACATGGCGGTACCAGGTCCTTTATGTATTCGTCAGGAAGTACGAGTCTGGAGGCAAGATGTGGCCTTTCTTCTTCAACCGTATGCTGTTTTGCCTGTGGCTTTTCCAGGTGGGGAAGGCATGCAACCCAAAAGCCCTTTCAGGCGGATGCACTCTCTGTCCAGCATTTTTAGCAACATAAACAGCAACACAGTTTGTGTAAATTCTGCTTGACAGTTGTCAAGGTATTGACAGAACAAGCCCTGTGCAGCTGGAGAGGCAACAGACTTCGTTTGCAGCGGTGTGTCACAGGGTGCTATGGTGTTACTACATTCCCCCAGGACACTGCGCTTTGGTGCATGCCCCTTTGGAACGCAGTATACACAACTCGAAGTAGTGTTGCAACATCGCCGCAATGCCATGGAGGGAATGGTTTCTCCCTTACATGGTTCCAGGCGGGCGTATGTTTCGTTTCCCTCTCCAATCCAAAGGAACTTTCACCAGCTTTGCACCTGTGTGCATGTTCCAACTAGGGCTGTGTTTCTTCCGCTTTTGAGCTGCAGCTCATCCAGACACTTTCAGGAGGGCATGCCCTTTCCACCCAACCTGACGCTTATCGGTTAATTGCTCAGCTTTGCTGCCTGCAGGTGTTTACATCTTGTGCGCTCACTGCAAAGGCGGCATACTATCAGGCATTTATCCTGTGGGTGACAGTGCCCTACATTCTGTTGAAGTTCCACAGGTGGGTCACATTGGGTCACATGCATCCTATCTGCCACTCACAATGCCCAAGTCACTGACGATGCCATGACCTCCCCTGGTCTCCCCGTTCTGACCATTCTGCTGTGCTCTGTGTAGTCGTATTTTCCAGTATCCTGCCTTGCACTGTTTAGCCGATGGCAGGCATAGCTCCATCCAGATTGACTGCCCATTAATAATTTGCCCACGTGCCTTCTGATGCATCCATTCAAACGCCAGTTTTAACGTTTTGTGCTCGGTGGTGTAGCTATTGTGAAAGGCGCTTCAGGGCAGGAATGGAGCACATCCCTCTGGAAATGGCGAATATGGCCCCTCCGGCTATCATAGACCCGAAGGTGTACACCCCGCCAGCACTGATCCCTGGCTGTGCTGGGTGGCATCCGGAGTACAACAAAGCATGGGAGGGGTGGGATGCGCCCAGGTACACGATTTGACAATGGACACGACGGCCTTGAAGGGCATTTTTAGGGTGTGTTACTGGGGTCTTACCACAAGAAGGCTTTCAGGCGAACTTATCAGATGACAGAATCGGGGTGTTCATCCTGCAAGAAGGGTGGCACAGCCCAAGGTTGGCTGGACGACGGTTTTATTTCTGCCCTTGACTGTGGCCGTTGGACATTTGTTTGACACCTTGTTTTAACTGTGAACGAAATTTAATAATTCACTGCTGCTCACTAGCGGGTGCCCGTCTGGTGTGCCTATGAAACAATCGCCCGTGCAGGTCTGGGGAATTGCCAAGCGTGGCTGTAAGTGCCGGTGATGTGACACGTGGACGTTCTGCGGAAGGACACTTGTACACTTTGGGAGTGCAGGGCTCGTCAACGGCAAGTGCTCAGGGAGCATGGCCGGGCATGAATTCGCTCGGAGTGTCACTGTCGCGTGCCCAGGTGCTCTGTTGTGTAGAGTTAGCACTACAGGCAATGGTAACTATAGTAGATCATTCGTCCAGGCCAATAATGCCGAAGTGACTGTGTGCATCTGTGTAGTTTGCAAGCCGAAGTTACCAGACACTCATTGCAGAATCCGCTCCATTTTGATTTCCACATGCTTGTGAAAGTGTGGTCATTGGTACTACTGCATTTAAATTTCTGCCGCAGGGCACTGAACATGTTGTGGGAATTTTCCGCCCTCACCCTCACTTCGTGGCATGCTGCGTTCCTCTGACCTAGCATACTTGAATGATCATCTTGCGATCAATCCCTTGGGTCTTTACGTCGCCGTGGACTATCTAGGGAGGCAGCAAAGACCACCATCGCTGCTGTTAGTATGGGGAGTGTGGACGAACGGGGAACGACGGGTTTTGAATGCTGTTAAAAATTTGGAATGCTTCAAAAGAAGAATTAGAAGGTCTTTGGCCCCTCCCCCTTTATTGACCATCATGTTGTCCACTACATTCTCTGCCACCCTGCTAGACGTCTGTCAAGCTCTTTGCGATGTGGCTATTCCATGCACGGCCACAGCGACCCTGTCCTCCATCATCTTCAGCTTTCGGCCAGTCTGCATCTACCATGCCCAGCAGGGCCGTCAGCTCCTCGTTGTACACCTCCAAGAAGCTGGCCCAGACCAAGGATTCCACCTTGTGCTCCTCCAAATGCAAGCGATTTGGCTCATGGCCGCTGGTATCACCCCAGCCTCCTTGGTGAGGGCTCTGCTATCCAGCGACTCTAGGGAAGCCACCCTCAATGGTGTACGTCTTGCCAACGAGTACCAGCAAGACGTATGCCATGGAGGAGGCTCCCTAGAGCCTAGATGAGCCTGTTGAGGGAGTACCATGGCGTGAATGGCTGGACTGCTGAGAACGGCCCAGCTGGCCAAGACTAAGAAGGTGTGACTCGTGTGCCTGCAGCGGAAGCGTGGGACAGCCTTGGCCCTTTGCAACAATCTTGGTGTTGTTGGCTGCATATCCTAATTATGGATTGCTACCTTCCTCAAAGAGCATGAAACTGAAACCCCCTTCAGCCAAAGCTGCAGGCTACGCAGTACTACATCGCTTCAAGCAGCAGGCACGGACTAGCTTGCTGTGATTCCTTTGGTGAGAACTTTTCCAAAACATGGTAGAGCACTGCCCCTGCCCTCCGTATATGTATTCCCCGTTCCAGGCTTGACTTACGTATTGGCACACCGCCCCTGGTCTACATGTGCTCAGAACCTGACTTGGAGCGCGCTGGACATGAAGCTTTCAGAGTCCAAGTCAGTTTTTAACGCAAGAGCCGACCCTGCGACTTCAGAAAATGCTGATGCAATGGGGATTTTTAATGGGGCTTCCCGACTCGCATGGTGTGAGTATGCCTCGCGGGTTTGGGGCGGTGTCTCTGCTCAAGGCCGGGGGGGGGGAGGGTATGTACTGGGGATACAAGGCAGAAACCCTCCATTCAGACTGGGATATAGGGCCGTTTTACTCTCCGTCTCCGTCTCCGTGACCGTGCTCATGGTCCGTATCCGGAACACCCTCGGAGTTTCGCTTGGTGCCCTTTTTTTTGTCAAGTGCGTGCTGGTGTCAACTTTTTTGCAGCCCAATGCAACCCATGCTGTTCCACCGGCCGCCTTCCCCTGACGTGGTCCCATCCGGAGCTGGCACAGTGTCGCATCCGAACACAAGAAGCCAACCCCCAACCTCCTACCACAACATCCCACGTGGCATTGACCCCATTTCCGCATCGGATTCAACCGCAGGCTGTGTGTGTGCGTGCACATCGAGGGCCACCCACTGTTGGCTGGGCACGGCGGTCTGGCAGGGCGCTTCCTGCTGGGAAGGGCGCATCGGGGGTTGGAATGCGCGAAGGGGGTTGTGCGGCTGGCGAAACGCGCTGAACATGGCCGTCCTATCAGATGTGCGTCACCGGGGGGCAGTGACGCCAGCGGTTTGGAGCTGCCGGGAGCGGCTTGGCGGTGGCGGGGCTCCTCTGGCGGTGGCTGCGGTCGGGCCGTCGCGGCGAACCGTTGTCCCGCGGAGACGGATCGCCTTCAGTCTCAAGGTGAGCTGCGCGCGCTGTCGGCGATCATGTCGTAGGTGCTGCTGGGCCTCGTGCACGGGGGGCGACTAATGGGTGCCGGTCGTGTTGACTGGGGGCCGGCCTGTGCTTCTCGACCAGGCGGGGATCGGTCTGACATGCACGGACTGAAATCCCTGCTGCTGTGGTGGAAGATTGGGCAGTTTGTGAAAGAGCGAATGGCGACGGAACTCGTGCCTGCCGCAGGCGACAGGCGACAAGCGCGGAACGGCGAGCGCTGGCGACGGAGCCTCTGTACTGCAAGAGGCGTCTGCGGCTGTGAACGTGACACGTGAAGGCGCCGAAGACGGCGGCTTGCAGGATGGCAGCGAAACCCTGTGGGGACTGGGCGATGTGGCCCTGGATGGATGCGCAACTGAAACACCTCTTGAGGGGCAGAAGGAGCGCGGAAGTGAGCGGAATATCTTGCTTTGGGCACTCACGTTGACCGTAGCTGCCTACCTTGGGCTGGAAGTGTGTGGCAGTGGACATGAGCATTGGCTCGTGCTGACATTTGGCTCCCAATGCCCGTTGATTCGAGCGACAACGGTGAACACACAAGTCAGCTGGAATAACGGATGGTTGAGGCCAACGTTGTCTTATAATGGTCTTGCGTTAACGTTCCAACAAACCCGTTTTCAATGCGGCTGAGCCCCCACAGCTGCAAGCGGATAATCCATCATTGCCACTGCCGGGAGCTGCCATCCACTGCTGGTGGACACATCTCCCCATTGATGTAGACTGGCACACGATCTGCACTGACAATGGTCAGCACTTTGCGCTTTTGAGCCTGCTCTTCTGCCACTGTCCTGCTGCCAAGCGGCAGACCATCATTTGATTACAGCAAACGCGGTGATACATGCTCACAAGCACCCTTTGACTACTTTGTTCCAATCAGGGCAGCTTCCTGAGAGATTCACAGTTAATATGGAATTGCAATGGTATTTGTTATTCGCTGTACTGGTACTCGGCTGTGCATCTTCGCTTAGTGTGGCACCCTTGCTGGCATCTGCAAGCTTCCAGGGAGTCCCCTTATGGTGTGAGCTGTGTGGCCTGTCCACCAGGTGGCAGTGTGGGCTATATGGTCATGCCTCCACACCCAATGGAGGGTGTCAGCACTGACGTTGACAGAATGTCTGCAGAAGAGCTGGCCGACAGCGTTGAGGTATACAACGCAGAACTCAGCTGGCTCGCGTTCAATTGGAGGGTCCTTTCTCTGGCCTTGGAGGTACGTTGATGGCAATAGGCGCCTGTGTCAAAGAAATAGAACCACAATGCACATGGACCACATGTCTGCATTGGCGGCCTGTATCCAATTGTGCCGATTCATTGTCCTTTCGCCCTTCAGGCAGAGTTGAGCACTGTTTGCGATCATGTTTGCTTGCTTCCAATGCAAGTCAAGGCAACATACAGTTGTTTTCGTGATCTGCACAGAGGCTGGCAGTGCAGGTTCAGTGCTGCTGGTGACTGTGCCTTCTTGTTTCGGTTGCAGGAAGACGTTCCTCTATATGAGCGTCTGAAATTCTTGGCGATTGCATCTGAAAACCTGGATGGATTTTTCGCCAAGCGTGTTGGCGGCCTCATGAGGCAGCGGGAGGCTGGTATTCAGAACTTTAAGAAACCGTTTAAAGGCCGCTGGACACCACAGAAACAGTTGTGGCTTATATCACAGGTGTGGCCACCTTGCTGGCAACCTGTGCGCAAGTCGCAGCTTGAATTTAATTGTTTTGGGTCCTTGTAGTTGCATCGTTCACAGGGGTGGAACTGAAAAGGTGTGCCAGCAGCAGGGCAAGAATGGGATAACGGCATGAAAACCTACCACCACACCTGCATGACGCCAGGCACCTTTGAGTGGAGGTTTGATAGCTGTGTGGCTGCATGATGCACGAGATGCAGAGCAGACCCTGCGCTTGCACAGATCTGCTGGAACAGCTCATCATTGCACACCGGCATCAGCAACAACTCCCAAGCAGCAGATGCTGTGCCTTTGGCGAAATTGTGTGACTGCAGCAGGCTGCTGGACGGCCTGACTGAAGATGAAGATTCCTCTTACTTCAAGCACAAAATCATGCATTCCATGGGTTTGGACCATCGGGTGCTCTGACACAGGCAAGCATAGTAAATGGTTCCATTGGAATGTGACGGTGTTGTAGCTTTAATTGGAGATCTCTATGTGCTGTGCATTGCAGGAAGTGAAGAAAATGGTTCATTGCCGTGCGCACGCTCTTCGAGATCTCGTATTGCCAAGGCTGAGGATTCATGGTTTCAGAGTTCTCAGATATGCAGAGCTTAATGCTGATGGCCAACGAGAGTAAGGCACTGGCCATTACCATCTTGCAGCAAATCTTCGATTTGGAAGTTGCTCTGGATTCTGGCAGTGGTTGGCATCCATGTTGCAAGCTCATTTGCTCTAAAAGACCATCTAATAGCATCAGCAACAGATTTTGAATCTTTGATCCAGAAGTTGAGCAGTTGCTTAAATATTGATTGGAACCATGTTACTGGCAACACATTGATGCCCACCCAAATCGCTTTCCCTGACAAATCTGTGCATGTAGATTCGATGAGCTGTTTGAGAGAGAGATCGAGCTTCTGCTGACGCCGATCAAATTGGACCCTGGACATCCATTTCCTTATTTGCCATCAGGCAGCATGAATCTTGCAGTTCTGCTGCAAGACCCAAGAGCCGCGGATCCTAAACCTCGGTGTGCAATTATCCACATCCCGTTGTCAACATCTCTGCAGAGGTGGATGAGGGTGCCAGGCAAGCATGGCCAGGGCGGTGATTCCTGGGAGCAGGTGAACAGTGTTTCACTCACACAGGGGGCTGGGGGCACAGGTAGCTGCTTGTGGACATTTTGCTTGCAAATACACCGATTGGTTGTATAAAGTGTACAGTGTAGTACTGTACTGTGGTTATATAATGCAGTATTGGTGCATATAGTGTGTGTGATGTGTGCCCATTGATGATTGTCTTCGTCAGTGTGCCATTGGGGTGTGTTGTAGGCATGTCTAAGTAATCTCCTGTGTGCAGGGGTTCATGCCGGTGGAGGAAGTTATTGTGCACAACTTGGGGCGCCTGTTTGGAGGGATGGAGCTCCTTGGAGTTCATGCATTCCGTGTCACACGCAATGCTGAATTGGAGCGCCACGAAGAGGAAGCTGATGATCTGCTGGACATGATTTCAGATGAGCTGAGGGAAAGGAGGTGCAGATTCACTTTGTTTGGTCTCAAAGTACAGTTGCTTTCCTTTCAAAAGTAGATGCCATTTGGCAAGCATCGCCTTGCTGAGCAAAGCATTTTTGTACCCTCAAATGGAAAAGGACTATTGTTTCCAAAAGGGCAACAGTGTTTCGTGGGAATCGTTAATTGCTAGATGCCCCATTTGTGCACCAGAAGATGGCTTGTGCTGCTGACAGTGAGTACACACCTGGCTTCCATGGTAGTTTTTTCAGGCATGCCTGTTGTGGTTGCTGCAGGTTTGCACCTTTTGTTCGCTTGGAGGTCGATGCAAAGATGCCCAGTGATCTTGCTGAGTTCCTTGCAGCAGAGCTGGACTTGAACTATGGCCAGGATGTGTATCGAATGGAGGGGCTGGTTGAGCAGTACGACCTGCTCACAATTCCGGATTCTCCCCATAAGCTGGAAAACAGGCTGAAGTACGCAGCTTGGTCACCAGCCACCCATCCTCGATTAAAATCCACTGGGAAGCGTCAAAAGAAGCACAGCCACAAGAGGGTTGTCTCATCACTGTCCAATTACAAAGAAGATGCACAGAGCATATTTTCTGTCCTGAGGTAAGATCGCGAACGTGGAGCTGAGGACTTAGCAATGAGTGGTGCAGAGCGCCACAGATTAGAAGATTCTGTGTTGTGGTCTGCAACGCTTGCAGCACTTGCTGTGAGCTCCTTTGTCAGAGGAGATTTGGCACACAGGCTGCACACATGCTGCACACATGCTCAGTGCTTGTGATTGTCTGCATTGTAGGGAAGGAGACCTCCTGGTGCACCATCCGTACCAGGGGTTCACTTCGTCAACACAACGATTTGTTGAAGAGGCTGCAGAAGATCCGCATGTGCTGGCCATCAAGGCCACCCTCTACAGGACAACGTCCAAGAGCCCGATCATCTCAGCACTTCTCAAGGCCAAGGAAAATGGCAAACACGTAAGGCCCTGCCTGAGATTTTGTTTTGAATACCCTCTGGAATACTGGTACGCATTGCACTGGCCCTGGTAGGTTTGCTCTAATGGATTTTTGCGTGCATGAAGGTGGCTGTGCTGGTTGAGTTGAAGGCCCGCTTTGATGAAGCAAGGAATGTTAGTTTTGCCCAGAGACTGGAAGAAGCTGGATGCAACATCGCATATGGCCTTGTGGGAGTGAAGACCCATGCAAAGACCACTCTTGTGGTAAGGTCAAGTGACCTGACAACATTGAAGCACCCGCAACTGTTCCCTTTGTGGCAAAATGTATGGAGATGCTTAGAGATTATGTAGATGTCTCTAGTGCAGCTCTGGACAGGTTTAGAATCTGCAGCCCTGCTTCATGCTGTGCAGCTCCACATAATGGTGTTTCTCCGCGTTTGAGTGCATTTTCAGTTCCTTTTGCTTGGGCTAATTATGCAACATCCCTATGCATGTGCAGGTCCGTCGAGAGCGGTCTGCGCCCAATGGCTTGAGGTGTTACTGCCACATTGGGACTGGGAACTACAACCCCAAAACAGCCAAAGTCTATACCGACTTTGGGCTGCTGACATGCGACCCTGACCTTAGCAGCGATGTTGTGGACCTTTTCAAGCTTCTTACTGGACTGCACTCCCAGGCAGCCGTTGGAGGATACAAAAAGCTGGTGGTGGCCAGTGAATACATGAGGCAGCATTTCTACAAACTTATTGATAGGGAAATTGAGAATGCGTCGAAAGGAAAGCAAGCAGCAATTTGTGTGAAAGTCAATGGACTGGACGACCAGGTAACGCAGGGCACACGGCTTGCTGTCCTGTCATTAAAAACTGCCAATGGTAAACAAGACATTGGTGTCTGGCGGACCAGAACAGACTGAGTGCTCTCATTGCCTCTGTTTCATTGAAGCCTCCCAATTTTGCACCGGGGCTCTGAAAACGGGCACACTGTTGGAAATATTGGTACTGGACTGTGATGCATGCATTTGCTGTGATGAGAGAAAGTATGCTGTTATGGTGATTTAGCCAGCTTTTGCTGACCTTGTCGTTGACATTGCTGACAATGCTTACAAACTGTGTCAATACATCGCGCATGCATCAGGGGCTGCCAAGGGGTCTTTCCGCATACCAGCATAGCGGGACACCCTGTGATGTGCTTGCTGAAAGGGAGAATGACCACTCTGCATTTGACCCAGTATGCGCTTTGCCTTCCTGCAGGAGACTGTCCTGAAGCTGTACGAGGCATGCAAGGCTGGTGTGCGTGTGGATGCTATTGTTCGAGGCATCTGCCGGCTACGTCCCAGAGTGCCTGGCGTGAGCGACAACATGCGTGTGGTTAGCACAGTTGGTCGCTTTCTTGAGCACAGCAGGGTGTTCTGCTTCTACAATGATGGGAAACCCCTGTACCTCATCAGCTCAGCAGATTGGAGGAAGCGTAACCTGGTGAGCCGCGTTGAAGTCGCAAGCCCAATTGAAGATGAGAGGTTGAAAGCGCAGCTCAGAGACATCCTTGCGCTTTGTCTGTATGATACCAAGGACGCCTGGGAAATGATGGCTGATGGAAGGTGGGTGCCGTATCACTGCGCAAAGTGTTCATGGCTCCACCTTGCTGTTTGTGGTGTTGCTTCCACACACCCGGGTATCTGGCATTGGGATGTGGCAGTGGACGCTTTTTACATGGATTTGACAAGGCAGTTGATTTGGCAGACACTCCATGCACAATGAGCAAATGCTGGAGATCTCCAGCAGCTGCTCGTTGCATATGAGGTCCACATGCGAGTTGATCGCTTTTGTGCTGATTGTGTTGCCGCTTTTGTCATGATTGTCTTGTGCCCCCCTTGTGCAAAGGTATGTGAAGCCAGCATTCCGCACCAACGAGGCGATGTTGGCTGCACCACTTCTTGACAGCCCGGAACCTGCTGACCTCAAAGCTATGGCACAGTCCAAGGGCTCTCAGGCGGCAAACATTGCGCTCGCAATGGCGTCCACCATGTGACGTCGGCAGTGCCATTTCGACGTGAGTGTTGAGAGATTATTCATATTCTATGAGTTGATGAGTGTTTTGAGATGCATGAGATTTCCCACTTAAATCACGAGTTTTGATTCTTTATTTGGTTGAAGACAACGAACGCGCCCTTTATGGGGTGATCCATGCCCATAGTATAGGTCAAGGGATGTAGATTTTGGAGAGTAGCTTGATGTGACCTTTTTCCAGGTCTAGTGCATATTGGGGCGTATGTGTGGCTGCTTGAACACTCTTGTTCAATAGTATTGGGTATGTGGATACTGAGGCAGGGTGCATATCCGTGGAGTCAGCGATCAGCTGAACAAGAATAACAACTCCCTTGGGGGAGAGGAGGGTACACGTTGACTTGAGCTAAAGGTTTCTTTATGCCTTTTTGTGGCGTGCCATCGCTGTGGAATTGAGACTTTCTGATGTGATCATTTTTGGGGTGGGCTAGTGGATGATTGGGTGCTGTGAAGACGCCTCCAAAGGGCGATGCACAGCTCAATGGGTGTGAGGTGTAAGAGATACATGCGATGGAAATTGCATTGGACGTCGTTTCTCAGAAGCCGTTCGATTTGAAACAGTGTCGAATTGCATATGGTTGCTGTCTCATGCACTCGCTGTGCACAGCAGCCTCGAGGCAGCCTTTGCCATTGACAGCGGATGGCACCAGGAGAAAGAAGGACTGTTCAGGACCCCTGGATTGCATGGCAGCCGCTTGCAACAACTGTGTCTGGTGCAGCCGCTGGGCGAACTTCGGCCACGTTCAAGACAGCAGCTTGCTTCGGCCCACGGCATGCCTCCAAAGAGTTGCCATGCGCCCTGTGCTGGTGGCCGTAACTTTGTCTGATAATTGGTACGAAGCCTGTAGGTACGGCACGGGCGCCGCCATCATCCCCGTTTTGTCCCTCCCCACGACCACCATCACGAGATCCGCGTCCAAATTCGCAGCGAATTCTTCCCGTTCATTAAGAAACACAGGCACCTAGGAAAGGCCTAAAGGTCCTGAAGATCCGCAGACTGCACATCATCGCGGCTGCGGGGGCCCAGTTTCCCGCTTGCCATGGCCACCCCGCTCGCGTCGTCCACCGCCCCGCACTGGGCGCGCGGCGCGCCCCCCGCGCAGCCGAGGAGTCCCGCCACCGCGACCTGCGCAAGGTGGCTGGCCGCGGGGGCCTTCGCGAGGCGGTCTCCATGGCTGCCCCCCGACTGCCCGCGGCCAGCTGGGATCGCTGTGCGCTCGTTCGCGAACGACGACGCTCGGGATGTGCAAGTGGATGCGGACTTCGTGGAGGCGGTGAATGAGGTGACGGCGATGATTAAGCACATGCGTCGCGACGTCTGGCGGTCAACGCCTTGAACGATGGGAAGGCTAGGCGTTGGGGAACGTCGCGACCGGCGCTGGGATCGAGCGACGACATTGGCTGGGATGGCCTGGGCGGGGCCATGTCTTTTGTGTGCTTGTGTGGCTGTTCTTCGAATGGGGACGCCATGCTGCACGGAGTGCAGACGCAACGGGGTGTTTAGTGCAAGGACACCGTCGCATGTGTGCAATCTTCCGTGGCGCGAACTCCGCCACGCATTCGCTACATGTAGCAGGTATCCTTCGAAACGGTGAATCAATCCGTCACACAACTGGGCCTTGAACTGTAGAGGTCTATCGAATCCTGCACGCGAAGCCATTCCTAGAACTTCATCCCTCACTTCGGAGTTGTTCACACCCCTTGCAATATACGCCATCCGCAATGGCATCCTGCGCAGCCCCTAGACATGCTTGTGTTGCTTTTTGAATGCAATTATTGCCACTGTCAACAAGCGCAGGAGCAGCCTTTCAAACTCCCAGGAACTGGCTGCATGGTTCGATACCTTGCTCCTTTTGCCACCGCACTTGCACACGCAGTGGATTGGAGGGTGCGGGGAGAAGGTCCATCACGACTTTCCCAGTTGCCAACTGCTCTCTAACCCTTTTGTGTCCGCATAATGAATGGCAACGGCAACTGGGCGATGTTAATAGTTGGGGTATTTGGATGCTAAATAATATCAATAGAGTGTACCTTAATCCTTTTAACAAAGGTCGCCTTTGTAAAACATGGATGTTAAAGGCTAAATGGCAGCAAAGATCGACCAAAACATGATCTAGGGGTGTTTGCAATGAATAGAACAATGAGCATTGCAGGCAGTCAAAAGTATCACAAATTCTGATATCCTGCTGTTAAAAAGACTAAATGGCAGCAAGGATTGACCAAAATATGATCCAGGGGTATTGGCAATGAATAGAAAAATGAGCATAGCAGGCAGTCAAAAGTCTGATATCTTGCTGATGTTTAAGTTGCAAAACCTATGTCTGCCATTGCGGTGTGCAGGTGTGCAACAAGACATTGAAGGCCATCATAGACCTGGATGAGGAGGCAGCCCAGTCTGTGTACGATGAGCTAGAGGATATGAGGAAACTGTTGTTGTCAGAAGAGGATGCTGAGGCATCGACCTTTCTCAGAGTGCTTCAGGTGTGAAAGTTGCAGATTGCATTATAGGTGGTTCCAATGTGGCCATTACTGGCTCGCTAAGTTGGCCTTGCGACCACGGTGACTGCATAACATGGCACGATGAATGGGCGCCATTGCTCACATGCTGGTTGTCTCACTGCAAAGTGGTTTGCATGAAAAGTGTCAGTGCATTGTTACACACAACAAGGGAATGACATTCAATCGTCGAGTGCTGACTTGCTATATGATGCAGGTATGAGCTCCCACATATCAACAGCTACTGGTGCCGGTGTTTCAACTTCCCAGTACACTGACTTCCGCAGTGATTTCAGTTGTCAAAATTGTGAAAGAGGGCTGTCCTTGAACATGTCAGGCGATTTGGCTGCAGTAGGTATCCACAAGCATGTCCACCTTTTCGTGACAATTCCAACAGCCGTTTGTGTAGGGGCTACTACAGCACTCAATAATTGGAGATGCTGCCACATTGCAAGGGCTGTACCTTGACGCTTTCAACAGGCTGGCCAATTCAATTCAGGTATGTCTGGGAAGAATATCATGAATGTGAGCTGCCATCCAACCAGTATTTCCACAGCCATGTGTGCATTTGAGAGCTGTAGCATGGATTGTTTCTGAACACGAAGTAAAATCGAAGTGATACTGCCTGAAATTGTCAAAGAAATTTTGTAATCTGAAACTATGAATGCCTTTGGCTGCATTTGCCAATGCAGGGCAGAGCACTGTGCTTGCACTTTGAAGGCATTGTCATGCACCCAATTTCCAAAAGATTGTCTTGCTCATGATTGGAGAATTATGTTTTCACTTCATTATGTAGGTGTATTAGCATTTACTGCGATTTTGCAAGGTTGTCCACAATTTGTCCATAACTTTACAGGTGGAAAGTTGTCAGGACTCAGTTCCTGTGCTGACACGGGGTGGCCAGATGGGATCTCCCTGCAGGAAACAACCCATAATGCACCTTCATGTACATAGACAGCAATTGTTTGCAGCACAAGATCAGTGTGGGAACATATGACTGCCAAACTCTGCAGGCTTGCTTCTGGCATTGGTTGCAGCTAAAATGCCCGAGTCCAGCATTGTGGGATGATGGAGGGCCATCTATTGTCAGAGTTGTTTTGGTGCAGCAGTTAATTTCCCCAGCTGGTGCTGATTCGCTGGTGCCCAACACACATGAACTTACAAACCAGATTGGTGCAGGTTGCATGCCATCGTAACCTGAAGCTGACAGCACAGCAGGTGGTCTGCATATTGAACAACAGTAACAGTGTCTGTATGTTCTGTTTGTGAGCTCAAGCAATCTTTGTAAGCTAATGACTTGACGGCAGTAGGTCGACATCTGGTGCAGGGCAGTGAGTGGAAAATCGCAGAGGAAGGCAAGTCAGCTGAAGTAAATGATGGGATCCCTAAATTCTCAACATGGGATGATGTGCTGAAAGGCAAAAGGAGCCAGGTAGCTTGGACATTTGCTTTCTGAACACATGCTATCACTTAACAATACAATACCTTTGCACCACTTGGCTGGTGCTGGGATAGTCAGCTAGTCCTTCATCAGTTTCACAGGGTTGTGTTGCATTCACTGTAGGGGCGATTTCTTTGACTGCTTTAGTATTCTAGTGCACTCTAGTATCTGGTACAGAATGCACATGGAATATGGCAGGTACAGTGAAATGCATTATTGTTGTCAGCTGAGAAGTACACCATCTTCTGGGTCTATTTTTTGCTGGCTGCCTTGGTGACTGCTTGGGAGGTCAGTGCAGTGTTTGTGCTTCATTGTGATCAGCAGGACAGCCCTCAAGATGTTGAGTACTATGAGGCATTGGGCTTGCAACCCTCCTCAAGTCAGAAAGACATAAAGAGTGCATACAGAAAACTGGCACTGCGATGGCATCCTGACGTTAGCAAGGAAGCTGATGCTGAAAGCATATTCAAGAAAATTAGCCAAGCTTATGGTAAGTGTGCCAGTTCTTGGGATCTGCCGGACTGCTGCTTCCCTGGGCCTGCAGACTGCCACCACCGGTGCCATCACCATCGCTCAGCTTTGAAACCCCAGAGTGAATCATCCCCTTGCTTCGTTTAGTGTCGGTCTGGTCAAATTTGGCAAATGTAAACAATTGTTTTGCAAGCTGCACATAGCAAGATCATTGTGATTTCAATGTCCCTGTTGTGCAGCCAAGCAGATGCAAAGTTTTTGTGCAGATCTCAAGCAAATTTAACATTGAATACACTGCCACTTGTCTGCAAAGGATCACAAGAACAGTTTGAGCTGTGGTTCTGTGCGATGCATCGGAAGCCTTGACGGGCACATTACTCTTTGGTTGCAGATGTTTTGTCTGATGAGACAGCCAGGGCACTGTATGACAAGTACGGCGCTGAGGGCATGAAGTCACACATGGGAGCATCAGCAGGAACCGGCAACTCAAAGCGCGACTGGGATGAATTCAAGCCATTCAAACGAGAGAACCATAGGACCAGGGCACGTGCTGCGGCCAGGTACGCCTTGCTGTGCTGAACCAGGCCTAACTTGCATTGTGCTTTGAATTCCCTCTCCAGCTTCACCACTGTGGCGAGAGAACTGCACATTTGACGAGCTTTGTACTTAGAAGACTCTGGCCCGGTATTCCTTGGCTCAGCCATTCCCTGCCTCTTGCTGAGCGAGCAGCTGTACCTGCACCTGCTTCTGCCTGCCAGCAGTCTCTTCCCACGTCTCCTACAGTAAATAGCGTGCATGAGAGCTTCATGGAGCATATTTAGAGTGCTGGTTGGACGTTTCTGCTGTGATCGCTTTTGTGGATATTGCTGCATCAGTGCACAGAAATGTTGTGGTTGAAATTGATTTGTGGGTTGCCAGAGAAGCAAGCAGTGGAGAAAAAGAGGTTGTGCGTAGAACGGCTGAGGCGGGTGATGTTGTGGAGTATCCTCTTAGCGACTTAGTTAAGGACGATCTTCAAGATGGTCGAGAAAAAGGAGTTGGGCTGCTGGTTGGTAGAAACATTGATCGTGGGGATGCTGACAAGCTTCCAGAGGACGTGCTGGACATGTGTGAAATCGAACCACTGAGACAAGAAGAACACAACTCCAACAGGCAAGTGTTTTTCTCCTGTGTGGTCCCCAGTGGCAGCCTCCAGTGACAGTGCGCTGCCACGTCGTTTGCTACCATGTATTGGACATGCCTGCACCGTACACACGGTGGTGAGACAACAGCTGTGGCATGTACAGCATGCAAAAAGCAGGTCGCTTTGCTCTTGTTGTCGGCCTCAGTTGCATTTGCCGCAAGATCTCACGAATACAGGTGATGTACCACTGTTGGTTGTTTCAGTTGAAGCCCACTGGTTGGCCAGAAGTCACCCCAAAACGATAGTTCACAACCCAATAAAATGCTAACAAGCCAGTGCAGGCCATAGGATAGGCCCTAAAGAATGAACCCGTCCTCCCCAGATGGCTTCTTCTGGCGAACTGAGATGGATGGCTCTTCCAACAGCACTTTTTGGATTAGCCCATGACTATTGAAGTACCTTGTTTTGACAAGGTACTTGAAAGATGGTCTCACAGAAAACAACACCGTATGGAAGTGTTTTTAAGTATTATCACTATGTTGTTGGCTTGAGATCCTTGCAGTGTATTGTACACATGTTGCATCTGAGTTATATCTCTGGTTCTTGCCTAATTTCTGATGCATTTTGTGGTGAAATTTGTGTGGCCTGGTATGGTTTTAAGATGCATACGGCAGCCTGCTGTAGAAAATCCTCACCGCTCACCAAATTATAGCAGACTCATTCTCCTGTCAATCCCTTACCCGTTGTGAATGGAGAAGTGTGGTACAAAAAACACAAAACAATGAACATGGTTTGCAACTCATCCCCTCGCTAGGTACCACTGCAATAATGCATTTGATGCACTTCTGCAGGTGGATTCCTGATGAGCTGGGATGTTCAGCATTCTGCCGATTGGGTGACCTCAGCGTTGTACCTGTATCGGAATACGACAGCCGATTTGACGTCTGGACAATCGTGGCAGAGCTGTCACCGGGTTGTGGAGGTCCAGAAATAGTGGAGGAAGTCATGCTCTGATCGTGTTTCCGTACCCATGTGCAAGACGCTCTGTAGGCAATTGATGCACAGCCCAATACTCGGCAGCCCAGTTAAGAGAGTGAATTACTGATGGGACGTGGCTACTAGGTGGCTTGCAGTGTTGTGCCAAGGGCCCTGTGTGCACAGGCGGGAGTGCCATTTTGTAGACTGCGAGTTTGCGATGCTGCAAGTTGGAGAATGGGAGCCTGTTGGAAGTATATCTGGCCTCTAATGATGAATTCAATTTCACCATCTTGGAGGTGCCACACTGTTGATGTAATGTATCCAGCACATGTGCTGTGATGATGTAACATATTCTGTTCAGCAGCCTGCAGTTGCAATGGGCTGTGTGGAAAGGTGGTATAGCTGGTCGGTGGCTGTCTTGCTTTGAATGCAGGCCCGAGCCAACGTGGCGGTCCACGCCCATCCATCGGCGATGATTCATGTACATCTGTCACAATACAAAGGGAAGCCTGGTTTGTGTTGCTGCTCTCAACTGACATGTGCCAGGCACAGACGCAACCTTTGCCAATCAAAACAGATAGTGGGTTTCTCCTGAGATATCACAGGTGTGGATATTGCGAGAAACTCCATCTCTTGAAAACTCTTTGCTGCCTGCTCCTGCATCGTAGTGCCAACTGCACAGCTCTTGTGGTTAAGCTGGGATGGGTACGTCGTGCTTCGAGCTGTTAGACGAGCTTCTCATGTAAGGGTTGATGCTGCGGCGGCTTTTGCTGCGATGATGTGCTTGAGGCTGGCTACCACAAGTGCAGATTGGCGATGAGAGACCTGCAGAATGCTGGTAAGTCGAACAATGCATATTGTACTGACAATGTGATGACCAAACTATTTGTTTGTGTAGAATAATCCATCAACTTCAATATGCTACAAAAGAGGTCGGCCATTGCGGCTGGCCGCTGTCCAGAGCTTGCTATCGTGGGGCCGCCGAGATGCAGCGGGCGAGAAAAGGCGACATTGGGATTAAGAAACAGTGGGCCCAAGCGCGCACTCGACGAAAAAAGTGCAATTGGCGAAACTTTGGTGGGCAACGCGGGAGTCCATGGACTCGCACAGTGTTCCGCCGCCCAGCAGAGATGGACACCGGCAAAGAATGGGGCGCCAGGACCGTGGCAGCTGACCCTATCAAGAAGATAGAGGTGCGCTGGCCCTCGGCCACCCTCGCGCACTCCCGTGCAACCGAACTTTGGGCGTTGCCTTCGCAGTGGTGGCCGCGTGAAGATGAAGCGACAGGAATGGACCCGCCACGTTGCTGGCCATCGCGATATTCACGGACGTCGATTGAACGCAAGGAAGATTTCTAGGGGACCGCGCCCCGGTTGTGACAACTTCTGGCACCGTGTTCACCCAGGCGATGCAGCGGGCCATTCAGGAAGGGAACGTCGCGCGCAAGTTTGTCCACATGGCGGGGAGGTGAGTCTCTGTGCCGCACTGCCTTGCTCTGCACGTGTTCGCTCGTGCCCCGGTGCGACACACCTCCCTCAATTCCTCGGAGCGCATTTCCCTTCGCGAGACAAGGTTGGGCGCACCTTTTTGGCAATGGCGAACGCACGAATGTCAAAAGCGTCCTGTTGTCCCTCCTTCGTTCACTGCCAAGTGGGAATTCCCCCAGCGAACCCCATCCACAGCGGGCTACTGCAGCAACCCCTACCCCGTCCAGCTGTGCTGCGAAGAGCAGCAATAGTGACAGGGGCGTTTTGCATGCGCTGAATTACAACCAACACGTCGTTTGGTGTGTCGCCGGCGTGTGCAGGGGCGGCGACCGCTTGACTTCAGTTGCCATTCCCCTAGTAGCCAGCGCTGTTGCTGTACCGGTGCTGTCGTATGGAATGTACATCATGTGGACCCAGAGCGGGCAGAACGGTTGAGCAGTCGTCTGGGATAGTGCCCGCTCTGGGAGCCCTCAATCCGGGGAGTAGCCGTGCCAGGTGGTCCCAGCATGGGGTTGAAGAAAGAAGGGAACCTGGCGGACATGGACACTTTGGAAAAGGACACATGGTGTGCATGCCCTGTGCGATTGTATTCTCGACGACTGGGGCCAGTGTAGGTGTGTGATAGTGGAGGTGGGACAGAAATGTAAACAGAATGAGGGATGCAGCACTCAGTCTGGGAAATCACTGTCATATCTGGCATCACAAGCATCAATCCCTGTGCTCCTGTGCTAAAGACCTTATCATGGGATGCAGCACTATGTGCACTTTTCTGCATTGAGTAATCATTACTCAATGAACAGTGCATCAAGACAGTGGTTTGGTTACCACATGATGTGGTTTGAGGTGGTGCATTTTGTCCCTTTTTTAGTTGTGTGATGGTTCTGGTTATGCATCAATCAATCTCATTCCCTGCTGCTGGTGCTGTGGACAACCCTACAGTACAAAGGTGGGAATTTATAGCACAACAAATCATGAACACTCGTCTCTAGCAAGCTACCGACTCTCTCATTGTCACTGGTGCAAGGGCCACTGGGTCATCGGCAACGCAGGAAAGAGGATCCCGATGGCAACAAAGCCAAAATGCACCGCAACTTCCACAGCCAGACCACACTGACACTTGTGGCTGCCTCCTAGTGAAGACATGACAGGCAAGATCGCCTGCTTGATGCTGCAACCCGCCGCAACACGGCACTCATCTGTGACAACCGCCAAAGGGCGTATGGCTCATACGGTTCACTTCTGAAATGCTTTGAATGTCTTATGGCCTAACCCCAGCCAACTGTCCACACTATTCCAGCTATTTGTCATCCCGTTAAGCCAAAAATTTTCTGACGCCAACCGCCTTGCAAGGTACAAATTATTGATGTTTGTTTTCTTCCCCCCCTTGTCTTCCAATGTCCAATACACTTCATGCACTGGATGGAACAGAGAGCGTGTGGTCCGTCACATGAGTTCGTAAACAGGGCAGGCAGGTCAACCCAACCCCCACACCGTCTGAGCTGAGTAATCCGCTGGTCCCGAGACGGGCATTTAGGAGTCACAGCCTCACGAGGTGAAACAGTGCGGGACTTAGGCCATGTCAAGCGAGACGACCTCAATCAGCCGAGCCCAGGCTGACCTGAGGAAACAACCAGGGCCTCGACTGCACCAGCAATCAGTGCAGACTATATTTCAACCGAAATTGAATATGTCCCGTAATGGCCACAGCAATGGCCTGGTGAATGGCTTTGAAAGCTTCCTTTTCATATTGGAGAAGGTGGTGCAGACATCTCCGATTGCAATTGTGTTGCTCTTGTTGCAGCATGTTGCAACAGGTTGCAGCCTGCTCCAGCATGCACTGGATGCAACAGCAGAACTAACACGTGTTGCACACAGGGCCCTCTTGTCTTCTGTTGATTCCCTTCCCCTAGTCAGGGGTTTTCGTGTGTTTGTGGCCCGTTTTCCAATTATCCAACTGCAACTTGAACCGCCCAATGGGCGTCGTCGTGGGGTGACGATTGTGGGACATTCAGCACGGGTTCAACTGCAAGATGAAAGGGCTTCGTTTGTCCCGACATTCTTACAGCTGTCCACCTTGGAAATTCGTGCGACACATGTGTGCACTGTACAGTGCAGCACGTTTGTAAGGAGAGCCTTATGATCATGATCTGCTCACAGGCACATGTGAAAGCAAGATAACGCAAAATGGACTCTCAGATCTCCAAGGCCCCTCCGAAGCATGAGCTTAGAGCTACATCAGACGGCATTGCGCCAGGGAGCGCCATTAGGAACGCCACGAATACTGGTGTCACTGTGCAAAGCTGGAGTGTCCAGTACCATCCATGCGCTCCTGAAGCTCCGATCAGAATTCGAGAGTGAACAGTCTGTCCGTCATCGGAGCTTTCTGTTGGCCCATTCCCTGCAGCAGACTTCCAGCACATCTTCCGAGACAAATCCCATGCGTTTCAGCCAGCAGCAAAGCGTGGGTCCAGACCTGCGTTGCGATTCGCCAGGGGCGCATGTTCAGTCAGCATTTGGCAAACAAAGACTCGGGGCTGAGCAGCGCCAGCGGTATTCCATTTTCATCGGGCCACCAGACAGACACTGTCTCCGGTTGCCAGATACATCCCCTTGACTGTCTCGTCGCGTTGAGGATCGTGCGCGAACATGCGCATGTGCAGCTCGCACCGGATTGCTGTCTTCAAACCAAGTGCCACCGCGGCCGACGGCCAAACTTGTCTACCGTCGGCCACCGCTCCGCGATCCCCAACCGCCTAGTTACAATAATCGCGATCTGGGTGTGCCGGGGGCTCCATAGAGTTTCGCCAAGCGGTCGAAAGGGTGGCAAAGAAGAAACGAAGTTAGCGGAAGGACAGGTGGGGGCGCGCGGCGCTCAGCGAATAAGCCCTCCTCGGGGACTGTTGCCTGACGTTTCAGACACTGGCGCAGCTTGGCAGACTCTGACAAGTTGCCGGGCGGGGCCACGCCCATGTGGCATCTGCCTCGCCTGTGCAGACGAGATGGCGACCGCGTATCCCTGGGGGTGGGTGGGCCGAATGTTGTGGAGTGCTGTGTAAGAGGTAGAATGCCACGGCGAGGTATTCCACGATCGTAGAATTCCCTGATTGGGAAGGATTCCGCTTCCTGCGGCTGGCGATGCGTCGGAAGACAATTGGAGGGACTTTCAGGACATGGTCATGTGCCCCCCTTTAGCACAAGCGCCGTGCAATTGGCGACCTTGGGATTTGTGTGGCGCCGCCCCTCATGAGGGGCAACGGTCGGGTGCGACCCGTTGGCATTATGGCTGAATGCCGCAACCGAGGTGGCCTGCAGGCCCACAGTTTCACAGGACGCGTGTGGCAATTCGAATCCGGTGAATGAGCACCAGTGGATTCAGGCACCGCATTCATTAGTACGCCTGACGCCATTCCGGCACACTGTGCGGTGGCATGTCTGCCGACAGTCCCATTGCGCTGTTTGCATTCATCGGTCGATCGAACTGTGGCGCGCATTGACGGATCCGTGCGCATCTGATTCCCCCGTCCGCAGGATTGGCAATGTGGACGTCTCCCTCCGTTGCGGCAACGGCCGTGGCGCTCCTCCTCGCGGCGGCCCCTGCCCTCGGGCTCCTCCAAAACCCGTTCGTCGCCGCAGCCCTTGCCCCTCTGGTGAGCAGCTTGGCGCAGAAAACAACCGCCTCCTCTGTCGCATGAGGTCGGAATTTGTCCTGGCCACTTGGCGACTTGCGGCATCGACGGCTGTCCCTGCGCGGTGCTCCCAGCGGCCGCGGAGCTGGACGTCCAGGATGGCCAGGACGGCATTTGTCATGAAATAACAAATAATTGCACCATCGCCTCAGAGGCAATGTCGGCCGCCGTTCACGACCGCAACGGTTTCGACCCATGTGGTTCGCAAACTGCAGTGGCCGTGATCTTATGAAGCCATGCAGCTCATGAAGATCATATCATGACCTTGCTAAGGTCATGTTCGTGTTCAGGGTGTTACGTTTTTAGCGGTTGTTTAGTTGTCAAGTTTTCAGGGTTTATGTCCCCATAAGGGCCTAAAGGGATCATGAAGGTCGTGGGGGTGCTGATTAGCAACCTTCATGATCTTCATGACCCCTTCACGACCTTCACATCCGGTAATGATATGTATCGAACAATCCACGAAACGACGTGGCGCTCACATGGCGATCGTGAGCATGGAGTGACGGGCGCCCCCGGTGGTTTCCTTGCCAGCCCGAGATTGCCGACGCAAATGAGGCCCCAGTTGAGGGCCAGACGCCCCCCGACGTGGTGATCGAGCGGGTGGTGGCGTTCCCCAAAGGCGTCAACGCCACCGACGCCGTGGTGCTGCGAAACGTGGGCGGCCAGACGGCACTACTGACGGGATGGGTTCTGGAGGAAGCAGGGCAGAAGGGGGCCGCGGCGTACAAATTTGGGACCCCGGAAGGGTGCGAAGACTTTGCAACGATCGCGCCGTCGCAGAAGCTGGAGTTGGCGCCGCTGTCGGACGAGAATCCATGCGGATTCGCTTTTAGCATCAGCTTCAGGTGCGGTCCTGCCTGATGAGGTAATGCCTCCTTGGGGAAGTTTGAGTCGCATCGACCTGGGGCAACGAGTGCTGGCGACGCCGCCACCAGCGGAAGGAGGCAGAAAGGAGGCACAGAGGGCCAAAGATGGTTTTATTCTGTCTTTGTAAGCCGCTTGAATGCCCCCGACAATTTCAGTAGATCTTCCGGAGACGTGTCCTCTAACAGCCGAGAGAAGTGGCACCGTGATGTTGGCAACATGCCACTAAGGCATCTCACGCAGGGCTATTGCAAATAATTCTTTGCTGCACTTTTAACTGTGTGCATTGGCGAGCGGCGACCAGTTCCCAACCATCCAATCTAACTCCTTGTTCAAAACGTTTGTCAATTCCTGAAAATTGTAACCACTAATCACAATATTGTGATTTGGTAGTGGCACTGTGGTTGCAACGGAATCGTCAAAGATTCCGTTCGTGAAATCCCTTTCGTTCACCTGGCATGGACCAGCACCATTGCTTCCCCCGAGGAAATGCCCCTGCGATACCTAGAACGATGTCCCATTCCACCGCCAGGAATATGGCAAAGCCAGTCAAAACCCTGCTCAGAAGAGGATGCCTGGTGCACAGGGCCTGCGGAAAACTGTCGTACTGTGTAGGCCATGTGGCAGCCAGATGATCTGTGGGCCTTCATGTGTCGCCTGTCGCGCGAGCAGTCGCCCATCAACGCCAGGCATGTCGATCAAGAGCGCAACTCAAGAGATATCTGAAGGGTCTCATTTGCCTTACAGGGACGAATTAAAACTGAAAAATGATAACGGCACTGTGGTTGCCAGCGTGGCCTGGGGATCCTCCAAGGAAGGTACGTCGATAAGGCGCCTTCCGGATGGGGCGTATATAGAGGTCAACGAAACTACCGACGTCCTTGGCGTGCTTGAGTCTCTAGGAAACTACACGGTGTTCTTACAGGCACTCAAGGTGAGGCACAAAAAATCGTTGGCGTGAAACCGCGACTGTGCACAGTGCCTCGGTGCTGAGGAGCTCGAAATTCCCCACATTCAAAACGCAGCACCCCTTGAAATGGAGGCGATTCGCGCGAGTCTCAACCTGGCTTTTCTGGTCCGTTTTCATCCGTGTTAAATGTAAAATGATCTTGTGCAGCTTGTCCTGTGCACGCGTCAACGCCCAGTATCGTGGCGTCATCTCCCGTGTTAGTGATAGGGAATGGTCTGCCACTGCAGCAGACGCATTCTCAGAGTTTTGGGATAAGTGCGCCAGGAGCACGCTATATTCTTGCACGGCTTGCATGCCCTCTGGCAGGCAACTGGTCTGGACAAGAATCTGAGGTCCAAGACTGCCCCGGATTATGACGGGGTGAGATACCCCTCGCCACCTCCAGCACCACCGGTCGTTCCTCTTTTCCCTTCCACCTTCGGATTCGCTGTGGACAGAAGCACATTGCCACCGCCGCCGCCGCCTCCACCCCCTCCACCTCCGCCCGCGCAAGGCGTGCCTTCTCATGGACCTTTCACGGTTTGTTCTTGCACAACACTAGTAGGGCTTAAGTGAATCGTCTCTTTTAGGAAGTGAAAAAAGACTCTGATTTCCACCTTCATGGCGAATACTGTGCTATCACATAGTTTTTTTCAACGAAGAAAACGACATGCTTTCCCAACAATGCATATGTGATTTCAACTCTCCGCCCGTCGCACTTGCGAAACGCAGCTGTGCTTGCCCAAGGGAGCAACCACCTTTAATTTTTCAAGTGACTAGAAATCAGAGATTACTTCGAAACAGCAGTAAGTTGAGCTGCTTTTCAGGACCTCAGTGCGAACTATCACAGAAGGAGATCCTCTATGCTCTCTCTATGCATGACACGTGACCCCGGTGCGTTGCGGTGGCTACGGTCGCTCTGAAGGATGTACGTAAAATGAGTGCACCCCTCCTTTTCACAGGATTTCTAACATTTGAATCAGGATTTTTTATGCTGTTTGCATCTTACAGCACACATCAGCATTTACACATTGACTCGCCTCAATGAAAATCCAGGCTCGATTGTAATATAGACAGTGAAATGCAAGTTTGCTTTGACTGACGCTGTGCGCAGCTCATGGCTCCCGACGATCGCGCCTTTGACCGTTTTCGAGCTCTTCTCGCGGGTACTGGAAATAAGCCCCTGGACGTGGAGCTTGTTCTGGAGCTTCCAGAGCTAAAAAGCATCCTGCTGTACCACATCATTCCGGGTGGATGGTCGTCAGGTGTGAGGTGTACGATGCTGATCAGGCAATAACCGATACGCGCAACTGCAGAATCGGGTGTCGATTTCTGTGCTTGAACAGCCCAACTTCAAGCTTAATATGACTCTTCAAGATAGGTTCACTTGTTATACGAAGTCACATTGTGCATCTACTTCGATATTGATTCTTGCGACATTGTGATCACATGTATGAGATCTAAATCTTAGAAACTTCTGCTAGTAGATGACGAGCCTCGCTGCCATGCAGAAAGCCTGCACATCTGACCTTCGTCTGTTTGCATACCCTGGTGCAATATTATATTAAGCACTGTGCTTAAATGCAGCATGACAGCTGACAATGATGTATATCAGGTACATATGATGTGGATATATGGCAGGTATATTCCTGACCACCGCAAAGTGCGCTTCATGCAGTTGGTGTCTTCCATTTCTTCATTTCTGTATACAGCGGGATCGCCAGAAGAAGCAGCAGAAATAATGAACCGTCATTGACTTCATTTTTATGGCGTTTGCGGCGCGCCCTTGTTGTTTCAGAACTAATTCTGAAACCGGTACTGGCGGCAGTGCTGCCGCCCGCGGCTTCCTATGTAAATACTACACTATATCACGCGCAGTTATGTAATATCCAATTTCCACCCCAACAATTGGTGTACATGAGCCAGTTGTAGATTGTGTTGTGGCTGAAGGGCATCAAATTTGATGGTATGAGCATCTTGGGGCGCGGCAACTGGAACGCTGGGGCGTTCAGACAATGAATGCTTTTTGGGGGGAATCTGATTCATCGCCCTATTCAGCGGGGGAGGTCGACGCTGTGTCGTTGGTGCTCGAGGAGACGGCGAGCTTACAAATTATGATTGGCAATCTGAAGCATGTATGTGCTAATCCAACACAAGCGTGTGCATTAGTCATAAACTTGAATGGAGGTGGTTACATTATTTCGCGAAAATACGTACGATTACGATGTCGCAATATTCGCAAAAGCCAAGTGGCGTCAAACAAGCGCTTTCCTCACGATGAAACGAATATACGAATCACAGAATCTGAACATCCATTTCCGCATCTCGATAGAAGAATCAATCTTTAACCTGAATGTTATTTAGGGGCAGTATCCCCTGAATGCAGTTCATGCTGTAAAAGCCGATTCCGGGAGTTGTGCTATTCCAACTGCGTTCTGTTTTGTGCAGAGCACTTGAGAAACAACACAGAAATTTTCACGGCACAAGGTGTCGAAGTTGTTCCTTTCATGGATGCCGCAATGACAGGTAGGTCATGGATCAGCATACAAGAGTGGTGCGCTTTAGTGCCGCCATTAAAGTTGCCAATCCGTTTTACAGGGCCTACTGATCGTTTGGATTGCAATTTGCCGCCTTTAATTCATGCTAGCATTCCATCAATGTCAATATGCTGATTTGTTATGCCATTTTAAACCGTTGCAATGTATACTACGTACGAAATACTGGTAAATGTATCAATTTTGACATCCAAGAGTCTTTATAAGGACAATACCTTCTTTTGCACATTACTTTTCCATGCCCCAATTTGATTCATTTCTATCTGACCACCGGGATCGGTTTATCAATATATCCGGTGGAGTTAAGCATCTCAATGTCGGAATGCGCATACCGTGTAGTGAGTAATTTGCGTTTCAAAGCACGGAACTATTTCTTTGACGGTGCAGCGGCTGCACACAAGCGCTGTACCTGCAGACTAACACACAACATGAGCACCACAGATTCTGCAACTCCCTTCCATTGATTTTCACCAGACTTGTAGATCGGTTTCCCGAAGGTGGCGCAATAGATTGCATGCAGCAGGTGCAAGTGGTGATGCACTGTGTTACTGAAATTCTGCGATTCGCAGACCAAAAGTATTAGTGGACAAAGGGCATAAAGCTCAGCTTCATCCATAAGTTTCTAACCTGGCGGGAATAAGCGGGTATCCCCAGATCCGAAAGGAAGCTTTGGCAACGAAAATCTAAGGAGACATAACGCTCCAGAGCAAACGCATGCAATCGCCGAAAACACGTAGAATCAAATCATGCTCTCGGCTGGAGGGCCAGTTGCCAGCGGCAGCAGGCGATCGATCAAGGGCAACGCATACTGGCACCATTGACCCGCCGCCAGTGAGCCCATAAAATGGTTTCGATGTGGCGGGCACAAAGAAGCGCCGAATCCAGCTTAAGATTGAAGGGTTGGTGTTGAAAGGCAACCACCTGCGTTTCCCAGCGCTGCTCAGCACAAGGACGAGGCTTCCGAGGAACATGATAAGGATTATGGTAAGATAAACCCATCACACAGAGTCGCAAAGCGAGTTGAGCAAATGTGACTCCAGGCAAAGAGAAAGGCTGCAGTCCCTTCCCTTCGGAGGGCACCGGCTCACAAGGTTAGGGAAAGGAAACTTTCCTTTCTCCCCACCTTGTGAGCTGTTAAAGAAGGGATGGAAGACGTCACGGATAATGGGACATGGGCTGCTGGTCGGTGTAGAATAATGTAGCCGTAAAGGATTTTCCGACGAGAAGGAAAGACAGGACTGTGATACAATGCAGGGCAGCGAGGTGCAATACACTCTACGATGAGTAGATCCTCAACATGACGATGACCGCAACTGTCCACTCCGCGTTTTTAAGCTACGGAGGCTTAGCACTACAGGGTTTGAGACTCGCTTGCAGCTGCATGAAGAGTGGTGCTTGTATCATAATTTCATGGCGAGATATACGGCACAATATATTGTCCGTGGCTACATAGCCATGGTGACTGGGTTCCCTCGCGATGCCTCTCAGGCACGGTATCATGGGGATGGGAATGTGGTGTGGGCGGGGATGTTGGGGCCTGGGGTGCCTGCTCGAATCCTGGAGAAATTGGAACAGCGGTTCTTCTTTTAAAATCAACGTAATTTGTCCTCTCACTAATCCGATCAGTGATTGGCGGTGCGGCTGCAAATTATGAATTTGCATTTGCAGAGGGAAAGATCATGATGCACGATTCCTGCGTGGACAAGCCAACGCCGGACAGATATGACTGCTTTGAGCAAGTTGAATTCGGCAAGTGTCACGACCCCTTCATGGTGAGTCCGCTGGGCGCTCAATGGCAAGGAGGTTTCTGCCAGCGGACGTGCGAAAGGTGCACATGCGCTCGGGGTTCTCGAGCTTTCTGTGCTGAGGTGCGCACTATCCCACGTACATGAGCAAAAATAGGTGGTGAGGCTGTTTTCCGTGGCACATGACATGCGCAAAAGAGACGTAGCGTATATACTTCAAACGTGTACCATCGATCGCAAAATCTTTAATTAAAAGACTGCTTAAACTGGTCTAATTTGTTCTGCATGGGGGCTTTTCTCTGCAACTTCTTTCCTACTATTGGTTTCCTTTCATTGACAGCAGACTAGCAGCGGACCTGGCAAGTCCAACCTGCCAGTCTTCATTCGAAATTATTCAATCTCCAGTTGAAGTTGCTCCCAACTCCACCGGCCAGGTAACAGTGCCGGACATCGTGGCCACCAACGGGTTCATTCACGGCGTCAGCCGGGTGTTATTTCCGCCGCCCATATTCGAGAAAGACCCCCTCGCCTTCGCCGTCGCACCGTCAGCCGACGCCGAGGCCCCAGGAAGCGTCGCCGACGCTGACATGGACATTGCGTCGATACTGGACAACATGCCTGCCACACCATTGGGCACAGAATCCAGCGTGGGCCGCAAGGTGGGGCCTTCATCAGCCCTCGTCAGCACGCCGAGAGCGCAGCCGAAATCTAAGATCATGGGCTCCGGGGCCACGACCCTGCCGCCCCCAACGTTTCCAAGCGCTCGAGTGGCTGTGGGCACCAGCAACAGAGGGTAGCATGGAGATTCCCTTCCGGAGTCCAGTTCCTCAATCGGGGACTGGAACTGCAAGAAATCGGAGAAGTGGGAGGCTCCAGTCAGGCGTATCTGAGGCCGTCAAGACTTATTGCGTGCAGGAGCTGCAGATTTGGGTTTGCGGGGTGTTGGCGTCGATGCCGTGCACGGCCTGTGTGATGCAGCACTATCAGAGGCAAATTCTGACGCCAGGCAGGCAGTGAATGAAGGATGCAAATGCACAGATGCAGTAGGCAGGGGTGATCTCACCTGGTGCGCCTGATGTGGGCGCCCAGACTGAGGCCTTTCGATCAACCAAAATTGCAATTCAAGTTTTGTTCTCAAATGATTTTGGGGCGAATAGTCAGCTTCAAATTTGGGGAGGGTTGTACAACTATGCAACAGCGCATTGGGCTGGGATGCGAGCTCCGCGGGATACAATGCGCTGCCGTGCCAGCCCTCTGGATATTTTGGGTGGTTTGGCAGAATGAATTCTCAACTATGGTTGTCTTCTCACAAGGCAGGTTTTGAATGCGGTCGTTCAGTCAATAGATTGTGTCAAATCATTTGTCTTTACTGCGCGATGTGGATAGGGAAGGATAGATGGAAGCAGCAGAGCCCCAAAGTGATGTAAGCAGCAAAGCAGGACCTGTGCAACGAGATGCCTTGCTTGTAAAACTATGACATGGAAGGTACAGCGGGAGCCCCGGCTTAGCGACCAAAGGTGACAAGCCGGCTGAGGGCTCGCTAAACTTAGACGGGTCGCTACGTCCCCCAGTACTTTAATGCTTCAACGGTACTTAACGCAGTGTAGCAGTAGTTTAAGTCCTGCAAGGCGTCCCGTGCGCTTCCGCAAACACTGCTAGATATGCCCACCATTGCATGGTTCGACTCTCTTTATCCTATATGCCGGTGTAAAGGGTACCCTGTACACCGGTGCAGGGAGTACCCTAAGCTGCCGGTGTAGGGGTATCCTAGCCGCCGGGGTAGGGAGTACGCTACAATAGGCCTACCGGGCCCATACTGGCTTTGAGTGCCAGCGAGTCTCAGCTCGCTGTGCCGTCACCATCTTCAAGCACATCAGCCTTGAAGAACGATGCCAATTCGCCTGCAACATTTCTGCGGTGCAGGGAACCGCAGTTGGGAAGAACTGATGCGGAACCATCCATGCAAGGCCGACCAGCGGTGCATCAGGGCATGTATATCAGCATTGAAGCGACGCTATCGCTGATGTGTGTGGTGATGTTGCATCAATGCCAATGCAGCCACAGTGTTGCATCGGTGTCTGGCCCTAGCCCGGATTTGAGCCACCGCAAGAGTCACGAACTTTGGGAGCCCCAAGCTGGGGCATTGAACACAGCCTGGATTGATCTCTCCAGGGCCTCCGTCGCCTTCGTGCATGTGCACACGGACGCCTGTCGGCGCTTGTACATTACCCCCAGGTATTCTCCATCGGCCCATCCGGCATGTGGGGCCTCCGATCCCGCTCCTGGGCCCTCGCCCGGTACGTCGCGGCCGCGGCCCCGGGGCTCCTCCTGGGCCGATCGGGCGACGCCTGGCCGGCGGTCCTGCTGCGGGGCGTCTCCTCCGGCACCGGCGGGCCGTCCGGCCGGCGGGACCTATCGTTGCCAAACTACATCGTCTTTGGGTCGAACACGGGCGTCGGAAAGACGGCCATCTCCGCCGGCCTGGCGCGGACGTGTACCAGGCAGAAGGTGACGAGAGTGTTGAAAAGGGGGCCGCATTGGAGGTCGCAGGGGTGAACACATGCACCAGAACCGCCGTAGCCGCGGCCGGCGGTGGCCGTTTGTGATGCCATTGACTTCCATCTGCGAGGCGAGTGGCATCGCGGATGGAAGCCAATCCCATCTGTGACGCTATCGGCTTTCTGTACGCGGAAGTGAGGGGTGCTCATTCGCTCTGAACCTGGTTTAGGAATGTGTTGTCTACATCAAACCCGTTCAGACGGGATGGGACGGGGGGCGGAGCCCTGCATCGAATTCTGATGCGCACACTGTTGCCAGCGTGGCCCAGGTGAGCGGCAGCAAAAATGCATCTTTCCGTTCTGCAAAGCGTCATTGTGCACATTTTGTTTGATCAAATCACCTGGTCATTCGGCGTCATATCGTGTCTCCTTCCCATCCTGGTGAACAGCCACAAGGCCACAACACTGAGCTTCAATCTTCAAATGGATGCATGCATTGTCTTTGCAATGATGTGGTGGACAAGTGCATGTAGCAAGTACAGCAGCAATTTTGGTGTGTTGTGTTGTGTTTCAGTAGTGCAGCATGCTGTCATGAAGAAGTAATTGCCCGAGTTTAAATTGAGGACAGCACAATTCTGCACCCAGAACTCCTGTCCTGGTAACCAGGAACCGCCCATGGCAACATGTGTAACGTCATGCCCACTTACAATTGGCACAATTGGTGCCACTGCTGAAGCTGTTTGACGACAATTTCCATCAGATCCAGAGCGCACTGTTTTGAGGATCGAGCTTTCGCAACCTGAAACTATCATTGCTGATTGGAAAGCTGCTGCTGGCAGACAAGTTCGTCGTGATGCGCTGGGGACAAATAGGATCAATCTGTCAAGTTGATGAATGCACTGACAGAGGAAGTGGCTGCTTGAAAAGGGACTGGGTGTTTTTAGATTATTGGGCCGTAGGGGGCTGAATGCAGTTGCCGCTTTATGTACAGGAGACAGCACCGGGGGGGTCTGCTCCATGGAAAGATGCCTGTAGGGACCTCATGAAATTCGACACGCTGTATGCATACCAGCAGCCTGTCAGTCCCCATCTGGCAGCTCAGCTTGAAGAAGGAAACAGTATGTTGGTGTTGGGCTCTGCCCGATTGCAAACCTACAACAGAACGTGATAATTGCTGTCTGCAAGCTTGGCGTACCACGTGTTTCCAGCTTGTTTCTAGTGCCAGGGGGAATGCATGTCAATGTAGCAAAGCTCACATGGATTGATGACCATCAACAATTTTAGGGCTGGCATTCTTGTGATATCTTTCAACATGCATGCAGTGTGCACTATCATACCACGCCATTGCGGCACAGGACCACCCAATGGATGAACGTGATATGCCGCGTGAGGAGATGACTTCCTTCAGCCATTGGTTCAGCAATTTCTTGTGACATTTTTGTCGCAGTTGATGCTCAAGTACCAATGTGACACAAGTGGCCAAAGTTCTGACTGTGAAATGCACTCTTATTGCAGCCAGGATTGTGAGCGATGCTGAGCTCACAGATGGGGTGGCAGCCAAACTGACTGAGTTGGCAGGCACTAGCAACAGAAAATGCCTTGGCCTGGTGGAAGCAGCTGGAGGAGTGGCAAGCCCAGTGCCTTCTGGAGCTTTGCAGGTATTCAGCCTAACTGTCGATGTCATGTGTGAGCATAGCTCGAACCCATTGGTGTGCAAATGGATATCATTTTGAGCCTGTGCCCCCAGCCCAGGCCACAGATCCGTGTCCTTGACATGGGCTGCCACAGCACTTGTCCAGGAGGCAGCCTGGGTTTTGGTTTCACACGCCAGTCTGAAATGCAGCTCACAAATTGCTGAAAGGATGGCTGACTTGGCCCCTGCTCGACTGGGCAGTGTGATGTCTATCGCAGCCTGCAGCTTCCTTGCCTTCTGGTTGGGGACCACCGCCTGGGAGGCATCTCTGCAACAATATCAGCATATGACTCCCTGGTGCTGCGGGGTTATGACGTTGCTGCGATAGCTTTGTTTGCTGGAGAGCTCGCAAACCACCTCTTGATCAGGGAACACTTTGACAAGTGCATCCACTCCCTGGGCGAAAAGGGTCCTTCCATCGTTGTAATTCCAGAGCCTAAAGCCAACGATGACCATGAGGAGTGGGTGAGGTAACGAACACACACGGGTAGACAAGGTGGCGACAATACTCTGCTGACAATCTCTGTACTCATCAGTATGAATGTACTGGATTGTCCAGGTCCTCCTTGTGCCCAGCACCGTTATGTTAATTCCTATTCTGGGGTTGCAACTTTGCGGGCTTGTAATGTTTTCGACTGGAAACTACGTTTCCCCTAGATAGCAGCAGAAGCCTGTTAGTTTTGGAACTACTCAGTTTCAGTTGTAAATTTCTGCATGCGATCATCACCACAAGAGACTCCATTATGTTGCAGTTGCCCAACAATGACAAACACTGCAGTTGCTACTGCAAGATGAGGACAGACATCATTCCTTCAACACATTGGCTCCTTTCTGTGTTGCAACATCGCAACGAAAAGCATGGGCTCAAAAAAGAGAATGGGCCCCAAAATCGAAATGGGCTGTGTAGCCTTGCTGCAGGTGAGGTCCACTCAAGGAAATGCTCGCTGTGGAATGCCCACAGCTGGTTGTTTCTGGTATGTATCGTGCATGCTAATCCATTGTTTCGATCCAATTTCACACCAGTGTGGTTTCTTGCAGCTCAACAAAAGTGTGGGCCGACACTGATGGCCGAACAGGCCTGGAATACCTGCTGGATTGCCTTCGAAAAGCGCATGGCCTGCGGCGCCAGATTCTTGATACGGCCAGGGGCAGGGCAAAGCAATGCCTGTGGTGGCCGTTCACACAGCACTCGACTGTGCAGGACAGTGATGTGACCGTGATTGATGCCAGGTGCGGAGAGCACTTCAGTGTCTTCAGCGGTGGCAATGGCAACCCTGGCTTTCTAGAGAAGCAGTACGATGGGTGTGCAAGCTGGTGGACACAGGTGCGATGTACTGCACTGCTAACACCCAGTGCTGTGTTGACTGGTGTGTACTGTACTAATGTGCTGTCGCTGTACTGTACTGTCCAACACTGTTCAGCACCATGTGCTGTTCCGCGTGGTGTACAGCACTGTACTGTTGGGGCATGTCTCTGGTTCGATTCGGAAGCAGCATTTCCAGCACTGCCCAACACTTGCTACTGGCTTGCCACTTCCATCTCCACCCGTTCGGCAATGTGGTCAGCTGTTGCACAGTTGCCTCACTTGAATGTATGCAGAGTTGAGTCGAAAGATTGACTTATTCACTGTTTAGGCAAGAGCACTGTTGTTCCATCCTTCACATGGTGGCTGAACTTCCATTCTTAACTTTGCGCTGCTTTCTCTGTTTGGGCAGTCAGACGAGTGCTTTCAGCCACAGTTGAATGATGGACGTTTATCCTATTTCTATATTTTGCATCTGCTTAGTCAACTGAAACTTTTTATGCTGTTGTCATTCTCGTTGGTTGGCAAAGGGCACAGGCGCGGCAATGCAATTCGAGATCGCCCGTACAGTTGCACTTGCGGCTGGGCGGTACGGCCATGTATTGTTTCCAGAAAATACACATGAGGCTGGTCTGCGCTGCTCAGAGCACCTGCTATCATCAGTAGGTGCGCTGTGTGCCACTGGCATGGACCTATCGATGTCTTCCGCGACATGAAATCGTATAGGGATTTTGGTCTGTCACTTGCAGCTGTTTTCCGAGATATGAGGTCAATTGAAGGTCACGATCAATACCATGAATGTTCACATGGTTAGGATTTGAGTCAAGGCAACACATTCCTGTATTTTTGATGAGGTCTATGAGTTCTTTACCAAATTTTGTAAAAGTCCAAAATAGACAAGTTTCGTTGCTGCATGATGATGTGCCGCTTTGCAGCATCTTCCCACTGAGCAAGCACTCAGCAGTCTTGTTGGTATGGCATCATCTGTCGCATTCTCCACATGCATGAACATTATGTAGACAAATGCCAAGAACTTTTAGGGGCAGGTTGCCTTCCCAATGCCATATAATGCTCATATATAAAAGGTATGGCGGGCGACTGTGCTGCAGCCATGTGCCAAAATTTGCTGCACTTTGCCCTGAGACTGAAGACCCAAACTGCAGCACCAGTAGTGGCGATGCAGTACGGAGCCTGCTGCTGTGCTGCACAGCCGTTGAGCAGCCCACAAATCTCGATTGCTCTTTTAAATGACTCGTGTTCAGCAGCGTTGTGGAGTGGAATAGGTTCTGGATGGGCCTCCAAAGTATTCTACTCAGATGATGGCTCCACTGCTGTGGAAGTCGCTTTGAAGATGGCACTTCGGACATTTGCAAAGCGCCACCACGATCAGATGCATCAATGTGGTGATCTTAAGGTACTCCTGTACAAATCAGTTTACAGGATGGTGACTCTTGCAGCTGTGTCTGGTTCTGTTTGTTATCCATTTTTTTTGGGGGGGGGGCCTTCTCCCATGCAACAACAAAGAAACATCAGGTGTTGAGCTCTAAAATTTCCATAAAGGAAATCGGAACGCCATTATCTTATGTTTCCATCTCTGTTGCCAATGCTGCCATGATTGTTTGCAGCTATTAACTGTATACCTGGAGGTCTGATGCCATGCATTTGTACAACAGGCTGTGATGTGGATGAGGTGTGTTAATGGACATTTTGGCATGTTCTGGCCTGGCTAGACGTGTCCAACGGAGCTGCCAGAAGAATCATGTTGCAAGGCTTTGGAGTGCCAACTGCAGTTGCCCTGTCAGCTGTGCACGCAAGGTGCACAACCAATGGGAACATCCCAGATTGCATCATCACTTGCAACGCACAGTCCAAAACAGAGTACTAACCTTTGGACCCCATGACACTTTCCAAAAACAAGCCCACTTTCAATGGTTGTCTTCTATTTTCCATGCAGATCCTGGGAATGTCCAACTCTTACCACGGGGACACTCTGGGTGCCATGGATGCATGCCCCAGCAGCATTTTCAACAGGGGTCAGACCCCCTGGTATGTGGAGAAGGGTGTGTTCGTGCAGTGCCCTACTGTTTCCATGTTGAAGGGTAGGTGGCAAATTAGGCTTCCAGAGGAGCTGAAGCGGCTCACTGGTGGTTCCGAGCGCCAGCTTTCATGGGAAGAGCTGGATGGTGTTTTCAACCCTGACAGGTGATCGTAAGTTTTGCTTGGGCTCCGTGTTGCTTTGTGTACCTGGTGTGTACTTGGTTGTGTGCTGCTGATGTTCACAGGGACTATCCTGTGAGGTACGTCCTCAGGTGCATTCTATGCCAGCACACATACACATGCGCCCTGAAATGCTGGTGTGGTCCTCTATTTGTGGAACAATGCCAATCTGAGTTGTTGTATTGCCATAAACTGGCATGTACCTCTTTCTGTGAATTGGTGCCCCTGCCTGCCTGTCGCTTGAAACAGAATTCAGTTACAATTGAGTTTACAAATTGGGGTAATAAAGCAGTACCATCCTGGCGTCTATCAACTCTTGCCAAGTTCTTAGAATGCCAAGTCTCCTTTCCATGTCTGGCTGTGCAGTTGCTTTGTCACTGGAAATACCCACAGCCTTATGCATGATCAAGGGAACAATTTGGAGGTGAGCTTGGATATCGCCAAGTACACCAGTTCAAGGCAAGGTGCCATTACCAACGGGAGTCACCTTGGATTGATGTTCACCTCCTATTAATATGAATCGCCACGTTTTGGACACGAAAATGCACAACGACGTTCAAAACCGAGATCTTGCACATTTTGGCCAGCACCCAGCGCATTTCGCATTAATCGGGGGGGCTCTGGCACACAGAGGTACGTCACAGTCCGCCGCACCATGTACCATGTTTCTGGCCCTGCACTTATGCACGGCACTAATTCGCCAGGAACTAATTCACACGAAGGGCTTTCTCTCCCAGTGACAACGAATGCGGCTGACAAACCTCGTGTCCTGTGGCCTGCAGGAGCGATCTTGAAGCCGTCTACTTGAAAGCCGTTGCATCGGTGATCGATGGTGCTCAGGGTCACAAGGCATCGGGAGGCGCCACCATGATAGGTGCTTGCCTCCTGGAGCCCGTTGTGCAGGCTGCGGGGGGCATGATCCTTGTAGACCCAGTCTTTCAGAGGTGCATAGTCAAGGTACTGCTTCAGCAGTAACCACCGCAGCAGAACGACGCACACACGCGCTTCTTCCTGCGCCTTTCACGCTTTTGGTGTTTTGGGCAACGTTGCTGACCTTGATGAGCTGTGATGGTTGCACAAAACTGACAGGTGCTCCTGGGGTCACTTCAGGTTTGCAGGGAGCGCGGCATTCCGGTTATCTTTGATGAGGTCTTCACTGGATTCTGGAGGCTAGGAGCTGCTGGTGGTGCATCCCTTCTTGGCATGTCGCCCGATATTGCATGCTACGCCAAGCTGCTCACTGGTGGGGTCGTGCCCCTGGCGGCCACTTTGTCCACAGAAGAAGTCTTCGAGGCGTTTGCAGGGCCATCGAAGGTGATCGCCTCAGGAACTGTGGGTGTTTTCCAATACGTGAACTGAAAGCTTAAGACGACATTTCACAACATGGCCTGTGCGTATTGACCAGTCTGATAATCATTGGGGTGCGGAAGCGTCCTTTTCAGCTTGAAATTCATGGATCACTGTGGGCACAAATCGCCTCTCAGTACCTGTTGTTGAAGTTTGTGACTGGGCAACGATTCTGGTCTCAGCAACTTTGATTGGAATGGTGTACTGCAGTGCATGGCATGCAGTTAGTGTCGCTCTAGCCTGCCGACGGCACTTCTTCCAGTGCCGCAGATTTTAAAAGTTGTCGCCGGTTTTACTCTTTTCATTGCAGCAATATGTCATCGATTCACCGCCCATTAACCAACACTGGAGTGCCATTTTGATCATGGACAGGCTCCCGAGTGGCCAAGCCATTGCAGATTCAATTGCAACATTCGGCTCCAGACTTGCAACAATCAGCCAATGGCGAACCATCCCCATTTTAAACTGGACAATTACCAGGACTCGCTGCTAATTTGAAGTGACATGCTGATCGCAAGTTTTTCAACGCAACTTGCCACTTTTACTGGAGGAACCCACGCTGTTGTGCAGAATCTGCAGGATTGTGGACGAAAAATATGGAAGCAAGGTTGCCAGCAGAATGCGCAGCGGTCTCAGAGCGCACGGATGCAGATCAGTTGACTGTATCCATGCAAATGGCGGCGTTCACGTCATGTTGCTCGTGTGTGGCTGTCCAGGCTGAAGCCCTCCTCCATGGACACTCCTTCACCGCCCATCCAATTGGCTGCGCCGCAGCCTGCGCCGCCATCAGCATGTACACAGACCCCAGTCTGAATCCAAACTTACAGCGCGCACCGGCATCTGTGGAAATGACCGCGCCTCCGACCACCAAGGCGGAGGCAAAGCTGATGCCGCTCTGGGATTCGAAGGCGGTGCGGGAGCTGTCTTCCAACGCGAAGGTAGATGGTATCACGGCCATAGGTACCCTGTTGGCGGTAGAGTTGAAGCCGCCTGAGGGGCAGGAGGGGGGGTATGGATCAGGGGTGGCTGTGGAGGTTGTGAAGAAACTTCGCGCCAACGGGGTGTACACAAGGCCATTGGGGAACGTTGTGTACTTGATGTGTGCGCCTGTCACCCCGAAGGAGGAGTGCGATCGGTTACTGGCGTTGTTGAGCAGGCTGTTGTGACCTTGGAAATGAACACGCCAACAGGCGCCATGCCATTGTAAATGGAGGTGGACCCCGTCCATAGTGAGGAGAAGACACGTGCGCAATCAAGGGCTGAAATTCGGGACGTCATGCTGGAGCTGCATTTTATGTCACAGATCGTGTCCGAAGTACATCAACATCGTCACGCAGTCCGACTGCGTGCCGTGCTTTGGGAACAGTTAGCCCATGCCAATCAGCGCACAAACCGGCAGACTGCCGGTGTCCTCCCATGGCATCCAACACAGCATCCGAGACTCACCAGTGGCTGTCGACAGCGCAACATCTCAGGTGGCTGCGATTCAATGGCAAGTAGTGCTTCGCAAGAATTTGCATCTGCACCAAAATGCCGTATAATACCGTGACCGACGCAATTTAAGTCTGGACGCTGAAGGGTGTGCCGTTGCTACAATATCAAATGGGTGATTGCTCGTGTCCCAGGTCGGTCGCCCATGTGGCAATATTCGCTTCTTGATGCAATCTCACTGGCAACTAATTTTAACGAATTGGGAACCGACGGATCTGCGCTGTACGTAGAAAGTGGTGTGGTGTACCGCCTGGCCGTACAATTCTGCTTCCAGGGCTCCATCAATCCCGTTGTGCCGCCACCCTAGGGGACCAGCACAAGTAGTCTTGTAAGACAGCTCCCTAGAGCTGTCCTAATTAGGATTCTAATGAGGATTCTAGGTCGGGGCGGGGCGTGGCACAGGTCGAGGGCCACCTTGTGCACGGCGGGGAAAGAAGGTGCAAGCATGAGGACAAGAGCCCACGCCCATCGTACGATCGGTCGATGATCGCCGTCGATCATCGACTCCGATGCTGCAACATGGCCGTGGCGCAAGGCGAGAGCCCTGGGGCCAGCTGTGGTTAGTGGAACTCTGAACAAATGCTGTGCTGGCTCTGGCATGGACATGGCATTCATGCAGATGTCCCACATGGAACCGTGGGTCGACTTTCGATTGTGGGTCGATGAGAGTTTCAGGACGGTCGGCAGGCACCGCGCTCACACAAATCCATCTGCTTCCCTCGCTGTTGGGCAACGACTAGGCCAACGCTAGGCACTGGTAAAATTGTGCATCTATCAACGAGCAATACGCCCACAAAAATGCTGATGGTCCTAAAATGGCGAAGGGTAGAGTGGCGCAAAGAGCGCCCTTGAAATACAAGTACATAGGTGCCAGGGAGTTGGTGCATGGATGCCCAGTACCGAGATTACTACATTGGGGTATAGGTTTCGCTAGCGTGCGTGTGTTGAAAGCTGCGATGATTGCTAACGCAGCTGCTGGCACATCGTGTGCCCAACCATGCGCCCAAACCCCGACCACCCCACAAGCGCCCACAGTTGCGCAAGCACACACGGACAAGAGGCGTCAACGCAGTGCCCTCCAGAGCTGCACCATCACACATTGACACGTATGGACCAGCTCTCCAGTTCCTCCTTGTCTTTCTGGGCGTCTACAAATGGCTTTCCAATCATTCGGATGACAATCTCTCCATTTCTTGGACACTCGGACGCGATCTCCTCTTCAAGCTCACGCTGCAGTGACAGGACCGATGCTTCAGGATCTCCGTCCATTGGTGGCGCCTTGTCAGCGCCTTCTGCGACCTGCGCAAATACGTCAGCAGCACCACGTCAGCAGCACTACGTCAGCAGGCGATTCCAAATTGCGTGTTTGTGACCAGCAGGAGCTCATGGGCAGAATTCCACCATCTTTAGCAGTTCGCCATTTCACATTCGCAGGCTATTACTCAACGCTCAGAGACCATGGTACCATGGATGAGACGCGCTTCTTGGAAGAGATTAATTGGAACATGGAAGAGATTAATAAGAGATTAACATGGGCCATTTTCCACAACTCTAGACATCGGCTGCGAACACTTGCATCATGCGCCAGCAGGCGTCGGTCGGGCTATTAGGGAATGCTTCTCGGTCTGCATTTACCAATGACTCATATTCCCGCCCGCTCAGAGAAGGTGCACCAAGATATCAATCCACACTTCACTGTTGACACATCATGTCCAAAGGAAGCCAGCCTGCACTCAGCAAAGCACATAGGCAGCGACTGTTCTGACAGGTCACACCTTACAACTTCTGTCGTGCGAATGTGTGACTGTCTACATTCTTCACACAAATTGAAAATTGGATGATGCCACTGTTGTGTGGTGCTCGTCTCCCACCTTTGAGAGTCGAGTCATCAACTTTTGCACGCGTTCCTGCTTCCTTGGTCCCACCAACTCCAATACTTCCGCACACAAGCACACTCCGTGAAATGCCAAACCTGTGGGGAACACAAAGTAGGGCTGAAGGGCGCCGCCTGAAGGGAGGGATACAGATCTTGGGGTGTCGCCCAGGCCAGCGTCACAACGAGCACATGGCCTCTCCATGTCCACAACGGCTGTTCTGGACTCCAAGCCTTTGAGGTCACGCCTCAGGGCGTCGGCAATGTCCGTTGCCTCGTCCATCTGATTCTTGAGTGTGTCAATTTGCTTGTTGTAGTCCTCCAGAGACTTCCTGATAGGACCCTGGAACTTGTCGATGGTCACAAAGTCTGGAAAGAACGGAAGGATGTCTTCGATCTTGAGCAGGCCATCTGGAAGCACAGCACAAGAGGTCAGAATCGCAAACAGCCATGCGATAGTATGCCTGAAAGCACAGCCCATTGTTCACATTATTGCTGGAACATGAGACGGCACAATCAAAATACTATGAAATTTAATGGTGAAACACAGGCTTACAACTTCGTCAAGTGATACACCAACAACAGTGCTGAACACAATCAACAGACTGATGGCATGCTCCTACGGATCACCTTGCTGTCAGATGATAAACGGAACTCCAAACGTCCGTTGAATTCGAAGGACAACAAGAAAAATCCCAAGCAATTTACACAATGTGTCTGCTGAACTATTGGCAGTCCTGTCTTGATCAGGGTGGAGCAAAAATGACGGCCAGAAGCCTGATACCTGCATCATCCAGCAGGCCAACAGCTTGGCTGATGTGCTCTTGCTGATCGACGCCAGGGTCTTCACTCTGAATCACGTGTTTTGCAATTGCCAGCCACAACTTTCGCTGCAGCCCCTCATCATACAGCTCTCGGTACCTTGCAACAGACTTCGCCAACTGCAGATCCATGCTCAGCGCCGTTTCCACTGCATCTTCGAACAGACCCAGCACGCACAGCATCACCACACATGCACGCTCGCAGTTCCGTTCCCTCACCAACCTCAGGGCATACTTAGCATCGAAGTAGAGCTTCCCAATTGCATTGCGAGCCGAATTCTCAAGGAAGGTGACCAGCGGCTGTTCGTCATCTTCCAAGGTGTACAATGCGATCGCCAAGTTGTGGATGGCGCTGCAAGTTCAAGGAAATAATTCGCTGAGGAGCATGCAAAGAGCTGCAGCACAGGTTCATGGCGTTCACGAGCACTGTCTGACAACAGGAGCTATGGCACTGAGTTCAACAAGGCACATCTCTGCCTGCACTTTATTGCCCTCCTGTGCAAGGACAGACTATTGTCACAGTTTCCAGCTCAATTGAAATTTCTACATATCTTGATGATGCTGGGCAAGGGCAGCAGCATAAGCACGTTGCTGGCCATCACTGCAGCCGCTTTTGCCCGGGTATCCACAATATTGATACTGAAACCTCTTTACCAACAGTCATAAACTTTTTGGTAGGTGATGTTGCTTGAACCCCTGAACAAAACCAATTTCCACATACGATTTCAGCAAACAGCTTGTAATGTCTGAATCCTTGGCATGCATGTGCCAGGCAGCTTACTTGCAGGAAGCCGCAGTGCAAAATTTCACTTAGGCACATCTGGCAAAAAGTAGCATTGCCCTCACCTGTCCTGGGATCCGAGACGGTTCATGCTGTATTCAAGGTACCGTATTGCCTGCTTGCGAGCCTCTGCTGACGACCCATACTCCCCAAGTGAAACCATGGCAGGTAACAAGCGCCTGCAGCAGAAACTCACAACAGCATTGTTGCCATACCCATGATCGAGGTGAGAATCATTTTGGCACAAAACAGTGGGGATGTGAAACATGCCTGTCATCGACTTAGTGGCTGCCGTAGTTGCCTGGACATGAATTGTCAAGTGTTGACATATGTATTCAAGAGACCTACACAATGCCCATGCTCACATAAGGCAGCTGGGTTGCAGTTGCCCTGCTGCTCATTACGTAAACTCCTTTGCTAGCCCTATGACCCTGCTGTGGACACTACTGGCTCAAATGGACATACTATGTTGACGCTTGCATTCTCTCACTTGTATCTGCCTTATTCTGTCCCAGGACTCCCATAAGTCTCCCAAGGTGGAGCAAAAGTGGGAATCATTCCTCGTTACTTTGCCTTGTTGCAAACTGCCCCTATGACCCTATAGCTGACAATGACACCAAGCAGTCAATCACCGCCTCAGGCACACAGGGACATACTCATAATCACGCCCTGGGCTGCTGTGGAGATTCCATGCAACTTGTTTGCACATTGTGTGCATCACTTGGCATTGCTTACGTATGTTATGCAGTACATGCACTCTTGCACATACAGAAGCACACAATCGTCGCACTGTTGATTCGAAAGCAAGTTGCAAGGTTCCATGATGTGATACTTTATGGTTGTAGCAGTGCCTACTTTGGATCCAGCGGTGGTTGTTGTTGCATCCAGAGTTCCACAGCCAGACCTGGGGCCAAGCCCATAAGGTGAGGAGCGAATTTGTACACCAGCTCTCGGGGTACTGATGGTAGGCGCATCACACCCAGTGCACGGAGCACATCGCCTCGTTGCATCAAGCACTCAAGAAGTGTCTCATGATCCCGGCGACACTCTGCAAAGTGCATCAAATCGTCCATGCGACCATAGCTTGAAAGGAGGGTGACCGTGGTGTTGACATCCAAAACCTCCACATGGGTGCTCAAGAAATTGCGAAGATCAGCAACACACTTGTCATATTGAGGGCCCTGCTCACCTGACTCCTGCACACCAGATATCACAATTCTTGCTTTGTGACACCATCCGGTTTCATGAATGAAGTCTTCCAGATGGCATCCACTTGGCACAGATGCAGTGAACAAATTTGAAGAAACACAATGCATCACCATGGATTTGTTATTGTGGATTAAGTTTCCAATGTGGCAAACTTGTTTGAGCTAGCAGTGCATCAACGTTCAAAGCTGCCTGAACCCACGACTGCAGGACATGCAGAGGAGCAACAATGGATGAAGCATGCCATGAGAAAGAACAAGAACACGCCCATCGCCTTCTGTAGAAAGCACCACCCACCCATGTCTTTAAGGCAAGGGCCTCAGTGATCTCATTCATTAAATTGGGCACCCAATGCTTTGTTGAGGTCATGTGTCTTAGTTGCAACATCAGCAATATCTCTGCAGCCACCTTTGTGGCAAATGCCAAGGTCATGCCCTTGAAAAGAAAACGAACCCTATGGAATAGAAATACAAGGGGCATGGTGCGCTCTGAACCACTTGAGCAATAGGAGTGTAGAAATACAAACCTCAAGCAGAGCTTTGTTTATTTTGTCCAGGTACAGCTCGGTCAACCAGGATGCCACCATAGTTTTTTGCGCACGGTCATCATGCCCCAGGGCTTGAAGTTTTGCCATCAAGAACTCTTGAAGTGCCTCAGTGTCCTCCAGCTCGATAAATTTCAAGGCTATGTCCTCAAACGTTGGACTGGACCCTTGGAGCTGCAGTGAAAGAAACGAGAGTGTAGAGCAACACGCCCTCATTGGCCCAGGACCAGCATATCAATCAACTGCATGGAAAGAGTACGCTGTTTATCACAAATGGCTGTCAACAACTGTAACCATGGATGCAAGGTGTGAGAAACAACTACAAACTGCAGCATGAGAGCCAGTGGTCAATTCTTCCATCATAAACACTAACTGGAGGCTGCCTTCGTCTATGCTCACCTTGGCAAAGGTGCGCGCAGCAGAGACATTGTCATTTTGGGACATTGCAACTTCAGCTTGCTTTGAATAGACCTCATCCCGCTGGGCTGCAGTCCGGCATACACGGAGAGCATCTGCATAGTCCCGCATGTCCAAATACACTTTCCAAATGTCTTTATCCTCTCCATCACTTCCAACATCCAGCAGGGCCTCCGAAGTGAACAAGTACACAAGGCCGGTGATTCTGTCAGATGCGAGTCCCAGTGGTTGGCCTGTACAGCAAGTGCACAATGAGGCCAAAAATGAGAGATCACCAAGGGTGGTTTGCACACTCACAACCTGCACCATTTGATGGCAAAAATGCCTTGGCCCTGGACACCCACAGGATAGCATTGTGCATTTCATCAGACTCGCCTGTAACCCTGGAGCCCTTGGTTTGGAACTGTGTGCATTGAATGACTTTCTGATTAATCCTGTTCACCACCAGTAGGAAGTCCTGGAAGAGCAGCAGAAAGTGGTACTCGGTGGGAACCTGCAGGCAACAACACAGCGATCAGATAATGTGCTTAAAAAGACCTGAGGCACATGCCAATTTCTGTACCACTGTTGGCATCTTGGTCCCCGAAACATCGTCATAATCCATAATAATCAGGGCGGCGACACCAGATTACAAATTGCTAATGAACGTCCGACAAACACATGTTGATGGGAGACAAATGTTGGCCTGCTGAACAGCACTACACAGCTTTGGAAATTGCCCGAGTCGAGGTGCACAATCTGCAAGGCAAACGGGGGAGCTTCCCTTACCATGGAAATTGCCCGTGCGCCTCTGGTTCTATCCTTTGCTTTGTCCAGCCGCCAAAAGTTCCAATGCTCGACATACGCAGAGTCACTGTCTTGTGGCTTGGCATGGTCCACATTCAGCGCACCATGATACACCCCATCGTCAACAAGCCATGCAAATCTGTGGGGCCAGCCATCGGCACCATACCCTAGGTGAAGATGCGAGCCAGCTGATGGCACAGGGAGGTTGGCAAATGGTTCCAGGACCTGCAAAGGCACATCATGGTTGCCCCAAGTCAATGTTCGTTCTGCATCCAACTGGTGGCGCGCTGAGTTGAGGCTTGCACAAGGCAGGTCACAGCACAGTTGTGCGAGCAGGTAAAGTAGGTTTAAAATGTGCAACCACATCAGCATGCTTGGTCCTCGCTTCCATAGAATTTGCCTCCAAACCTTCACAGGATGCCAATATCCCAGCTACCAAGCTCCCATGGATGTGTTTGGGATGCCTTTGTCCCTATGTCATTATTCGACCATCCCATATGATACATGAGCAGCCAGCTCCGTGATACAACATGACGATGAGAAACATGGCCACAGCGTGTTTTGCAGGTGGTATAATATGGCAGTTACAAATGCTTGAGTACCATCTTAGTCATGGTGAATTCAATCAATCGCCAATCAAACATATGCATTTACAGTATAATCAAGCCGATGTGGAAACACAGTGCACAGCACACGAACACAGTGACATGACGTGACAAAAGTTGGCAACACTCACAAACATTTCCATTCCAGAAAGTGCCCGTTGCATGAGATGTTAAAAGCTTGTTAAAAGCTTCCACCAACCTTTCCTGTGCTATAGACAGCAAATATGGCCTCCAATGATGGCCCACCAGTGACCACAAAAAGTGCTTCATTCGTGATCATCAGCACCAGGATGCGCCCATCCCTCAGAGTTTGCTGCTCAACACCACAGATCACGGTGGTGGATTCTTTGAATGTGAACACTTTCTTGAAGGTCTTCTCCCTCTTGTCCCTTGGCTCCACAACAAGAGAGTACAAAGACCCACCGGCCGCGACTAACACCTCCCTCACATACAAACACAACACCTCAGTACCTGTGTTTCGAGTTGTGGAAATCTTTCAGGTCATCCATGCCAGCAAGTGCTTGGGAGCTCCAGACAGGCATGTGCCTGTCCATAGGTATGGCGGTAAACAAAACAACTATAATCTGTGCACTGGAACTTGCTTTTGTACACAGGTAAAAGCATTGGCAGACATTGCACAACAACACTCCATGGCCAACAATGATCAAGTCCGGTTGACAAGGCACACAATCGTAAAGCAGTTGTGCTCTGCCTTTGTCATCAACTGTGTCCATATTTCGGCCATCACCTCGTTGACAGCTCTGCCCCTGTCTCTTCCACCAGCCTGAAGTCCCTTCCTTCAGTGCCTGGTGCCCGCATGGGAGGGGCAGCCCTGTTCCATCCAACAGCGGAAATCTGTGCTCCCTTCATTTTTGTAAGAAGCCGAGTTTTCGTCCATGAGGAATGGAGATAGTGGGTGTCTTGGCCAGCATGGTGCTGCAGACTCACAAGCAGATGGTGGGTGGATGGGTCCAGGTAAATGGCCGTTATGGTTGTTTCAGGCAGTGGCTTTAGAATGTCGGCTTCTGTCTCGAAGCTGCTCCCACTATCTGCAAGGGCGGCGCTGAACAAGTGAATGAATGTATCGTCACAGAACATGGCACAACACAGTGGTAATCTCACATCTTGTTGCGAAGTGCAGTGCTGTGCTCCATAACATGTGGAAAAATAGCCCAAAGAAACAATCGCAAAAGCACTTGGGGCAGCAGTTGAATGGGTGGAAATTACTTCAGCAATCAGTGGGAGCTGCATCCAGCTGACTGTCAACCATTGCAAGGGAGCTCCTTGGTTCATGAACAGGCACCTGTTGGTTTTCTTCATTGGCAATGCAGGCAGCACCAATCCAACACAAACTCACCCAAGTTCTCCATGCTGTAGTTGTACCTCAGAATGTAGTTCCTAGCAGTTGCCACCACGACTATGTCCCTGGCAGCAGCCACTGCAGTTGTTTGCCCTCGACCCCTGGTTCGCAACACAATCAACAGGTCGTACAAATACTGGTTCATGGTTTATATTGACAGATGGTCAACATCACCCTGAGGTACCTGAGGCACAGGTGCAAGGCTACAATGACAATGCCAGAAATGGGCAGCAGATCATGACATCACAATCCCTGGATTGTGCGCAATGGGCAGATTGCTCAGGTCCAGCTGCAGCCAGCTGCACTGACATACCATCCAGCGTGCGCTGATTCCTTAGCATCTATTCCTTCACACTGGATGTTAGAAGCTGACTCAAACTGGAGCGCATCGCCACGTCCCAATTGTCCCCCATACCCTCAGCATCTGGGTTGCAGAGATTCCTCCAGACAAAAAATCGCCAGGGCGCGAGCCATCGCTAATAGACAGCAGCTGCTCAAATCCCCAAACTTAAGCCTGGGGTGGTTGGACTTATCGGCAGGATCATTCCGTTGGGCACAATGGGCACTACCGCAAGTTCAATCCTGCATTCCGTCAAATGGGCTGTTGCAACGCAGCCGCTCCGTGGCAACCCTACCTCGTGACCTTCCTCTCATGCGTTCCCATTCCCAGCGAAAACAGTCCGCGCCCCTCGGCGCGACCAGGCAACCCAGGCGTCCCCCGATTGCGGACGTCTTGGCCCAGATCGCCATAGCCGTACTCGTCCCGCCCGGGGGACACGCTCTCGGGCCTCCCCTGGATCCCATAGTCCTGGAAGTCGTCCAAGATGCTCATCGCCCCGCCCCCCCAAAGGCACACGCGGAACTCCAGCCACGCACGGCAACACCCCGAGCAGAGGGGAACAGTGCTCCAAGCAACCCAACTCGCGCGCTGTGTAGGCCCGTTTTCCATGTGCAATGCGCGGATGCTGACTGGATGCTTGTGTGCGAGCCTCCCCCTCTCGGCTGTGCCTCATGTTGCGCACATCATGACCGACCGACCATGGACGTTGGCCGCTGGCGGGTCCGCAAGGATGTGGGCCTCGCCCGCCGCTGCCCAAGCGGGCGATCGGCTGCCGGTCGGCCCGGGCCGCGTCTCCTCGCCGGCGTTGTCCCGTCCCAACGGATGCGGCGACGGCAGGGCGCCGCATTGCCCGCGGAAGGGGGGGCGCTTGGGCATCCGCTTCGGGACGCCCAATGGGGCCCAGAGGTGTGGCATTGCGGGCTGCGCGGATCATGACGCCGTGGAGCTGGCGGCCTCGCCTGGGCGCAGCGATTGCGATTCACAGGTGGAGATTTGAACTTTGGCCTTTAAGTCTGGGGTTGGATTGTGCTGGATTTGGACCCATCACCCATCGTTCAGTTTGACGCCCATTTGCAGTGCACACACAGTGAAGTCTATGGTGTCACCATCGTGATGTTGTATCCTTTCAGGGCGCATGCTGTATTGATATGCGTCCACTGGCCATAGTTCTGGGTGCCAATCCATGGGTTGCTTCGGTCACATCGGACAAAAGCAAGTGATGGTTGCATTGCCCCGATGAAAATGTGATGATGGTGCTGGGCTGATGCTGATAGTTGTATATCACGCCTATAAGAGTGTGCAACCAGCAAACTTTGAATTTGCTGGTGCCGCTTGCAGTGCAGTTAGTCCTGGAATCACACATTTGCAGTATTGAAGGCTCCAGCGCAATGAATTTTGGAAGATACCTCTGAGTTATTATTCATGCATCCTTTGTGCAGATACCTTTTGTGGACTGGTTGAAGGCCTACAAGTATGAGGTGTGTTGCTCTACAACTTGCTTGTGGAAAATGCTTCTATGTTGCTCTCGAAATTATCGATAATCTTGATGGAACGACAGTAACGAAGGTTTTGGTGGAATTCTTGCAATGTACACTCGACTCAGTGGATTGAGGCGCAGCCATTGGCAAAATCACTGTCTTTTGGGCAATCCTGGGGAAACCAAGGTGTGAAACAGCCAAATTTGTTCATTCAGCATAGACGCGCTGCAGTTCTGACATCCAGTTCTCTATTTCAGGAAGAGACATTACATGGGACGCTTCACATCCAGCCGCTGACTCGCGCAATAATTCCGCGAGTAGCCAGGCTGTTGGAAGAGACATTTGCTGATAGTTTGGGATATCGCCAAATGTTCAGGTTTGTGTGGTTCATGTCCAGCTGTCCAATCTGCAACACGGCGAAGTGCACCAAGCGTTTCGTGCTTGAGAAGAAATAAATTCTGGGGAACATGAAGGAGTTCCTTGCCTGCAGCCATGCACAATTGTTGGCCATGAATTGTGTCCTCCCTCTGCCTTGACACAATGCAACCGAGCTTGTTCACACTTGTGGACATTGTGAAATTGTGGTTTTGCGTGGAGGTTGACAGGGACCTGCCATGCAGTGTATGCTGCTTGTCAGTGACTCTTTTGCCACTTGTGTTCCTCGCGTTGGTGTCGGAATCGATGTCACATCTTGCACAGGTCTGCACCTTTGCACAGTACATTTAGACTTGGCATTCCAGGAGAGCATCAAGAAGAATTGACTGCGACACTACTCAATATGGCCTTTGCTGCCATGCAGATGTGTCCGTCCGGCAAATGTTATCCAGTTGCAAATGCAGTGCAAGCAGAAATCATCGACATCGTGAAAAGGCACTACAAAAGCAGGTCCATTGCCCTATAGGTGCAGTTGATAGCAGCTCAAAACGTTGGCCAGGTTGCTGTAGCACCCTGCTGTCTGAACTTGCAAATGTTGTTGCAAAGGTGGTGGCTCCGCATGCAGGCAGAGAACTATCTTGCAATCTGTCTTGACTGCCTCCCTGCTGGTGTGGTGCTTGTCGCCACTCTGATTCCAAACGATGATTTCCGAGAGCAGCATGCAAATGACCTAGGGAAGGGCACTGTGCCAGCCACAAAAATGGACAGCAGCAAATTTCAAGGTTTCGATTCGTCCCAATTCAAGCCGGATGTCAACACAAGTGGCGGGCAACAGCAAGGGTGGTCGTCACCTTTTGTTCCATTTAACATGCAGCCAAAAGGGTTTTGGAAAGCCAATGGAAAGAAGAAAGACAAGATCTTTCAGGGCTTTCGTGATGATCTAGATGTTCTTGGGGAGAAGGATATGTTGGATTCTGTGCAATTGAGAGGAGCAGCATATGCCCAAAATGGTGTGGAGGAATGGAATGAAGGGGTAGTTAGTAGGGCACAGAAGAAATCTGGCACTGACGCATTGGAGGACAGTTTGGCAGATATCAAAAGCACCGATGAAAGCTTCGAATTGGTTTCTGAACCATCTCAACTGCAAACATCAGCTTCCACAGACAGCATAAAGGCTGAGGCTGAGGCTGAGGCTGAGGAACAGGGAGAAGCAAAGCGTGAGGATTCAGCAGTTGTTGTTGATGGGGAACCAGCTAAACAACCAGTGAGCGATCAGGAGGAGATTCTGCTGGGCACAGTAGAGGTGTCTTTAGACAATTCCACTCGGCCATTCTTCTGGTTTTTGAAACCTCCAGAGGTGAGTTGTGCAGATTACGCATCATTTACAAGTTTTCAAAACTTAAACGACAGCTTACCATGAGATGTGTCGCAATTTCGCTGGTCAGGCCCAATTGCAGATTTGCAACTCACAATTGAGGTTAGGCCTCTTGGTGAGAACAAGTTAGACAGCACCTTCGGTTTGTCAGCATGTGGTGTGCTGGAAACATTTCAGCACTACTAATTAACCACATGAATGACCTTTAGGTGCTAGAACAGTGCATGGCTTCCAAATTTCCCAGTCCCTTGCCAAAACACACAGCCATGTCATCTCTGGCTCGCTATCTTCCTCATATGCCACATCACTCTGTGCGAATTTGATCACATCCTGCTCCTTGCTTCTTTTCCAGATCAGGATCATGGCTTAAGAGCTGCGTCTTTGAGAATTGCAAGATATGCACTTGGTGGCTGCTGTGGAGAAATGTGGAGTTTTGTCGTTGTGCAAGTACAACATCAGTCAGCTGCGGCACATACTCACCCCCAGTGCCAGATGAACAGGGATGGTGTGTGACAAGCCCTTGCTGTACTTTCAGGGCAGTGCCTTCATCTCGAACATGGCTGTGGACCCCTCTTTCAGGCGCCAGGGCCATGGCACTCGACTGTTAAAGGCTGTGGAGCATGTGGCAAGGCGTTGCGGCAACCCATGCACTTGTTTACATGTCAGGTGAAAGTCATAACTGGATGCCAAAGCAATCTCTTCTATGAAGCACTGACCTGGGTGACAGAAGATATACATTCTTAATTTTGCTTGTCATCAACAGTGTGGCAACTGAGCATCACGTTGTTGACTTGTGCTCATGGACTACCAATAGACATTCAACTGTTTCTGGCAGATGTTCCGTGCCCAGTTGTTGCTGATGCCATTAATCATAATGCGTCTTGCCGGTAGATTTGAGGACACTGGTGCCATTGCACTGTACCAACGAGAAGGCTACTATAAAGAAGACGAAGACAATTTTCTCTGGTCCGCTGCTGGTTTTGATAGGAAGGCACTCCTTAGGAAGGACATGGCAGGCTCACAAGCTGAGGGAGGGATGTAACAACTGAAACATTTGTTCTGGGCCACATTGGGAGCGCTGTTCACCTTCAAAATAGACCGAGGAAAGAAAGCTTACCGATTTGTCCAGACTTGCGTGTTGCAATTTCGACCCAGGACAATTTCAGCCACTTCTGATTCATGACAGCCAAGTACACGTAACGTTTGGTTTGGGGTGCGATGATTATTATTTGGAGTGAACGCTTGGACAGCTGTTGCATCCCCTGGGTCACAACAGCGGAAGAATATCTATGCTAATAATATAGTACTCTGGTACTAAGATTGTACATAGTGCACACAGAGGCTGCACCCACGAAGGGTGCTTTAGCCAATGGTGCATGCTTGGTGGAATCGTCAAATTGTGAAAAAATGAGAGACAGAGAAGTTAGGAGGCTTGGAACATGCTGCCAATGCTCGGCCTCCTTATACTAGTCTGCTTTTCAAAGCAGACAGGGCCATGAGATGCCGCATGCCGAGGGGCGTTACATTGCGTTGCCAACTGGCTGCTCACACGTGCAGCGCTCCTTTGGGCGCAGCGTCAGCCTCAGCTCGTTTCCTTGTTTCACCCCTCCCCGTTTGGCAAGGAGTTGGTCAACAACGTTTCCTGCACCGCCATGCTGACGCCGGCGTTCCAGCTGCACTTGCAAGGTAAGGGCGCTTGGGCCTCAGGTCCCCTGCGGCTGCGATGGTCGTCACCGTGCCTTCACCTCCCCCCCTCCCCGCGCCCCTCCCTTGATGTCAGTTCAGGCGCCTTGCGTCGGGCCCACTCCCCGTCTTGCAGCGGCCCCTGGGCCTTCCTCGCCGTGGACTGAACCTCGGCTGCCTACTGGCTCTCCTGCCAGAGCGTTTCTGGCAGACAGTATCGCAGCCTATGCCCCGGGAGGCGTAGGGGTGTCACAGGTTTCGTAGAGGAAAGGTCGCTGGCTGTCTTGAGCAGGTCACCTGCTTGCCCCTGCATTCCTTTGGGTCTTAAGGGGCCCACAATGTAGGGTTTGGGGCAGGAGGCGCGGGAACTGGTGGGGAGGCAGGCTGGCAAGCTGCTCTGCTGGCCCTGGGCTAATATTTAAGAGCAATCTGAGCCCTCCCTCCCATCACCCTTTCAAAACAACTAACAATCCCAAAGGCTAATATCACTCCTACTCTCAATATCGAACATTTATTCATTGCAGAACGTGGCGCAATTCAGCGCGAGGGTAGTCAGTTTGCGTTTGGCCCCTTGAGCTCAATATGGCCGAAGCTGGACCTGCCCGAGGCAGGGAACATTCACAGAAGAGCTCTTGGACCCTGGATTTCACTACTGATTTACTCTAATTCGTCAAGCAAATGGAATACATCATGTTCAGTTTGCATTGTGTGCACTTACACAGTTCGCTTGCGTTACTCAATTTGCCCTTTCCCCTTGTCTTTATTGACGACTTGACGCGTATCACACAGACAAAATTCAGAGGGGCCAGGCGGCGATCGGGAAGTACGATGGCCGCCATGCGGCCCTCACCTGCGCCACGTCAGGAGGGAAGATCTTCATCCACAGGCCTCAGCAAATGGCTGTGGGAGATGAGCCGGTCACTTACCTCAATATCAACAAGACCATTACTGCCGTGCAGGCTGGTGCGACTCCATGGCGAAAGCTCAAGTGCTACAAACTCAAGTGTTGATGAATGCAACAGCTGCTCGCTGCAGTGCTTGCCTCACTTGAGAAGAGTGCGGATGCTATTTCAATGACGGGGCCACCACCTTCGTCCAGTGGGCACCAGCACAGTGCGCCCAATGGCAGCTTCAATCGTTTTCGTGGCGCGTAATTTGATTGCATTCAATTTGGCCCCAATGATGTAATGTGGCTGTCAACGATTGCAGTGCTCAAAGAAAGGCCATTGCTTGCGTTCAATTGCCTTAGGAACGTGGGCGACCTGCATTTCTGTGGTCGTTCCAAGCCACCCTCACTCAATGGCGTCACTGTGGTGCCGGCTCTGAATCTGACGCGCACCCATGAGCAACCGGCCCATCGCATCCACCAATTCAAGAAATTCTTCTGGACTGCTCACCATCAGCAATGTGCCTTCTCATGCCTCTGGCGTGAGAATGTGTTTGAAGTGTCACCCTCGCCACAAACGGGTCTGAAGGGGATAATCGGTGTCCGCTGAAATGAGCAGCGACGCAGTTTGCTGCCGACGGTGGTGCGGGCGCACATGCGCCGGCGACGGTTCCGCAACGTTGGCGAGGCGCGAGTTGATTACTAACAGAGTCCCCAACCCTATTGACAGGAAGGCTGGACCCCGAACTGCAGCGCGATGTGCTGATCGTTGGGACCCCAACGAGCCTGCAGTCTTACGACGTCGAGGAGAACAGGGACCTGTTCTTCAGGGACGTGGCCGACGGCGTTAACGTCGCAATCTTGGGGCGAATGGGAACCATCGAGTCGCCGCTGGGAATCGTGGGTGGGAATTGCTCCATTCAGGTACACTCAGCGCCCTCGCAGCGCTAGCGAGTGTACCGAGGCCAGTAGACCTGCCATGCCTTTGTGGCGAAGCTGTTCTTGGTCCTGATGCAGTGTTTCGATTGGAAATTTTCAACTGCGTACAGCAGAGTACGGAACATCTTAAGGTGATCTAGTGATGATTTTTCTGTGGGGAGATTCGAATTGGAGCGGGCTTCGAGTGCCTGGGCGCGTCCGTTGTGTTCCACTCTGTGCAAATTAGCTGCATGTGTATCTATGTGTTTTTCAAGGCAAATAGCCCAAAACAACAACCAAAAGTAAAATCGTACCCAATGTTGTTATTTCCTTCATTTATCTTTGCTTTTTATATGTATTGACAAATTTTAGGTGATCCATTGGCAGTGCAACAATGCGGCGTGTTCTATATGGTACTTTAAGTGACTTCCAACGGCTTGAAGATTGAAACCGCACCAACATATCCAATCACATCTAAATTTGTGAGTACAGCAAATCTGCAGCAGAAGGCAAGTCACAAGACGTCCATCCTTCAATACATCTTAGACTGATGAGAAGCAAAATTCAATCGAACCTTGGGGTTTGGGAGAGGTCACCCCATGTGATGCTGATGCTCCGCAGCTGGCAACTTCCCCAGGGCTATAACGCTGAAGGCACCGAGCTGTTCTGGACAGTATCTGGAGACAATGTCTCATCCATGGCATTGGCAGACGTTGACGACGACGGAATAACCGAGCTTCTGGTAAACCCCGATTCGCGTGTCTCCAGTGATCTGCCCCTGTCCCCTTTGCGCAGTAGGTAGAATCCAGGAGTAGTTCGCAAGGTGGTGGCACAATTCTCGAATTCTGAAGAGACGCGTGCACAGCACTGTCAGAAGGGAGCCGTGGTACATCGGGAAATTTGCCATTCACCCATCACGTCCATTGAACGATAGCATGCGCTTCATTCTGGCGCAGAAGAGGGCCTCAGATGAGCCATGAGGGAATGTTTCTATGTGCAATGCATGGGTCTTGCTGTGAACCAGTTTTTTCTTCACCACATACACTGAACATAATCCACGGGGATTTTATTATCTGTGCCAGCTCACTGCATTTCATGGGATAATAGGGAATGGCGACATGGGACCATGAACAATCGATTCCAAATAGGCTATCTGCTTGGTTTTCACGCCCATCATCGCCTACCAGGTGCACGGGCTGTGTTTTGTCATTTTGTGACAAATGTAATCCATGGATTTTGATGATGATGATGATGATGAACCAGTCCTTGGACTGGACTGAAGCAACCTCAAATTAATATGCTCGGTGAGGAGCAAAAAATCATTAATCCGAAGCGGCATTCGTTCTGTGCATGTTTCCACACATCAATTCTCACATCCAGCAGAGAAGAGCCGGCTTTAAGGGCCGAAATCCATCCCGCATAGACCCCTTCGCAGACCACACGTCCGAAGACCTCGGATGGCATTGCCTCCTATATCTAATCAAATCCTCTTCACATCACCGTGCTCTCATTGTGGCCGCCGTACGCTCACAGACATCTCATTATGGTCATCATATGCTGTTCTGCGATCTGATTTTGATGAAGCCAAGGTTGAGATGACATGCCAGCTCTCTGCCACTCGCGACGCTGCCTGCGGCCTGTCACAGCATGCGTGTGTCTCAGGTAGGCTCCGATGACTTTGACATCCGGGTTTTCCAAGATGAAGATCTCGTGGCGGAGGTGCCCGAGGCGGACGTCGTCGTCGGTCTGTGCCCCATCCAGAAGGCGCGGTACGGCTACGCTTTAGCGAATGGGACCATCGGGGTGTACAATGGCACCGAGCGCATGTGGAGGGTGAAGAGCCGCCACAGCGTCTGCGCCATTGCCAGCTTCGACCTGGATGGAGATGGCGTACCTGAGCTTCTGAGCGGCTGGTCCAGCGGCAGGGTGAGGCTGCTTTGAGGCAGTTATGATCAATAACACTTGTGTACATTTGCCAGTAATGCTTTTGACATGGCGCGTTTCGGACCCGCTATGTAGCTGCTGAAGATTCGCATTAATGCGGCTTGAGCTTGCAGCGGTATGTTTCAAGATACGGTTGGTTTGATAGTGTCGGTATGGAATACAGTGTTATGCGGCTTCCATAACTGCAACATCCCTGACGCGAAGTAAATAATCATTGGGTATGCATATTAGTAAAGGTAAGCCGGTAGAGCACAGAAACGAGTAAATCATGCAGCAGAATACATTGAATTGTGATTGCACAAGAACTTTTGACGCTGGAGCGTATTGAGCTTTGCAAAAATGCCGCCAAAAGTTCCGCAGCATCAATACAAGCTCATTCTAATGCACGACATTCTAAAATGTAAAAACAGGCGAAGACGACATGGCAGTCATTTCATCCGTCAGCAAGACTTTCACTTGGTGTTTGTAAGAACGAAACCATTGGTTCTCGTCTTGTCCGTAAGATGCTTGTGATTTGCATGCATGTCTTTAAATTTAGATATTGAAACACGCCCTGGCGCCATGGCTCACACTGGCTTGTATCCCTTTGCACTGACATCCGCATACAAATTTCATTGGAGTGGAAGAAATAGCGTGCTCGTGTCTCTGCAATGTTTGACTCACGTTACCTGCGTTGGCATCGCAGCAGGCGATAATGTTGTCTTGGAGCACAGTGTTGCGTTCTTCAGCAAAGCGATATGATGCGCAGTTTGAGGTTCGAAAGGAAGACACTGGAGAGGTTGTTTTCCGTGACAATATGTCTTCGCCCATTAGCCAAATCCTCAATGCTGATTACCGCAACGACGGTGTGGAGGACTTGATTGTTTGCTGCGGAGATGGAGAAGTGCGAGGCTACCTGCCAGCCGACGTGAACTCGACAAGCACCGGGCAGGGCATCGCCGCCCATAAGCAGATTCTGGAGAAGCTCAATCAGAAAAAGCAGGTGAAAAGGGTAAACACAAAAATGAAGAAGATGTGCCAATCGGCTCAAATTTCCGGGAGGATTTTTTTTTATAGGCGATTCGAATGATGCAGGTGAACGCGTGTGATTGTCAGCGGTGATTGACTTTGACACTAATTGACGTCATCACATTAACTTGATTCCAGGGAAATCACGGTGTTGGGTCCAGTAGTGAAACTCATGATGTCAAGATGGCATGGCAATTGGCATCGCCGAATTGGTACTTTCTGCCCGTGCAATGGGACTGAACAGGAATAAAATTGTGGCATCGTACGGCATCACCACCTGCCGATTATACTTCTATGTAGAAGTTTTGGAGATATTTTATTTATATTCTAACAGAGATGCCTTTGTATCCGATTGCATCTGAGGTATTCAGCAGTGGAACACAAAAAGACGCACAAACGAATGCATTTGATGAGCCTTACGATTCCGCCAATTTGAGTGCGGAGGTTTTAATAGAGTGGATCTGTGCGGCACATAACTTGCGCGTACTTCTGTACCTGTGCAAGGTCCCGCAGACGTATCCCCGATGGCTGAAGACAATGTTATTTATGGGAATGGTGGCTTTAGGTTTTCCGGGGCCTTGATGTTGTAAGTCTTGTGAATACCGTTGCATTACGAACATGATGTTGACATCAAATTTGCCATGGACATACACATCTAATCCGACGCGCCGTGCGTATGCTGCCATTCCTGAATCCAGAAAGTATACAAGCACTGGTGAGGCTTCAAAGCGTTTCGACACCAACATTGCAGAATCAGTCAAAAATTATAATAATGTCTAAGAACACCATCCTTCCGGCAAGACGGAATAAAATACTCGCAAGTACTGGAAGTAGGAGTGCACGTTAATGAGTCCCGCAGATGTATGGAGACTATAAAGAACACTTCTGCAGAATACTCATTGACTGTTTTACGGAATCAGGACTGCGGAGGAATGACTATGCTCGTCGATGGCGTTCCAGGAAATGTTATATCAGCTGTCCAAGCAGATGGAGGCACAACCGCATGAAAAGGGAGCTGTCGTCAAGGATCCCGCGGCTACCATTCCGAAGGATACATCAGTGTCATGCGCACTGAGGGTGGATGAGGACCAGGGGTCGGTTTGCATGCACCTGCAAACGAATAATGAGACAGTCATAAGGGTAATATCCAGCTCATGACACCCGAAAGACGTCTATTCCAACCGCAGAGGGCCATGTAATCCACAAGCCATGATTGCGCTCATTTCCCGAATCGATTTCACGTATGACGATCCGTTGCCTCATCGATTGGGCACACTTGTTTCCAATATGTCATAATGATAGCATTCTAAATTGACACATGTTTGAACCCTGCTGTTCATCGTTGTCATGCTAACCTAATATTGCATATCAGATCTCAGTGCTCACTTGATCAAGCACACTTCCAGTGCTGGAAAAATGTACGAAATGCAGAAATACGCTGTCACCGGCCAGCCTCATTTCTGATATCCAATGCGCGTTCCCTGGCTGCAGGGAGTTATTGTTTTTGGCGAGAACCTTTTTGCCAACGAGTCCCTCCTCGTTCTGCCAAAACAACCGTCCCAAGAGTCCAGAGTGCACATTCACCCTCCAAAAGACGTAGGCTGCGATGCCCTGCTGAAGGTGCTTGTGGGCTCGCGCACCGGAAACATATTCCAGGTATTCGAGTACGAGCAGGAAATACCAAAATTCGCAATGTACAGGCGGGTGGAGGACGGCAGCCACCAGGATCCAAGTTCTTCTGTCCACTTCGACGTGGCTGCTGCTCCAACAAGATTGTCAGGCTGGCTTGACAGCAGGTTTTTGCACTCGCCGTCAGGAGGCGATCCGATGGGGGCCGCTTTCATCAGCTTGAGGGATGGTGCTTCTCTTGTTGTCCAATTCAAACCCAGCCCATCGGGATGCCAGGTACGTGCCTGGCGTATGCACTGACCTTCCCCTGTGCTGCCACCGGAGTATGCAGAAAACATCTTGCCGGAAATGCATCGCATTGTTTCCACCGGTTTGTCCTCAGGGTGGGCAGCATAGTGCGAGCGGCGTCTTGCAAACACACCTTCCAGTGTGCTGTGGGACATGTCCGCCGTCACCTCGGCATGCGGAAGCGCCGAGAGATCTGCGTTGCCTCCTGTGGCTATTCTCTTGCCAAAAAGCCGTTCTTGTGCAGCACGCAGAAGCAGCTTCGCGTCTTCATTTGGTGCGCAGCAGCACCTTGCTGCCGCTGATGCAGACTGCAGCACCGGTGGTGGGCTCGCACACGCTGTCTAGCCAAACTATCGCACTTCAAAAGATCCAGTCCAGCTCCAATGAGCAGGGGCGAGCCCAGCAGCCAGTGCTCCATTTTGACGGGGACAATTCCTGTGATTGAGAACAACGTGTGCCTCGTTCGCAGGTCGCCGTTAAAACAGACAATATGGTGCTCGCAGGGGATGTCGTCCAGGACCTGGCGCAGTATCTGTCCATCAACGAGTTGGATTCGGTGGCCGATTTCCCCAAGGAAATGGAGGAATTCAAAGATGTCTTATCTAAGGTGTTGCTGAGCGGCAACGTCAATGCACTCCGGCTACTTTCCAGGGCCATGCCCGTTCGGTCGAAGAAGTGGGCTCCTGTAACACATTCGCCAGCAGGTCCTCGTGACTTTGGCCATGAAGGGCGCACAGTGTTATCGCAGTGTTTGTTCCCTTACAGCCATCTGTTCGGCGTTGTGAGGGTTTGATCGCATATCAGGTGTGGTTCGCAGAACATCCGATAATCCAAGCGATGACGGATTGCCGCTGCGTGGACCAGGGATACCTAGAAAATCAGGATGAGGGGGCGGCCCACAGTTAGATTCATTTTCCGATGATTTGGGAACAACGCGTGTATCGTTGCACGTGAGAGTTCGGGACTAAACGGTGACAGGCAACCTTCGGGTGTCAGCGCTCGTGGAGGTGAACAGCGAACGACAGCGCCCAACAGGAGCGAGCGCAGGCATCTGCCATCGTTTGACACACGAAGTGCGGATTTGCGTGCAGGTCGAAGAGCACAACTCCACAAGGATCATGCTCGTGACCGACGCTGCGGACGCCACGAGCTTGGTGAAGACCCTGGTCGTCAAGGCGGAGGATGCCAGGGCGCTCGACGACATGGAGGCCATGAAGAGGGCGTACCGGCAACTGCACGAGCTGAACCGGGACCTGCTCTCGGAGCAAACGAAGCGCGCCACGAATCATGCGCAGCTGCTCGGCGCCCTGAAGGACGTCAACAGCATGATCCAGAAGGCGTCCAGGCTGAGGGTGGGCCAGGCGAAGACCAACGTCGTGACGGTTTGCAGGAATGCTGTGAAGAACAACAACGTGGGCGCTCTGCTCAAAATACTCCAAGGGGGAAGCGCGGCTGCCTGAGGAAGCCTGCCCTGCAGCGTGCCAGCTCGGACTTGTGCAAATGACGGCTCCGAACGGCTTCCGCATCGAACAGCCTCGGATGAGTGGCACACGCGGTGGCGCAATGCAGCTGGACAGGCAGGAGAGGTCCTCGTCCACAGGCGGGTCTGCGGTCTTCGCGTCTGTCAACTTGAGCACCAGCAGGGGTTCGTCACAGAACGGCTGTGTCCTGAGGGACAGATCCTCGCACTGATGCCTGCGCCTTTGGGAGTTGCATAGCCATCACCAGCAAATTTCCAGGGCGTGGCCTTTGCCCACCCGTTTGTCCTTCCGACACGCATAGTGTTGACACTGCAATCGTAGAAGCCAATCCGCCCGGGCAGAAGCCAGCCAGTCCATCCAGGCAGTGGAGGCGAGAAGGAGCCTTCCCTGGCACACTGCTGCTATGAGCCGCAGGACCTCTGCCTTCTCATCCTCGCAGGGAACTAGCTGTTGGTGCCCGCAAGGCGGGTGAGCAGGTCGTGGTGCACCAAAGATGCCTGGATATCAGCTGCAGCGGTTTTTGAATGTGATGGGCACGGCTAGGAAGAGGACTAGGAGAAACATGTTCGCTTCCAGAAGTTCGATCAATGCTCACGTGTCTAGTTCCCTGCATATGGTTCTAGCTGCGTGCCCATGGTTCCAATCCTGACCGGCAATGTTTGGATTGCCACCTGCATGTCGCACGCAGAGTCCATTGGCTGTGGCACAGGCCAACGACGATTAGCAGCTTCCTGCAAAGCCAAAGCGGCCTTGACATACCGGCCATCCAAGCACGCCAGTTTGAGCGAAGGGCCTATCTGCATCATCAAAGAAACCGCCGACGACACACATGTAGCGGTCCAGCCATGGCAGCACTACAGCTGATGCCTTGCAATGGGGTGCAACCGCTTCCACCTATCCGAATACTGTTTTGTTCATTCTGCATAGCAATGGCAAACTGGCACACCACATCCAACTTGGGCTAGCAATCGGAGAACCCAGCCACGCCACCGTACACACCTCTGCTGCAATGTCGCATGAGCACATCCAGTCACAAAACACACGCCAGTCATCAGAGTTGTCTGCAAGCCCTGCCGCTCACCACCACCACCACGTTATTCATGGGCTCTCGTAAGCCATTACACCCCTCCCTGGCGTCGTCCCCCCTCATTGTGTACAATGACCCAGCCCCCGCATTTTCCATTACCACGCACCGTTCGTGGATCTCCATGACCCCAAAGAACATCGAAATTTCAAGACCCAACTGCAGTGATGCTGCACAAGTCTCACCACGCCCACCAACTCCTTACTGTTAACTCTTTCTTGCTCTTTCATCCACTGAGAACAATGGACACACATCAGGGGAGCAGCGTCGCACCTCCCTGCTTTACGAGATGGGACCAAAAGTTGCAGACATCCCCACGACAAGCCATTGCCCACCAATGTGAACGCCCAATTCTGTACTTTTTTTTCCGACTCAGCTGGCTGGGTTCATGTACGTGGATGAATCAATTGCGTCGGGGAGCTGCTTGATGTCCACATCAAAGCGCTCTTGAACCTGTAGACAGGAGGCACAGGGTGAATACTCAGAATGACTCCTGCACAATCTCTTGAACCTTCAACAGTGGGCACTCATCAATAAACTGATGAATGGATTTCGCATCGGGTCAGCTTTTTGCATGGACTTTCACATCCAATTCGCACGGTCGGGGCTTGTTCTTGCGCCATAAATTAGAATAGAATTCTCCACATGACATCCCAGAGCAACTACATATGGATCAGAAAGAAATGCCACACACAGTGCATCAGTTAGCAGTTCATCAATTGAACTCTTCTTGCCACTTTCTAACAAGTGGTTTATTCCCAAGCATGCTGCACAGCCAGCGTTGCCATTCAGAGTTCTCTATCTCTTTGCATCGCGTCAGAAGGGCCTGCAGGAGCAGGACAACATGTGTGCCCCTGGGAAGGGGCAGAGGAGCCTCCATATTGGTCATGTTGATCGGGTCAGGCCAGGTCGTGCTCAAACCCCAGCACTGAATGGAGCAGCTACTCATGGCATCGGGGAATGCGATTTAGGACGGACGACACACGACCAGCAAGCATCCTCTGTGCACCCAACAAGGACGGAACCTGGGTGGCCTTGGGGAGCAACGCAAAGGTCACACTCTATGATCTTTGCGTCAGAGTGCAATCGATGGACTGCTGCAGTCAGCCCTGTGCGCTGGAGGTCGTTGTTCAAACGTGCCAGTGCCTGATCGAGGGCTGGCTCAAGTGCAGGCCACAGGGACACATGCTCCATAATCTTGGGGGTTGACAAGCAGGAAATGGCCAGCCATGGCCGCAATATTGAGTGACAGTGTAGATTCTGATAATCCATCGACATGTATGTTGTTGCTGCCAGTGGCCAACTTGCTGTCCTGCTGATACTGGCACACGTCCGTCTCTCATCAAGGCTGCTGCCCATCTACACCCACTAAGGCGTGGCCTGCATGCATTGCAGTTGCAAACACACTGTTGTTTGGGCACTAGCAGTGTGCTTCAAACGTCTTGGCACCGTTTTGCCATGCTTTGGTGGGACACTTCTTGCAAGACCGTCAACATTGTTTATTCACAACACATTTAACTTAATGGCTCAGCACAAGAAAACCTCAATATCATATGATGCTATGTCAAATATTCAGCAGAACACAACAGAAGGACCTGGCCCTGGAACAGATTTTCTCCTCTGCCATTTACCTGGTTCAGGACGTCCGAGTCCGCCTCAGAAGCCACAAACGAAATGGCCAGCCCCTTTGTGCCAAACCTCCCAGCCCGGCCGACTCTGTGGAGGTACGTGTCGGCACCATTGCCATACTGCTCACTGGTTTGTGGCATGTCGTAGTTGATGACGATGTTCACTCGCTCAATATCGATGCCACGGCCCACCAGGTCAGTAGCAACAAGGATTCGCTTGTGGCCTGCCTTGAAATTCTTGTAGACCCCCAACCTGTATCCACAGTGCGCACTCAAAATTATGCCACACTGGAACAAATGCACCAAGCTCCACAAAAAAACTGTGATGCTTTGTGGCAAGGGGAAATCAAAAACATCACAGCCTCAAGTAGTGGTGTGGTAGCCGATGCATTTCTTCGCTGTGTCCAGGTGTTAGGGCAATTCTGTGCCATTTTGTGACAGTCGACAACAAAACGAATTCGCCCACACAACATGCTCCACAACAGGTACTGGCTCCCCAGCTGAAGCACAAGAATGCATTTTACCCTTTCACAGCTGGCACCAAACTGCACATCAGTTCCTGGCCACAATGCATCCACCACGAACTCCTTTGTCCCTCACATCGGCATGGCTAAACACCCCCAAGCAACAAACACACTAACAAGGGAATGGGGCAGACAAGGGATCCATTCCCACTTGCAGACAAAGAACCCACCTTTCCTCCTGCTGCATGCCCCTGTGAATGCAGACCGACGGGAAGTTGCACTCGTTGAGTAGGCGGTTGAGCTCGCGGGCACGTGGAACGCTCTTGACAAAGATGACCACCTATAGAATGCACAGGCCATCGACAATTCCTAAGCACTACGTCACTGTGCAGAAAACACAATTGCCACGCCTTCTGCCTTCTGTGCGAGCTCCAGCAAGGAAATGTAGCACTTTCCTCATATCACATCTGCACGGACATAAATCACACCTGGTTGAAGTCCAGAGCATCCAGCAGGTCATTGAGCTTGCGGTTCTTCTCATCTTCGTTCAGAAGAATGTAGTGCTGGACCAAGCCGTGGAGTGTGAGTTTGGCTTCATCGTCCACATAAATTTCCATCGGCTGCGATCAACATTCAACACATGAGGATGACACAGCCACAGGACCAGCAGAACAATAGCCAAGGCTACTGCCTGCCAAATAGCCTACACGAAACAAACATCAGGTTGCTCCGTCTTTGTGCCCACACAACAGAACAGCAACATGGCAGTCTAACACACGATGGCCAAACTTACGGACGAAAGTGTGCAAGATCACAGTGAAATGGCTGCAGTTCGCCCAGTGCACAGAGCAGTGAAACTCTCCCTTCATATGCATCGCCTTTCCACCATCGCCTTCCGCCACAAGAGAATCAGACAGACTCGAACTCTTCAGCCATGACAGTTGCTGGCACCTAGTGCTCCTCTTGCAGGGATATCATGCATCTTCGATCACAAAGAACTCCACAGCGGCAACTTCGTCCGGCACTCGGGGAGCAGACCAGCAGCCCCCTTTCAACTGCAGATGCTGAAGTTTTAAGCTCTCGATGCGACGCCTGCCTGAGCCTGCAACCCAACTGGCGGAAGAGCACTACTTTCCAGTGCTGCGGGCCCTGACCCCCCAACCCTGCCAGGGATCTGCCCTCTTGGCAATGCAGGCATCCCTCCACACTACTTCTACTCGTTGCCGCCCTCCAATCGTGTCCCCCACAAGACAGATGGCCCCAAGCCCCCCAAGGCAGCATTGATTCTCTACACTGTGCTGCTTGCGCTTTCCTCCAAAGACACCTTATCTATGCGAAGACCCTGCACAGGAGGCTGGTCGATCTTCCAGAGAGACTCTGGTTGCGCACAGAAATACACAAAAGCTTTTCTCTGGCACAGCTGCTGGGGGGATTAGGAAATCGCCTTCGATGAGGACTCATCCCAGAAGGCGCTCACGGTGCAGGGTGAAATAGCCGGCTTCGATGCTAGTCCAGCCAGAATGGACTGGCCCACAAGGGCAACAATAGCAAGCTGAAGTGGCTCTTGACACCACCTGGTCCCCAAATTCAGAGCTGTGAGGAAAATGAGGAGAAGGGGCAAGGATTGCTGCAGCTGACGGTCAACTGCACTCCATCCCAGCGATTTTCAGCCAAACCCCAAGACGCAACTCCTTGAAGTTACACGTACGTCCGTCATGAACTTCTTGCAGACTGGCCGGACTTCCTTGGAGAGAGTGGCGCTGAACATCATCACTTGCTTGTCGTGAGGGGTCATTTTGAATATCTCCTGCACATCGGCCCGCATATCTGCAACACACCCATCAAGCAACTTAGCTCAGTGAATGCAAGACGGCCCAGCTTACCCCATTAGCGAAGTACCCACAGCCAAATACTCAGGTGGCAAACACTGTCCCAAATCAGGGGAAGGGCTTCCAGTGTGTGGAACTCCTCTCACATCCACAACCACACAGCAGGGTCACGACAGTTCTTGTTCCGACACCCATAGTCGGTGATTGACAACAAGTCATGGCAAGCCAGCAGCCACCACTACAGCCATCACTCACCCATCTTCGACAGCATCTTGTCACACTCGTCGAGCACGAAGTGGCGGACCTTCCCCAGCTTCAAGTCCCCATCCTTCGCGAGCTGGGCGATCACAAAACGACACCCTGTCAAGGCGACGGGCTTCGCGCAACGACCGCCCGCTTGTCTGCGGTGCAGGTGGGCGGCCAGCGGGGTCTAAGCCAACGACCGAATCGGCGGGGTCAGGAAACGAATCGGACACACAGTGTGGCTGCCGGCGCCCGCAGGGCCCTTGCTTTGGCCTGTGGAGAAAGTGCAGCACGAGGAATGCAGCTACGACCATCAGCACAGCCCCGCGATGCAGCAGTCCCCGCCACGGTCCCCCACCTGCTTCACCCGCCCAGGCGTGCCGACCACGACGTGCGGGCAGTCCGTCTTGAGCTGCTCCTTGTTCTGGCTCGTCTGCACGCCGCCGAAGAAGGGCAGCACCTTGATGTGCTTCATGTACGTCCCGAACCGCTCGAACTCGTGGCAGATCTGCGCATCCGCAGCGACCTCAGGACCGGCACGGATCCAAGGGAGGCAGCAGCAGGGGGGAAGCTGGGTTCGAGCGATCCGGCAGCAACGCGAGGGGGGTGGGGGCTGCGTCTGACTCACCTGGAAAGCGAGTTCCCGGGTGTGGCACAGCACGATGGCGCTGACCGTGCTGGGCTGCGGCTCCAGCTGCTGCAGTATGGACAGCAGGAAGACGGCCGTCTTGCCCATGCCGGACTTGGCCTGGCAGATGATGTCCATGCCCAGGATCGCCTGGGGAATGCACTCGTGCTGCACTGCGCCCGCCCAAAACAAAGCGTTTCAGCCTCCTTCACCGGCCCCGGCGGCAGAGAGCGTGCGGTCAAGAGCCCCGCCAGTGCCGCAGCGCCGCACCTTCCGACGGGTGCTCGAAGCCGCAGTCGACGATCGCCTTCAGCAGCTCGGATTTCAGCAGGAAGTCCTTGAAGCCGGTGGAGTGGATCCCCAGGAAGCCCTTCTTGGCGACCTCCGCGCCCGCGGCGCCCTCCTTGCCCGCCCCCGCCTTGCCCACCTCCTCCTCGTGCTCCTCGTCGTAGTCGAGGAGCTCATCCTCCGCCTCGGCGCCGTTCATCGTCTGGTCGGCCATGGGGTCTTACTGCCGAAGAGGGAGCCCTGCTCGAGCGGAGACGCGCGGCACTTTCGCAGAAGAAAGCGTTCGCGTCGCACGCTGGTTGCTGCGCAAGGTCGCCTTCGGACTCCGGGGGTGGTTGCAGACACTCGATTGTCAATTTATATATGCAAATGGGTCATTTGTCAAAGCAGCATGGCTCCGATCATCCGAGTCCTGTGGCAGGAAAGGAGCGGAGGCGTACTGAAGGGGGTGGGTTGCATTGGGAACCAGCGGCGCGCCCACCGATGCTGAACGGGTTGTTGGCGTTCCAGGCGTGGCGGGGGGACCTGGAGCGCAGGGTGTCCGTTCAATTGCGGCCTTCGAATCGCCGGGGACCGACTCGGCCGCGATGAGGCGCCAGCATGATCGCCGGCCGTTTTCCCTGTAGTTGCGGGGAGGTGGCCGGGCGATGGGTCAGGGCGATCAGGACGCTATCGGGGGATGAGAACAACGCCCTCAGAGGTGGGTGCGCGTGCTGCAGGCGAAGGAAATCCGTCTGCAGTGTGCCCTGCGACCAGGGGCTTTATCGGCGCTGCCCCTTGTCGCGAGGATGCTGCAGGTGAATTGCGGTTGCCTGTGTTCCGTGTGCTGGGGCGTTTTGGGAGATCGGGTGAGAACATGGCGAAACTGCCTGCGGTTCGGGTCTCCAACAACGGGTTCTCAGAGGACCGTGCTCACAGGGGGCATCGCTGCACGTTGTACGTTGTGCTTGGTAGAGTCTGGGGGAGGCAAGAATATCAGAAAATTGTGGTTGCAGAGATATTTTGTAGTCAACCTTGGGACAGTGAGTGCCCACAGGATTGTAGATACGCATGTCCTGCAGCAACCCACAAGCACTTATTGTACATTGTGGGATAACAAGGCCGGACACGCGCACGCTGTCCTGTGATTAACCCGGCGCAACGTCGCGCGGTTGGGCGTGCTACCACACGGTCCTTGAGACATATGGCGCAACGCATATATGTGATGTGCTGGGGCCAAATAGAGATGTTTAGGACGCCTTGAGAGAATATTGTGGGATAAACAGTCATTGCTTTCGTCCAAAAGCAGCGTGGGCTTGGGCACCTGTAAGGAGACCTCAATAGGGCGGGTTCACCCTTACGGGCAAGACCTGCAGGGGTCAGGAGAGAAAGCTGCTTGTGTGTGCTGCACAGTACCTCACTAAGGTATTGTTGCTGCTGCAGGTGTCCTGTCTGGTGCAACCCCTCCAGTTGTTGTGCCCTTCCAGCTGTCGGAATCACAGGTGAGCAAAATCTCTGTGGATCCCATAGCAGGGTTTTATGAAAACCTTGCCCAACAAAAATGGCAAAGGTGAAACGTCCCAATCATGGCCCTGTGATGGGTGAAGTCAAAGTTTTGCCTTGTGGCCAAAGCCATTTGATTCCTTGTTTTGCAAAAGCATACCTGCAGTGGATAGAGGCAGCATGGTTGGGTGTGCGTGGGGTCAGAGGGCAGGCTGTTGTGCAAGCGTGCACTTTGGGGCCAGACACTCTGTGCAACTGCTGTTGTAAATATGTCAAGCTTCACAAAAGTTTTAAGCTGTATTTGCTCAAGAGGGCCAGCAGCAGTGGACGGCGGAAATACAGTTGACAATCCCCATGAGGGGTTGCCCATATGTGTGGCAAGAGAGCTGTTTGCAGGCATACATGCACTTCTGTTCATTCAGTGCCCAAGCGTGTTATGGTGTGAGGGCAGTAGGTGGGGAGAAAGGGAGCGGTGTGCCGCATGGAGCTAGTGGATGGGTTATCCTTGCACCAGGCATGCGAGCGCTACACTATGTGACAAGAAGACACATTCTTTTCCTTCAATATTAGACTGTTGAACAGGTTTCAAGTCCAGATCAGCTGTTGCTCACCTCCAGGTTGGCTCTTTCCACAGGCCAGAGAGAAGTTTGAGCAATGGCAGAAAAGCCACTGGTTTGCCCCAAGCAACCTGCTTGACCACCCTGCTGTGAAGTCAACGTCCACCTTCCTCCCATTCTGGTGTTTTGATGTAAAGGTCTCAGTTCGGTACTCTGCAAGTCCTGGATTCAGCAGAACAGGGGAAGATGGCAAATACACCTGGAGTAGTCCAGTGTCGGACAGCCTGGAGGTCAAGGAATTTCATGGCTCAGTGCCAGAGATGCAAGTGTTTGCATCTTTCAAGTATCGCCGAGATCTGGCAGAGGCAGTGAAGACCACAGTCAGTGCAGGAGTATGTAGGCCACTGACCATTCCTGAAGCAGAGATTCTCAGAGTCAGGGATCGATCGACTGGAACGAGCTGGCACCTTGACCCACCAGATATGCGTCAGGGCCTGGCATGGGAGTTTGCTTTGAGGGCAATCCATAACCACCAGGTATTGGCTATAATGGCAACTGGCAACCTCTGCATTTCATACAACCTGAAGCCACTGGTGCTGAGATGTTCTGTGTTGCTATGTTTCCTGTGCTGTTCCATCTGACGATTCTCAGTTTCAAATGCCCGTGCCCACAAACAGCTGTTTGGCGTCAATGGTGCAGGGGCAATGTGTTGAAGAATATGTAAAGGGCAAGACTGGTGCGGCAACAGTAAAGGTGGAAGATTTGTCTGTGGAGGTCCTGCAACGTAGGGCATATATTGTCTACATGCCTGCCTTCCATTTCAGCTACCAGTTCTCGGAAATTCAGAACGTTGCTGGGGAGATCATCCCAGCGACCTGTCAAGTCATGCTGAGTGGTCTTTCTGGGGGAGGTATTTCAGGGGAGCGCCATTTTTGTCCCAAGAAGGCTCAGTTGGCCACCACTGGGGTGGCAGGTGGCCTGGGCTTGACTGCCATAACGTTAGGAGATCCTGCTTGGCTGGGGCAAGCCATGGTGGAGGCGTCATTCTGGACATTTATGGCAGCATCAACTGCAGGCAAGTAAGCTACTGATCAGGACCACACATATTGGCCTCAACAGTTTGTGAGCTGCCATTCTGGTGGTGAAACGCGGAGTTTATTGCACTCAGACTCAATTTTAAGGCGCATGAGCAGTTTTTCATCAGGGGTGGCTGGTGCAAGCAAAGGGTAATTTGGAATCCACAGATAACATTCAAATGGACGTGAACAGCAGCATGTCTGCCAATGGGACTGGAGATTAAGCCGTCCTGAAGTTTGTCCATTCGCTTTGACAGAGGTGACATTTTCTCACCAAATGATTTGGTGCAGGTGTGATGGCTCGGTTTGGCTCCAAGGCTGGTCGCCGCCGCCATGCTGCACAAATGTCTGAGCTGGAAGATGAATTTCTCCTGTCCTTCATGAGGACTAGATCTTCATCAGGGGCTGAGCGGCCTGCCAGTGAATTCCAGGATAGCCTTCGCTGCGATGCTGAGTGGAGGCAGTGGGAGGAGTCTGGCAAGTGGGAATGGAATGCACTGAAGAAACGACGGTGGGCTGAGGAACTGTGGAGGGAGCAGCACAAGCGTAGAATAGATGGGAGATTATTGATGGAGAAATTGGAGGCTGAAAGGTGGGACTACATCCATGCAGCTGTTGACAACACACTCTGAGCATGCAGGAGCATTCCCCAATTCATGGACAATACATGCACTGCATGGGCAAAATTGGATGGCACTTATTGGTTCATTCATGCTTTGGCACCACATTTGCTATGAGCAGGGTTTCACCAGGTGTGGCTTTGAGGAAGTTGGGTATTGCAGCCAGTGCATCTGGCTGAAGTGAGGCACTGTTGATGTTGCTATTGATAGATTAGATTGGATGTTGCACAGCTGTGCTTTGATGCAAATGGAACCATTTTTTTCCATACAGTTGCGGCTGTACTATTTTTGCAAGCGAATGGAGAGCTGCGTGTGCACTCTGCACTGCTCCCTCGTGTGGTATTCCCTGTGTTGAATAATTCAAGCTCCAAGTGCCTTCTAGCTTGCAGCAGAGGCCCTGCATTCACAGACTGTTGATTGCTCTTTGCCACGGTTTTAGGCTTAGGAGGGAGCAAGATGAACGGCGTGAATCCAGGCGCTTCGCCCGGTGGGGTAAGTCCCATCACCGGCGTTTCTCCCAACACCGGCATGCCTTGAAGTGGGGTGGCAGGGCTGACGCCCTGGGGTACTACAAGGTTCTGGGCTTGGACCAATCAGCAGAGGTGACAACAGACCACGTGAAGGCTGCGTTCAAGGAGGCCGCTCTGCGCTGGCACCCAGACCGGCATGTGCTGAACGGTGAAGAGCACCAAGGCGCGGCAGCAGGGAGGGAAAAGTTTCAGGCACTGCAAGAGGCATACGAGGTGTTGAGAGATCCAGAAAAGAGGCGATTATATGATAGGGGAGAGTTGCTGGGCTCTACGCTGTAAGATGGGGTTGCCACCATCTGTTTTGTGGCAAGCCTGTAGGTTCCGGGGCAGTAGTTTGTGTGGGCAGCAACGGTTGTTTCTGAGAGGGCCGCATTTGTTGTTCTCAATGGCTTGAATTTTTTTGGGGTGTGCGCAAATAGACCACCCAGTGGGAGGGCAGCTACGATCAATGGTCAGGAGCGTAGAATGGAGTGACTTTGTCTGGATCCGCTGTCGCCTTGTGGACACACTTCCATGCACACTTCATGCGAACGGAAAGGTGCGCAATTGCAGACTTGGTGGGGCACCTTTTGCCCTGCAGGGTGGTTGCTACAGAGAAATATTTTGTTGCCAACGCTATTTAATGTGCCTGCTGTCATGAAGGTCGCAAGGAGAGGTCTGGTGGACAGGACGTTTCCATCGCAGCCCACAATTCCAGTGCTGTCCGTTGCTGGTGCGATGGAGATGTTGTGCATCGGGCCAGTATCAGCGCGAACTTCGGTCAGTGTCTCACATCTTTGAGATATGTTGAGTGCACTGACGCAAATGAGAAGCGCCCCTGGTGGCACAGGCAGGAAGTCTAATCGGAGGCGCGTTGATGAGTCCCATGGCAGGCATGGCGCCACGTTACACGCGTCCCTGCAGAACTGGATATCTAGTGCTGTCTGCAAGCATGCACACGACTGGCGCGTGCCACTTTCGCAGTCCTTTGGAGAACCGAGCACGCCCGCCATTGAGGATAAGCACCGTCAGTATATCATGTTGCAGAAAACAAGAGACTTCCTCTCATCAACCACATCGCGAAGGTGCCGCCACAAGTGGCGGTACACCTCCCGTCTCCTTTCCTGCTCCATCCAACCCAAGACGTCCTTGTAGGCAGATTGCTTCCTTCTCAAGATGAAACAGAACCCCGTGAGCCCCAGCCACGTGACGTGGCACCGCGACACCGTGTTTCCACATCCGCCGCCCGTCGACTTCTGCGCCGTGGCCATGCGGCTACGCAGCAATCGCCCCATGTACGATATGGCAGATTGGATGGCCGACAGCAGGACGCTCTGCCTTGGCCTTCGCGACCAGGAGATTGCTGACACGCTGCAGTGGAGCTTCACCGCACAGAGGAGGAAGGCCTGGAGGAAAGCGTTGCACACAGGCTGGGGCGTTTCGTGATGTGCATTCCACTGGATGCAATGGCGTCGCAGATTGGGACGTCTCATGAGCTGCTGGCAGCTCGCCGCGGTGAGGCCGTTGGTTCAATGCTGTTCCGGTGCTGTGTGCGCACAGACTACGGAGGCCTTTGCAACACTGCAGGTTTGAAACAATTGGCTGCACCTAAAATTTCGGCTCTGCGTTGGCTCAACAGGATTCTTGCTGCATTGGAATTGCAGCTCCGGCTACCATCTTGCAGGACAACGGGTGTTGTTAGTCTCTATTACTTCAGGCATTGTCAAGAACGATGCGTCCGCCAGCGCTGCACAGCGTAGTCCTCGTCGTTCGCACCTGGTAGATGTTCAGCCTAATAGTGGCCGGCCCATTGACCGCCGGGTCGAAAAGGAGGGGATGGCACTTGGGCCGCAGGTAGAGACACAGCTTCAGCTTGAGCTGCCGAACTATAAGACAACAGACAATCGCGTCAACCAAGCTCATGCGCAAAAGCCGCCACTGTGTGCGAGGAATATTATTGCACGGGATGAATGCTTCATACAAAGGTACTCAAAAGTGGGCAAACACAGGATCTGTTCTTAGGGCGGCTGTAGCTTCCAAATTCCGCTGATATTCACAAGGGTTGCGCCATACTATCAGGCGTTTACAAGACGAATGACGACAGCGATTGGGACTGTTTGCGCTGCACGATTCGAGAAATCAACTGGACATACCCCATGGCAAATCGAGGAAGCGTGGCCTGCGTGGCTTCTGTTTGGGTACTAAGCAATCTAGCAGCGCCGCCACAGCTTTGCGCTTGGGCCTGAGCTTAATAGGCTGATTTGTGCACATGATGCACATGTGCTGCAAAGCAGGGGCTTCGCGGCAAACGCAAAAGCAGAGCTCGCCTTGAATTATGTGCCCATCGTTTCCAGTTGCTCCAACGCACAATGCGCGGAACTAGATTTTCTTGGACGTAAACAACGATGATGGGATGGCACAGCGTCATACTACCTGCAAGGCTCAAGGGCACGAATAGTCACGTGACGTCGACAAAGAGCAGTTGAATGAATTCCCCGCACAGGCGGCCCACAACTCATGCCACGAGCACAAACACACGGGCTGAAGTAAAACTGCAGACAGGCCAACCACCAGAAGTGCCAACCAGCACTCACCCGGCCGCTTCGACAGCGTAACGTTCAGTGAAGATCTCACGTGACCCTTCAGATGGCGCCTGTAGTCCGCCTGAATCTCCAGACTTTCTGTGTTTATGAGCAAGCCACACCATGGCACAAAACAACTGGCGCCGTCGCGGTACACGTTAGGTTCCAGCGCACCACCCACAACCGGCACCCTGAAGTTCGCCTTTGTCTTTTCATTGTTGAGGTCGATTTTCCTCCCCGGGATCCCGCTCTGCAGGCATCTCAAAACACCTTCCGCCTTGCTCCTGGAGGCCGAAATGACGAGGAAATCGTCCACAAGGCGCACCATGCAGCTGTCCTTGCAGCTGAGTGGTCCCGTAGGTGCGGATGAGGGCTGCAGCATTTGCCCTGCCGTCCCCGATGTGGGCTGGGAGGTTGGCCATGGCGACTCGCCGCTGGTGACAGAACGCTCTGCGCAGCATGCAATGCTACCGTGCGTCGGCAGCGCGCTCCTGATTGGGCTGGTTTGGACAGGGAAAACTGAGCAGGGTTCCTTGGGCTGGAGGCTGAAGGGTTTTAGCGATGAAAGGCTAGATAGATGCGCTGGTTCGTAAGGGGCATTTGCTGTACGAGTTACGCACAGACATACCAAGAGAATGACACTTTGAGTCGATAGACGACGAGCGCCTTGTTGAGATCATGGCGGTGCAAAACACGAAGCCTGTGGTCGATAGAAGGTGTTATGCTTGCTGCAATCACATTCTGTAGCGGTGAGGAAAGAAAGCCATTTTCTTGGCTGATGGACGATGCGCTTGCTGCGGTAATATGCTGCTACGATGACCAAACAACAAAGATGTACTCTTCTGCCTTTCCGGACAACCCCAGCTCATGCCCATTGCTTTCGATTTTATCCTTGCCGTGGGTGGGCCTATAACACAGCATAGCGGATGAGGGTCTAACCTATTCTTGCTAAGACGGGGGTGCTTCATCGTATCTTGTGTTTTCTTGGTATTCTTAAGACATATCTGGACACACACAACCACACACACACACACACACAAATTCGCCCTGGCAGACTTGCCATGTGATGACCAACGATCCCTGGAAGACGAGCAAGCGCACTTCCTGCGGCACTCGGATCCGAGTGCCGCAGGAAGTGCGCTTGCTCGTCTTCCGCACAGAGAACCGCCGTTTCTCCCGCCCTCAAGAAGCGAGTCGCGCACTGATGACGTCATGAGCTCTTCGTGCCTGGGACAGCACCTGTGGATTTGCCTCCAAGAATCGGCTTCAAATGGCGTGTCTCCAAGTCAGCCAGGAAAATGTTGCAGAGCAAGGTGGACAGCGACCCCCCCTGAGAAATCCCGTGTCTTTGCCGAAACCACCGATTTCCGGACTTGAGGATGCAGAGCTCCAAGTGCTCTCGGATGTGAGTCAGCAAGTCCTGGCGGCGTACAGTTTGGCTCCACGCCTGCGGCATCAATATTCCCTGAGAAAAGATAGAGCTAGATCACAGAATTGGCAATGGCCAGGGGCTTGCAAACGTCATTCATGTACACGCGGTATTCACTACGATAATAACAACCATCATCAGCATCGAATTCCATTGATTGCATCTGTAATATGATGGCAAAGCACAGCCCTTGCACCAGACACGCGATGGCGAGCGTGGCGACCAAGCACATTGTTTGTTCGGAACTTCTTCTTCACCGCCATGCGCACATGCAAACAGGTTAATGGAAATAAGCGTGTATACATTTAAAGGTTGTACGCTCCAGGTGCCAGGCAGACAAAGGACAAAGGCTTGGCTGAGGATGTGCTCTGGAACAGTGGTTGGAGAGCACGAATCACAGTACTTTGCAGAAACATAATATGTCCGGAACTGTTTCATCATGTCCTGCTGGCATGCTGCTGAACAGACCGGCGGTCCTTCAAGTGCAAGATTATGGACTGCAGTTATGGATTCCAACTGGCACAATGCTGTCACCTCGTGCTGCTGCTGATTGCTGCATAACTGGATGGGCGGCAGGCGCCGCCATCTGTCCACAGCAGAACGTAACCAAGAAATTTCCCCTGCCTGGGACCAGCTTATCCAAAGCAATGGGGGTTGCACGGTTAGAACTTGGTGGCAGCAAGGGTCATATAGGATCGCAATGTGGCGTCGGTAACACTCGCCGATTCACCTTCCCATCCCCTCCGGTGATCCCCGTCGATGCGATTTGGGAGCCTCGGCCCCTTGCAGGGTTTCAATTCAGAGGAGAGGTGTAGGGAGTTTGGACGACGCGTGGAGCAAAGAGCCCTTCAGAGCGTTGTGGGTAGCGTTGTGGATGTTGGAGAAGTTCGGAAGGAAGGCAAGCAGCCAGCTTTGAGCAATCATGGCAGGCATAAAATTGAACGCAGTAAGCGATGGCAGGCAGTGGGATTTGCGCTGCCATCTGCGCCACTTTCGGGTCCTCTTTGGACCTTCGGGTCCTCTTTGGCCTGTGTCGATGTGGTCCCAATTGCTTCATGCCGTAGCATCACAAGGCCAGGCAAGCCCTACCGCCGCGCCCCTATCCTCAAATTTGGTATCGAGCGCAACAAAACTGACACAATCTCACCCCTGTTGAATTGACTTGATCGATTAACAGCTGTGAAGGGACGACAATTTAGGCCGCTCAAACTGGGCACATTACCAATAACCCAAACCTGGCTCCGTCCAAATTGCGCAACTCCAAGCACCAGTTTCACAAGCAACGGACTGCCGATCGACGTAGATACATCGTTCCATCACTTAATACTTAAAGACTCCGATTAAGCAAAGTTTGGATATGCTGAACATCCAAGGCTGAGCTAAGGCGCTGCCAGCACGGTTGCAACACATCGATCCAGAAATACGAACCTGGTCGACGACCACGGAGCTGTGGCTGTCATGCATGTCTGCCCTCAACAGCTTGACAAGGCCTGGAAACTCATCTGGTGGTCCAAACGGCAGCCATGCGTGCTTCATATGCACGCCATTTAGCGAGGGCACGACCGTCGCGTACTTGGAGAGCACGTACGCCTCGCTTTCGAATATGGGGCCGATGAGCCTCATGATGGTGCCGGCGTCCACCTGATTGAAGGCGCTGGACAGGTCGCAGCTCACGATGTGGGGGCGCAGCGGGCGGCCCTGGCGGAGAGCGGCGTTCCACCAACGCAGGAAGGGCTGCAGCTTCGCGTGCACATCCCGGTAGCTGAAGGCCGTGCTGCCGAGGACATGGCGCCGCTGGCGGCACGACTCGCGCCAGAGAACCTCGGGAAAATACACACGCTGTTGGTGAGCGCGGGCAGCGCAACGTCCACAAAAGAATGCTGATTTTAAAGGGCAGCCTGTGGAACGAATGGAATTACACAATTAAAAATTGTGTGGGTGTGCATGTGCATGGATCATGGTGCAATTCGACGCAGCCCTCCCGGCGCAGTCCTTCCAGACACCCGGTGACATATCTGTCTTGTGCTGACAGCTTGGCATTCCGTCGCCCGGCCTTGCCTTGCGGTTGCAGGAGCAGTACATTGGCACATGCAGTCTACATGTGTGCATGTCTACATAGCCTGCTTGTCCGCACGATGTAGACCAGTGCTGACACAGCATATGTCCAACGCGGCGGCGTTCACGCCTGCATTGCTTTTTCAGCGACATTGAGAGGCTGCGCTACCAGTGGACCCAAACTGAGATGGGGACTCGAGAAATACAAACGCTGGGGTAGATTGGCAATACCGGACGAGACATTCAGACTTCCGTCGCGACATAAACTGCGCTCACCGACTGAGCATTCTTGAGGTCCCAGTTCACAGGACGGACTCCCTTTTTGCCGTGATAATGGATGCTGGGTGTGGGTCGCGATTGACCCCCCAGTTTCTTTGCGTCGACTGTGCAACCGTATTTCAAAACTGGCCTCAGTCCTCTTCTTTTCGGTATGAAGCGCAGCTTCGCGAAGCCATGCCGCCGAGAGGAGAGGAAGCTCTCCACCTCTGATTTGTCAACTCTACTGTAAATGGTTCGTGTCAAGCATGAGATTGCGGCCTCCTTTAGCATGCTCCACACGGACTTTCTGCAAAGGCCAGTACAAATATCAAGGTCACCGCAGAACGGCTATGATCCAAACATGGTCAGAACTCCAACAAAGGAGCCACTGGTACGTCTTCCACAGTGATTCATTCGACCCACAACTTTCAACGGTTCTCTGCATCATGAAGCCAATGGCCAGTTCTGGTTGGTCGGCACCCAAAACCATCTTCGTTGATTATTGAAATTGACAGTTGCTGCTGTGTCGCCATTATCGATTAACACATGTGTTCCATGTGTTGCAATGGGTGTGCACCTGCTGCAACTGGAGGAAACAAAAGGATTCCATGGAGTGTTCGCGACGGGTGAGCATGTGCGCATGTTTTCACATGGACTGTGTGTCTGCGCTTCTGTTGCGTATCGAAATGGAGGCTTATGTGTGCGGGTGGGCAAGCTGTGCGCCAGCAGCCTCTCCGCTTCATGCCATGTGTCCAAGCAAGTCAGATACATTGTCTGAAAGGTTTTTATCTTTCCAGGGCGCATAGAAAACTTTTTTATATTACAAAAATCAAGCTCAGCATCCACCATTTGGTTACTCAGCAACTCACCATTTCTGCAAGTAGCAACAGCGGCCTGAAACAGCCCATGTCGGAAACCAGCCACTGGCTTCTTCGTAACCCCACTGCCCACATGTGGCAAAGCTACGTTGGTCTAAGTTTCACCACAAAGTTGAAATGTCTTTTGCAGCAAATACCTAAACAAGCATGACATTAACAGCGACAACGGGCACAAAGTATATTCCCGGCCCAGCCGTTTCCTCTAGAATAGTAGCGCGGAAGCTACCGAGAACGCGTTGGCACAACAAGAACCACCTCGCAGCCAACAAAACTTTCGCGCTCGTGGTGCGTACCTGTAATAACTAACTTGGTACTTGTGCGCCTCATTTTCGGTGACATAGAAGCTCGTTCTCAAAATGGGGATGACGATGTCAGTCATCAACCACCAGACCCACTGGATTAGCATTCGCTGGCGAGACTCGTGCAGAGTTTTGGGAACTTGCGCACCTGTGACAGCAGCTTGGAGCACCTTGAGGTGATTCTTTTTCGCTACAACTCCATGGGATAATACGCCAGCAATTAGATGAGATTCTTGTCTTTGAATAACAGCAATACGCGGACAGCACTGCGTTCACTTCCAGCGTTTTCCTCCGTTATCAACAAGGGCTTCTCGGACAGTGATTCTCTGGCGTATCATTGAAGTGGCCCAAAACAAATGAAGCACCCGTTGTGCAGGGTGTCGCTACCTACCAATGGATGGATGAACTCCAATACAAATTATTTTAACACCACATCTTCCAATTCCATCCTTCGCTTCTCCAGCAGTTTTGCACATTCCGTGGCCCCTTCAGCATGCAGAGCACCGACCGAATGCCCATTGGCTGTGAGCTACCCTGCCATTAACACTATGATGCAATCGGGGCTCCAAGCATCGTTGACCACGCTACACTCACCGGTGCCCACCGGCAGCCATGGCATGTCCGACGTCTTTAGACCGTGCATAACCTGCTGCACGCTCATTCGCTCGTGGTGTGTTAAGCAAACAAAATGCCTCAGCGCCTTCAGCAGGACCCTGGAAACAATTGAAGACGCGCTTGCGATTAGCACAAGCATGCAAGTGCAGTGAGTGTTCTTGGTGACGACTGAGGATGCCCAGCCACAAGTGCTGGTTTTGCTGAGAACATGCCACACGCGAGCTCGCGGACGCGTGCAGCAGCAGTGCCTGACCTGCGGCTGTGCTTCTGCCCCAGCAGAGTTGGGGGCACGATTCGCCTCAGAACTACCCACAAGTACGAAATCACCGAGCTGTGCGGCGTCCAAGCATCCGTCAAGTCGCGAACCGCACTGCCTGGAAGCACAGAGGCTCCACTTCAACGAAGGCTCAGACTCCAGATGAGGCGCTTGAAAGCATCAGCAACAAGTTGCCTAACAACGCACGATCGCAAGTTCGGGATGCGGCCCTCTGCATCATTTCGTAGCGGGAGCTTGTAAAGCTTAGCACAATTTAGCACAGGATGACATAGCGCGAAATGGGGGCAATTCTGCAAGAATGGCAAGCGCGTCTCCACAGCAATACACACATCCAACGGGATGTGGTGCCCGAATGCTCACCTACACCCATGGCGATAGGGTCAGGGCAGTGATGGCGCAGCAGCAAGCCCAGAGGGCAATTCTGTGCGCGATCTGTGAAGCATCCCTGGCATTAGTCTGCAGTGGTGCCATTTTTCAATGCCTCGATGGCAACAATCAATCAGTGCAAGGTTGCTCGGTGATCAGACACATCACTTGGTCCAGGAGGGATTGGAGCGGAGTGGCCACTGTTCAAATAGCGAATCCAAGCCCAGCATGCTCAAGCTATGTCTGCTCGTGGGGGCGCTCGTTGAATGATGTGCACACGTTCTACTGTGTGTACGTGAAGCGAAATGCAAACACAAGATAATGAACTGGTGCCGTCTTTCCAATGGGCTCAGATACTGTCGAGACTCAATCGAACATCTGCCAATTCTTTTCTCACAGCAGGACCCCACAAACCCACCCGCCAGCTGCTGCAGGAGTCGCGGCAGATGCCTGTGCTGTTTCTTCACCCTGGCTGGGGATGCAGGAACGCCTGATGCTGTTTTGCGATAATGGGAGCCCCTCACAGTTTTCTTCCAATTGTCGAAACTGGATGGGAAAATGGTCGAGTAAAGTATGCGCCCTCTGTCTTTGTTGTTTTTCAATGCATTCAACACATCTGCCATGCACAGGAAACACGGCGTCGACATTCAAAACTTTCGGCAGGAGAATCGACATTAAAATTGGATTGAACCATATTCTGTCAATTCCTCAAAGCAGTACGCAGTTACTCACTTTACGCACTTAATGAAACCTTTGCATACAGCGGGCACTGTTTCTTAATGGTCAATGGCGACCATCCGTTATGTGCATGGCTTACAATGAAGCAAAATGGCAGCAAGAACGGAGCATTGCCTGGCAAATAATCTGGAAGCCACGTATCTGTGGCGTGGTCTGTACTGCACCACCAAGCACATGTTTTGGCATCGTCTGTATGGGCATGCTCAACCATCGAATGTGATCCAGGTCTCACGTTTTCGAGGAAGGCACGGGCAATGGTGCAGCGACTCATCATAGAATATCGCTTGCCTCGGCAGTGTGGCATGCGCCACGCCCAACAGTGAGTCCCTGTCACGCCTTCTGGACGGCGCGACACCGCCCTTGCTAAGGCCCCCGGCCAGTGGCCGAGACACTTCAGCTCCCGATGCATCGCCACCGTCTCCACTTCTCGAGAGGTCCATGCTTTCCGAGCTGCAGGAGCTGAGGCAAAGCTGCAGTTCACCTGCACCTTCGGCACACACAAAAGCAGATCAAGCCATGAGCCAGCCTTCCGTCATCATTCCATAAGTGAACGTGTCGGCAGCTGCTTATTTCCAGGACTTTTGACAGGTGTTGAATCACCACGATGGCCCCCGTCGGTGGCGCATACATGTGTGTTGAAAGGAGGGAAAGGAGGGGATGAAAGGGCATACAATTACTGGCTGCACCAAATCGGTGACTTTTTGCACTAAATCGGGGACTGCTTGCACCAACTCCCTCCAAAACTTACCTAACCTAAACCCTAAACCCTAAAACTAAACCTGCCCTAAACCTAACTCTAGCCCTAAAACTTACCCTAAAACTAAACCTAAACCTAAAACTGAGGTTAGGACATAGTGTTCACGTGATTTGGTGCAAGCAGTCACCGATTTGGTGCAGGCAGTAATATTATTTCGGATGAAAGTGTGCAGCGGCAACTGACATAGCAAAGAAAAGTTCGCCTTCAAAGGACAGCAATTTGATAGTCTTGTGATACTGTGATGTGGTTGGGCAGTTGCACAGGCTCACTGGAAGCAGGTGGCTGGCGTCCAACACTCATTCCCCTGCTCCTATCGAACTCGGGCTGAGGCACTGTCCTACGGACTCTCCTCCAGCTGGATGGCCGCTTTCTAGGCGTATTTGCAGTGCCCTGGAGAACACACTCCTGCTGGAGCACACGGTGTGGCAAACCAGCCTTAGGAGCACACCTTCCAGTACACTGCATACTTCAACACACAAAGTCGAACCATTCACAGGTGGAAGGCAATGTCAGCCACAGAAGGGGATCAGACATGGGGTTGTTGGCTGAAAACGAACAGGTGTTTGATGCAATCTTCTGCCACATCTCTGGCTCAGCAAACGGCAAATGCCTCCTAGTTAATAACAACAAGTGAGGACACAGAACATGTTCCATTTGCAAGTGCATGTACAGTAAGGCCAGGCGTGCAGTCAACCCATGTTTCAGCAATTTCCATCCCTACCACTGCTCTACATGTTTCATGAGAGTGATGCATCGCCCTGAGGTTTTTCTACGGCTCAGTAGTGATGCTCGGCAGGGAAGCCTTGCGATAACGGCAAAATGTGATCTTTTTGAATTGGTTGAACACCAGAACCGAATCCACACAGTGCATATCTGACTTGTGAGGACTGCACGCTCACTTGGCAGACACAACAGAAATCTGAGGGTTGGCATCACTTTGACGTGTTCTTGCACTCCACTGCCACACTACGGCAATTAGAATGATTGTTGAATGTGATGGTTGTTGAGTGGACTTACCTTTGCATTTTCTGATCCACCAGAAAGGTTGCAAGGTGCTACCATTGAAGCACCAAGCAAGTTGCATGGCTGCATGTGATTCGGCGAAACGCCTTCGGTGGACCTAGAAAATGACATGAGCCGCTGGCACCCACCACAGCATCTTCTTTGCATCGCAACAGCCAAGTTCTCAACAACAGGGGCTGTTGCAGACTGAAGAATTGGCATTGTCTGGGCGGAACAGATTGGACTGCGATTACTATTTTGGCTGCTGTCGCACTGGCTGACACATGAACAGTGTGCTGCCCATGCTTGTAGGCTACTGTACCTTGCATGGGAATGCAGGACTCCTACAGGAGGACATCAAAATTGTGTGCTCTGCGCAACGTGAGACACAGTGCACTCATTTCAGATGCAAACTGAAGTACCTCAATGGGGGATCGAATCCATGTGCCACAGGGCCTGGGCGAAGTGCGATCTGAGGCGGATCTTTGCCTGCAGCCCTTTGTTGGTGTTGAGCGACCTGCACAAGCCTGACATGTCACAGGCAGAATTCGGCGCCGACTGCTGCCACACGCATCTTTGGTGGTTCCCAGCACGCACTGTGTTGAAAACGTGGTGCTGATGTGCACAGCTGAAAGCCTCAAATGGTGGTGCGCATATAGACTATGACACAGGGAGTTGACACTTGGGTCTCACACTGGAAATGCCTTACGTTTGCACAGAGCGTTTTGGGTAGCTTGCACGATCACACTGCTGCAAGATTCCGCCCACTCTTACCTCTGTGATCGCTGGCCCAGTGACTTGCAGGAGGTGGCCTTTGTGCAGAGTTACAAAGATGGAGCAGCCCTGGATGAGGTGCGTCATCACAGATGGCCCTATCTTCCCCAGCAGCAGCCCCCATTCTTTGCCTGTGAGGATGTCGACACAGCAGTTGATGCTGTGCATGCTTTTGGGCCTGGTCTTGTCGCGTCGATGTCCCTGAGGAAGCATGGGTGGGATCTAAAAGAGCCCAAATGCAGCACATTCCTGCTGAACGTTTTCGTTCATTTCACAGATTCAGTGGTGCCACCAGAACTTGATGGATGTCACCCGCAACAGATGCCTACCTTGTGCCCTTTTCTCAGGACGTCACTGTTGTCCGCTTGACGAGCTGCCTGCTGCACTATCTGCCCAGAGGGCATGGGACCACACCACCACATCAGTCAACCAGGCGGAGTTTCAATGATGACAGCGTGGAGAGTTCATGTGGTGTCCAAAAGCCCAAACCAGATGAACCGTGGAATTTCTACGTCTGCAGGCGAAGCTCATGCAGCATCTCAGCAGCGCATTTTCCACCATGACCATCGGCAATGGACATCAATTTCGAAAGCGCGTGCTTCACTGCGCTCGTCGTAAACCGAAGGGCTCGTCTACCGCCCTGCCACCAGCCCGAGATCGCTCCCATTCGCTGAACGACTCGACTCGGCGATTCGATTTCCCAGACATCTTCGCTTGCCTGTTCCTGCGACAGAGAATCGGGCACGCGGACCCGCGGGCCCGCGGGGTCCCCCCCCGGAAACGCGACGCGCGTCCCTCTCAGAAGCGCCTGCAGCTTCGGGGAGCCGCCCGCCGCCTCCAGGCGCTCCCTCATCTCCGCCTTGGCGCCCGTGCCCTCCACCAGGCGCACCACGGCCTCCGCCAGGTCACAGACATCCCCGTAGAGTCGGCGTAACACGGGGTGGTTGGCAGTACGCGCCGCCCCACGCTTTCGCGGCATGGCCACGCGCCCCCAAGGTCATCAAAAGGGCGCACGCCCCGTTCGCGCCGCGTTCGGACGGCGGGTCCGGCCGGCGCGACGCACGCGGGGCGGGCCCTCCGGAAAGATGCGGGGAGCGCCCCATCACGAGACCGGTTGGGAGGGCGCCAATATCCAGGGAGAGGGGGCAAGGGGGGGGGGGGGGATAGTTTAGGACAGTTCCGGTCATGAGGGTCTGGGATATGCATTTGGCGAGAATCTGGTGCTGCAAAAGTTGCCCCATCACGCAGAAAATGGCGGCAGTCATGTTGAACAAAATGAGGAGGGCCAGGCCATTATAGACCATTCTGACCGCTCCTATAACTGGATTCATCCTTGTTTCATCAATATTGAGCATCCAGGCCAGCCACCCCAGTAGGGTCACCATAAGCTCCCCAACCCAATGGATGCCAGCGCCCAGGAATCTCACGCTCCGCCCGACAACGCCAGCCAACGCCGCCATGACCGCAGCTCCTTCCATGGGCGATCCCGGAAAGCTCATAAACATCTCGCACCTCACCGCAGAGGTCTCCACCAATTCCGTACGACGCAACGCCCTCACAGCGTCCACTCGTTGCGCGTACCGGCCGATCCGCACTCCCGTAGGGTGCTACGGCACTCCAGCACCAGCGACGGCGCTCGCCTTGCGTAATGCGCCGCCCTCAGTCACTCCGGATCCCACGAACGTCTTACTCACCACTCAGCGCGAGTGTGAGAAACGCCACAGAGCCTCGGGGCTCCTTAGGCCGGCTTGCGGACACGCGGGTACCGCAAGAGGGCAAGACCGGTGAGCGGGGTCAGAGCAGCTGGGGGCCCGTGGCGAGCCAGTGGGGAGGAGATGCGAGCAGCTGGGACCACGAGATCCCACACAGAGGCCTGCCGGAGAGCTGCCTGGACAGACTCCCCGCGGCTTTTTATTATAGGAGTGTCTGTTTGGTACAGCTGTTACTCATTGGTTCATCCCTCTCGTCACCCTTCCGAGTCCACTCGCACTCCCGGACAAGAAAAGACCCAATCAGTCACACATTCCACGACAGTCCACCCCGTACAATCGCATGCCAGCCAAGCGTGTCACACGCTCCTCCTCCGCCAGAGATTCTCTTGGACAGCTCCGGTCGCGCCAGCTGGCCTCAGGCATCCTCCGGTCATCGCGTCATCCGCCAGCGTTTACCTCGTCCCGTCATGATCGCCGCCCCGTCTACCGATTTTCAGTAGTCCGCGCCCTTCAACCACCGAATCCCGGCGGGAGCGATGGCGTCATCACCCTCTCGTTGCGCGTCCCATCAAAACCGGGTGGCAGGGCCAGTGTCGTCACCTCGGCAGTGCCGATGGTTGCCGGTACCGTATGCGGCTCCTCACTGGGCGCATCCACCATGACGTCATCCGGGGCTTGACCACGCGCCCGCGCTTCC